ACTCACTCATGGAAATAGTATGATGCCTGAAAACAAGTACGGTATATGCAATCAAAAAATCTTGCCTCCAGACTATCCACCCCCCCCCCTCTATTTCAGCCAAAATACACACACTCATGGCGGGGCTTGTAGCTAAATTATCAATCATCATTAGTGAATATGAATTTTCACTGGTAATAGCAATTATAACAATAGCAATTATCCTTTCAATAGTTTTAGCAAGAGAGTTCATCTGTTGCTTCTTTTATCATCTGAACTCCAGAGTAAACGATAATCATGTATAAGGAATTCTCTATCCCCGATAAAGCTTCATCAATAATCGCAAAATAATAAACTCAATATTATAATCGGGATTATAATATCATAATATGACAGTTCAAATCGTGAGAAATTATGGTGGCAACGGAGTGGTAGAGCGATGACAAAATGCATGGCGAGAAGCCGTGCAGCTTAGGGGTTCGGATACCATATACTGTACATGTATTATTTTGACTAAATACGGTTTTATCTACCTTGCGTTACTTTAAAGTTAACCTCCGGGTCATGGGTATTCTGAGGCACGCCTCTCTAGCGAAAGCCCGGAGTTTTAGCCATGCAGTATGACGCAGGCCCGTAGCTAGGATTTGCCGTGTGAGGTTCACTTCTTGAAAAATTCCAAGGGGGGTTAACTTGTGCCAATTTTGGTCCAAAAATGGCCGAAATCACTTAAAAAGTGTTCAGAATGGTGAAAACCGCATGATTTTGAAAGATTTTTTGACAGGGGGAGGGAGGGGGGGGGGGGGTAAATCGAACCCATCGAACCCCCCTGGATATGTGCCTGTGACGGGCCTGATATCTAGAGGGCGCTTGATAATGATCAGGGGTGCCGGGTAAACAAATTCTTATTCCCCATCGAACAAGAATACAATTACATGGAGATGAAGGGCTGACGCAAGTGAAGTTAATTTGTTGTTGTATCATATTGGCTAAATCATAAGTAAATAAGACCAGAAATACATGGACAAAATGTAATCAGAAAGGTGGACTAATTGGTATTATTTGTTTTGATTAATGATTACATAACTAAAACGCTATGTTAGATGTCTGTAATCCCCCCCCCTCTCACCAAGGGCTATGCATTGTTTCAAGTGATATAAAATCTAGATTCGTAGAACATTGATACCTGTACTACGTATTTCGTACTTTCGCACATTAACAATTTATCACAAAATGTCATGTTGACCTCGATTTGACCCTTTTGACCTAACTTTTGAAAAACAATACTTTTTGAAGCGCTAATTGAATATTAAAGGGTTACAAAATACCAACAATATTGAAAACAGATACTAGTAAGTAATCATAAATCGCCGGGGGGAATTCAAAATATCCAAATCCCTCCACCATTGCGACTATGTGTTATAATGGGCTTTTAATTGAAAGTCTGTTATAAAAAGGTTGCAGACATTAGGCTCTTTAAAAGTATGTCATATTGCTATTTATATACCATTTGTCTTCTTAATAGCTTCTTAAGCATCAAATATCAAATCACAATAGTCCAGGGAAAAATAATTGTGAATAATGGCAAAATGTTCATTCTTAATTTAATGAAATTCACTTTTGGATACGTAGTACAGGTACTTTTGAAAGTAGATTATTTGTTTGATTGAAAAAATTGAAATATTGTTTTTTTATCAAATTAACATGGATTTTTTAAAGAATTTTGTAATAAATGTTAGTAACAATAGCAATCAATAACTGCAGGATATGTAATCCGGGATATGCACACAGTGTGTCAATCCTGTATGTATCCAGGCGTCAGGATTCATACAGGATTGGCACACTGAGAGCGTATCCTGTATGAATCCAGGAGGGAGGATTCATGCTGGATTTCTACCTGCTCCAATCCTGTATAAAACCTGACGCGTGGATACGTATAGGATATGTACATTGTGTTCCAATCCTGTATGTATCCAGGCGTCAGGATTCATACAGGATTGGCACACTGCGAGCGTATCCTGTATGAATCCAGGAGCAGGATTTATACTGGATTCGTACATTCGCAAATCCTGTATAAATCCTGACACAGGATATGTACAGGATATGAACATTGTGTGCCAATCCTGTATGTATCCAGGCATCAGGATTCATACAGGATTGGCACACTGCGAGCGTATCCTGTATGAATCCAGATGCAGGATTCATACTGGATTCCTACACGCGCCAATCCTGCATAAATCCTGACACATGATATGTACAGGATATGTACATTGTGTGCCAATCCTGTATATATCCAGGCATCAGGATTCATACAGGATTGGCACACTGCGAGCGTATCCTGTATGAATTCAGATGCAGGATTCATACTGGATTCCTACACGCGCCAATCCTGTATAAATCCTGACACAGGATATATACAGGATATGTACATTCGGTGCCAATCCTGTATGTATCCAGGCATCAGGTTTCATACAGGTTTGGCACACTGGGTGCATATCCTGTATGTATCCTGACCTCAGGATTCGTTGTATTCGTACACATTTTTTGCTGTGTATGTGTATTATTAGTTTACTCGGACTAACAAAACAATTGTAGACCTCTCCATTCGATCAACCGTCAAAATCATATATCTCGACTGTAAACCTCGACCTTCGGTCTCTGTCAACAGTAGCTTTTCGGTTAACAGTCTCGGTATACAATTTTGCCGGTTGACCTCTGGGGAGGTCAACAATTGTAAACTGTTGATCACTACTAGGTACTGTTGACCCATATTTTTGAAAAATTGTTTTTTAATGTTGAAATTTTTTTGAAAAAATAAGTTGTGTAAAAAATTACAAGTATTCGACGGTTTGGGGATATTTTGCTGAAATATGATACCTTTACTTATCAAATATGTTCACCTGATATTCGATTATATATTCGTCCAATTATTATATTATTTGGACTAACAGAACAATTGTTAACCTCTCTTTTCGGTCAACTGGCAAAAGTGTCCTCGACCTCTAGTCTTGATCAACTAGTACTTTATTTTGCCAGTTGACCTTAAGAGAGGTCTACAATTTTATATTATATCCTTCAAATTATTCTATTCTTCGGACTAACAAACAATTGTTAACCTCTCTATTCGGTCAACTGGCCAAAATGTATACCTCAACAGTAAATCCTGGGAGTACTGTTGACCTCGACCTCCGAACTTTCAAGGATTACAGTATCGGTATACAATTTTGCCAGTTGACCTCAAGAGAGGTCTACAATTGTATATTGTATATCCTTTGTTATCCCACCCAAAGTATGATGTCATATTTCAAGTTGAAGAGTTGTATACGCTGCTCAGGAGTTTACGCTATCCAAGAGTTGTATAGGATGAGTGTTGGTTTAATGATATTGCAGTTATACAATGCTATTATATAAAGGTTATTTACTGAGAGGGATTCAATATTGGTTTTATTCCGAGAGACAATATGATATTTCCCGAGGGCCCGGGATCAGGGGATATCTGGGATAACTGTACCCCTATCAATTTACCTTTTTGGGCCCTAAATCTTATCACTTTTGTTTACCTTTTTACTCAGTCGGAGAGAAGGAATCCAAAGAGAGCAATAATTCTACATGTGCGTCGTGCAAGATTTCCATTAACGTGTAACTAAACGGCCTCTCTAATAAAGTCAATTAGACGTTTTTACACGTTGGCTCTCCAAATTGGAGGAAATAAAGAATCATATCATATTATATCATAGATGAAGCAATCATCCCATCAACATAAGCTCACGAATGTCACCGTTAAACTGTTTTAGTTATAATTTGATAACGGTAACGATAACGGTAACGTACATCTACTATTTTATCACTGTTCCACATATAGATGACAGATAATTTCCAATAGCTCATCATGTTTACCGAGAACGAAAGATGTTTGTCCACCATTTTGAATGATACTAACTGGAGTCAGGGTCATCAAGCTATGGAACAGTGGTTTATGAAAATAGATTGGGTTACTAAAGCTTGCCATGTTAAAGGCGAATGAACTATGTTATAGAACAACGTCAAGTACATTATAATATTTAAAAGGTAATGGGTAACGGTGTTGCAATAGTAGCATTTAAAAATCTGTTCCTCTCGAGATTTATGGTCTTCTGAAATTATACTATTAATTGGTGTTGCTGCATCATTGCTCAAATCTAGAGGAGTGTTGTTGCATCTTCGGTTTGGTGTTGTTGCATCAATAGTGAGGAACTAAAACCGTGAACTTATTGCTTCTTGGTGATGGTACATGTATACTAATGACAGTTTCTTTAAATATATAGATCGTGCGCTAACTGCACGTGTATGGTTATTGAGTAACTCGTCCTAGAAATGGGTCTAATTGGGGAAACAAAATATCGTACGAAAATCTATCACCGGAAGTCTGGCCATCTTGATGCAACAACACGGTGTTGTTGCATCACGATACTCCCCAGTGTATACGTAAGAATATCAAACATGCTATATAATAAGTGAGTAGCAAAGTCTCTCTTATGTCATGACTAATTACCAATTCCTATACCTGTATGGCTGTTAAAGAGAGAATCAGAGATAGCGAGCAGGCTAAACAAAAAATTGTTTAATTTTAGAATATTTTTGGCTCATGTCATTCCTTGTCATGTCTATTTTCTAAAAATCACAAAAGTGCATACTTTATTCAAGGAAAACAAAAGATTTTTACAATAATGTATTATTTTTCTATAAGAATGGTTACCATTCTTATTATTTGGGAGAATTTAAACATTTTTCACCCATTTTCGCACTTTGAATCATTAATAACTTCACCAATTTATAACATATCGTGAATCTTTTGGGAGATATTGTATTTGATATTGTAAGGAATAGATTGGTAGATCAATTATGCATGTTGCTTGTAACTTTGTCACCCCCTATAGATCTGATTCTGCCTTTAAATTAAAACATTTCAAAATCTATAATTTGTTAACAATTATACATTGCAATGGATTGCTTCGTTCAAATCTATGCAACGAACTACTACCTACCCTGATATAACGAATTAAAGTTCTCAAGATGTCATTTTGAAGAGCAAAGGCTTCTTTTATGGTGTCGAACTTTTCGGTTGGCGCTTTCGAAACCTCGTTATTGAACATGTGGTATAATAGTCTCAACTCCACTCTTGCTTGTGCGATCACTGGTTTAAACTCATTTTCTTTAATAAAATATTAAGTAACATTAATAAAAGCAATTGGCTTCCAGATATGACAACAGTTAAATATCAGAATTGGACAATGATAACATGAATGAATCTTGATATCTGAGGTATTGAGTTAGAGGCTGAACTTCATCGTTAGATCCATGTCCAAATATATTGTAGATTGATATATCATTTTGTTGCATTAACGTTATGCTGATTTCTTAAGATGTATAAACTGTGCAATTAATCTTAGCGATTATCGGGCAATCAAATGTAGATTTTGAATATGAACTAACATTTTCTAATTCAAAACACGTTTACAGAACTTCGAATCTTGAATCTCGTATTTAGCAACAGGATCGATATGTTTTTATATGTGCTAGTTATATGACTCGTGCAAGTCATAGACAAATACAGTTCATTTAAAGGAAGAATTCGAAGGTACATACAGTGGAAGGTTGATTCCTGAAAAATACACCATGTATGGCATAAGCTAATCAGTTCTGTGTCCAAGTTTAAAAAATACCTATAGCAAAATTGTATTATCAGATCTAGCGAACAAGTTAAACAACATTTTTAGTGCTGTCCCCAGCTCCGATTTCGGTGATCGGCTAGTAAAAAAGGTTTGAGGGTATCATTTTGTTCCAGACACTCTCTAGAGTAAATTATCCTAACTTGAGTAAAAATGTGTGGTAAGTAAATTCGCTATGGGCAGTTAAAGAGGCGCCATCTATTCATTTTAAAACAGGGGGTAGGGGTATAAAATAATTTTTAACACATCTTAATAGTAAAATGACATTGAAATACTAATAAAATCTTATCAAAAACATTATTTACAATCAGTATGAATTTTTTTGTGTGAATTAGGGTGAAAATAAGGGCATATTTTGAAATTCACTACATGGGCGCCACCTATTTTCATACTTCTACCACGTGTAATAACTTATTTTAGATTCGTTAAGGTACGAAATGTACTGAAAAAATTCATTCTGAAGGACCTATATATGTTCATACCACATACTTAAAATTGGATCAATTGCTTATGTACTGGCGGAGAAAAAAATTATTGAAATTTAAAATTTTGGCATCATGCAGGATAGGGGTGACCATATCTCACATGATTAACTTCCAAAATATGGAGCATATGTATCTCAAATGTACTCAAAATGGTGTATGTACTCTTGCTTTGTCATAATATTACTAATAAGAAGTAGAAAAATGATTGTACATTTTAAAAAATATTAATTCTCATTTTGGCTTCTGACGTCCCAGGGGTGACCATATCTCACCTTAATAACTTCCAAAATATGGAGCATATGTATCTCAAATGTACTCAAAATGGTGTATGTACTCTTGCTTTGTCATAATATTACTAATAAGAAGTAGAAAAATGATTGTACATTTTAAAAAATATTGATTCTCATTTTGGCTTCTGACGTCCCAGGGGTGACCATATCTCACCTTAATAACTTCCAAAATATGGAGCTTATGTATCTCAAATGTACTCAAAATGGTGTATGTACTCTTGATTTGTCATAATATTACTAATAAGAAGTAGAAAAATGATTGTACATTTTAGAAAATATTGATTCTCATTTTGGCTTCTGACGTCCCAGGGGTGACCATATCTCACCTTAATAACTTCCAAAATATGGAGCATATGTATCTCAAATGTACTAAAAATGGTGAATGTACTCTTGCTTTGTCATAATATTACTAATAAGAAGTAAAAAATAATAATTGTACATTTAGAATAATATTGATTCTCATTTTGGCTTCTGACGTCCCAGGGGTGACCATATCTCACCTTAATAACTTCCAAAATATGGAGCATATGTATCTCAAATGTACTCAAAAAGGTGTATGTACTCTTGCTTTTTTATCATAATATTACTAATAAGAAGTAGAAAATGATTATACATTTCAAAAATTTTAATTTTAGCTTCTTACGTTCCTGGGTAATCATATCGCACCATATAATAATAATAATAACTTCTAAGATACTGTATGTAACATATAATCCTCATCCTGTCTTTTTCATATTACTAATGAAATGTAGAAAAATGTAGCATTTTTTTATAAATTTTAATTTTAGCCTCTGGTGTCCCAGGGGCTATCTCACTTTGATAACTCTCACGATATGCAACATATGCATCTCAAATGTGTGCTCAAAATGGTATAAATATAGTCTTGTTTTGTCATATTTATTGAGAATCATAAAATCAACAGTTCAGAATCAATGGATTTTGACTGTCTCCTCTACAGCTACATATAATTCAGGGCAAATAATATCTGCTTTCAAATATTTGCATCTGCTCCCCAAACACCCTTTACAAGTACAATGGATGAGATTATTCCCTTGCATACTTTGGATCCAACATCTTTTGTAATCCATACAGGAATCCTTTTAGCCTGTCAATAGTGGGAGTACTTTACTCCATTCATGAAGTAATGACAACTGCTAATGTAAGGTGTTAATATGTTATCCTGTGGCCTGCAATATATGCACCTTGGATTATACACTGAATTAAGGGATTTTGAGTATGTAAAATACGGGAAAAGGAGCTCTTTGTAATGATAAATCTTTCTAGCCACATTAACATTCACTAGTTTGCATGTTTGTCATACAACATACATTGATTGTAATGAAATATTAATCTATGATTGTGATGTCCCACACTTCTAGGGTCCCAAAGAAGAGCTTAGCTTTTGGAACAATTGCATTATTCTTGGCACGGTAGCCATACAGTGAATACAACTGTTGAGATTGGGCAATAACAATATAGCACAACATGACAAACCATGCAAACTAGAGAATGTCAGTCAGGATTAGAAGCGACTTATTGCCCTTGTAATTTAGCAGTGGGACAGTTTGGTGTATGTTTGGGCATAAATGCGCCTTTTAGGCCTAATTTTTCAGGATATTTTCAAAATTTCGGGTCAGATTTGGGGTTAAGGGGCCAATTTTGTTAAATGAGGCTAGGCTACTCACACTACTGATAGGCTACCAGTATACAAAAGATGTTGCATCCAAGGCATGCAAAAGACTTATCGTCCATTGTTCCTGTAATATAAGGAGTGTTTGGGGAGAAGATGCAAATATTTGAAAGTAGATCTTAATGTATCTGGACTATATGTAGCTGAAGCCTGCAGGGGAGACAGTCCAATCCATAAATTCTGAACTTCTGATTTCATGAATCTCAATAAATATGACAAAACAAGACTATATTTATACCATTTTGGGCACGCATTTGAGATGCATATGTTGCATATCGTGAGAGTTATATCAAGGTGAGATATAGTTGCCCCTGGGATGTCAGATTCGGATGCTAAAATGAAAATTTCAATTCAAAAAAGGTCTAATAATTTTTTCTACATCTCATGAATAATATTATGACAAAGCAAGACCATATGCCCCATTTTTGGTATATTTGAGTTGTATATGTTACATAATTTTAGAAGTTATTGAGGGATGTCAGAAGCTAAAATTAAAATTTTTTGAATGTATAATCTTCTTATTAGTATAATATTATGACAAAGCAAGAGTACATACACCATTTTGAGTACATTTGAGATACATATGCTCCATATTTTGGAAGTTATTAAGGTGAGATATGGTCAGACCTGGGACGTCAGAAGCCAAATTGAGAATTAATATTTTTTAAAAATGTGCAATCATTTTCCTACATCTTATTAGTAATATTATGACAAGACACGACTATATACACCATTTTGAGTACATTTGAGATACATATGTTACATATTTTGGAAGTTATTAAGGTGAGATATGGTCACCCCTGGAACGTCAGAAGCTAAAATGAAGATTAATATTTTTAAAATGTACAATCATTTCTCTACATCTTATAAGTAATATTATGACAAGGCAAGACTATATACACCATTTTGAGCACATTTGAGATACATATGCTCCATATTTTGGAAGTTATTAAGGTGAGATATGGTCACCCCTGGAACGTCAGAAGCCAAAATGAGAATTAATATTTTTTAAATTGTACAATCATTTTTCTACTTCTTATTAGTAATATTATGACAAAGCAAGAGTACATACACCATTTTGAGTATATTTGAGATACAAATGCTCAATATTTTGGAAGTTATTAAGGTGAGATATGGTCACCCCTGGAACGTCAGAAGCCAAAATGAGAATTAATATTTTTTAAAATGTACAATCATTTTTCTACTTCTAATTAGTAATATTATGACATAGCAAGAGTACATACACCATTTTGAGCACAATTGAGATACATATGCTCCATATTTTGGAAGTTATTAGGTGAGATATGGTCACCCCTGGGACGTCAGAAGCCAAAATGAGAATTAATATTTTTTAAAATTGTACAATCATTTTTCTACTTCTTATTAGTAATATTATGACAAAGCAAGAGTACATGCACCATTTTGAGTACATTTGAGATACATATGCTCCATATTTTGGAAGTTAATCATGTGAGATATGGTCACCCCTATCCTGCATGATGCCACAATTTTAAATTTCAAGAATTTTTTTCTCCCCAGGTACAAAAGCTATTGATCCAATTTTAAGTATGTGGTATGAACATATATAGGTCCTTCAGAATGAATTTTTTCAGTACATTTCGTACCTTAACGAATCTAAAATAAGTTATTACACGTGGTAGAAGTATGAAAATAGGTGGCGCCCCTGTAGTGAATTTCAAAATATGCCCTTATTTTCACCCTAATTCACACAAAAAAATTCATACTGATTGTAAATAATGTTTTTGATAAGATTTTATTAGTATTTCAATGTCATTTTACTATTTAGATGTGTTAAAAATTATTTTATACCCCTACCCCCTGTTTTAAAATGAATAGATGGCGCCTCTTTAATTGCCCATAGAGAATTTACTTACCACACATTTTTACTCAAGATAGGATAATTTACTCTAGAGAGTGTCTGGAACAAAATGATACCCTCAAACCTTTTTTACTAGCCGATCACCGAAATCGGAGCTGGGGACAGCACTATTTTGCCATGTAAGAATAATGTTATGCTCATATAATTATTTGTCTCTAAATTCCGATTCTCCCTTTAAGTTATAATACAAATTTACTGATGAACTAGTAGCTCGCAACATACATTAATAATGTTTATGACATACATGTACTTTGCGTTCATGGCTTTTAATAGTCTTCTTACAATGGAATTTTACAAGTGTTAACTGACTCTTCTATTTAGCAATGCAATATTCTGTGTTTTATGTTGAACTATATATAATAGAAAATGACATATAGAAATTTATATTGGCAATAAAAGGTATACCCTTACAGATACGTCGTCGAATAAACGTGTTAATTAAAGTGATAACTGTCACATGCAATAATGTGCATTTTCATTTTAGGAACTTTAAATTCCAGTTATGTAACAAAGAGGTATATGTTTGAACTAATTCGTTGCTTATGTCGTGGCAAAAGTCAAAGCTGGACAGACTGGTAACAAGTTGTGACGTCATGAGGCAATGTACAGGGGGTTCAGGAAATAAAGATAATAATGTCATAACTTTTTTTTATTTATTCATGGATTTCAATAAATTTGCAGGGATTATAGTTTAAACATATTTGAACTCAATTTTGGAGTTTCAGCTTCAAGCGATTTGATTTGACATTTCTGTGGTTGGCATAGCAACGCGAGTAGCGCTAAGGCGGGGCACATGGAATAACTGCACTAGTTTCTGTGTAACATTTAGATTTTGACTCCATATTTAAAGCTTTCTTGGTGCATCTCCATGATAAAATTATTCTATTGTTTTGTTTTATGATATTAAAGTCAAATAAATGCTTTTTAATGATATTCAATGGGATTTTCATGACTTAATGCAGGCATTACGTAGAAAGCAACCCGGGATGCAATATCTCTTCCAATTGGACAATATCCCCTCCCATACTGCTGCCACAATCACTAAAAAATTGAGCAACTGAGATTAGAGCAACTCAAGCATCCACCTTATTCACCCAACATAGCGCCAAATGATTTTTACTTCTTTGCTGAATCAAAACGGGACTTAAGAGGACACGCATTTGAGAATACTAATGCCATGCGTTCAAATGTGTTAAACAGACTTCAGGAGATGAGTCGAGAAGAATTCTGTGAAGTATTAGAAGAAGGTTCAGGAGGCAAAGAGTTTGTGTCTAGAATGGGGGAAATTATGTAGAATAAATTGCTAAATTGGCAAAGAAATTCAGGCTTATAGTTATAACTACGTTTAAGCATCCATTTTAAGTCATAAACATGATAGAATCTCTTTTTAAAACATTTAGAACATGCAAATATACTGCAGTTATTCCACCTGCCCCGCCTTAGCGCTACTCGCGTTGCTATGACAACCACAGAATCAACCAATCAAATCACCTGAAACTCCAAGAATAAGTTCAAATATGTTAAAACTATCATCTCTGAAACTTTCAATGCAATCTATTGATAAATAAAAAAGTTATGACATTATTATCTTTATTTCCTGAACACCCTGTAGATCCTCGGATTTTATATTGAACGGTCGTTTATCCATCTAAAATTGAAAAATGGCTAAGCTGCAATTTGATTGGATGAGAAACTCAAATGTTAAATCAAAGGTAACACTTACCGAACTTCGCGTTGACCTCGTTCCTCTGGCAGGACAGCCACATCAGCAGAACAACGCCGATGGTGTAACAGCCTATTTAAAGAGAACCGGTGTTACATAATTAATGTGTCTATGCTAGTCTAGTGTCAAGCCCTTGCACACAAGTGTGAGAAGGTTATGCTAGCACTCGCGATTTCAACATCCGGCTTAAAATACTTAAAATATAAAAAGTCTTTTTTATATTCATATTTAAAGTTCTATGTTCTACAATTGTACTATAATTATATTTATTTGTTCAGTTTAGCCTATAATGACACGATAGCGACTGACAGGTCATCATGTATGACTTTTCTTATGATGGAATAAATTGTCTTTATATAAACGAAAACTGTATGTTTATATCAATTATCACGGAAGAAATATGCGTGCAACAATCGACAATATAGCATTTTATCTATATGCATTTTGCAATTGTTCAAGCAATGTTTCGTAAAAGGATGTAGCAACTATTTGGTAAATCTTAATAAAGGTTTGATTCAAAACACTTTAAACACGAACTATTCATAATTAGTCAATGACAACACCGAGTAGTTATTATAATTTGACTAGTGTATATTAGTTAATTTAGACCTGTTTCGAATAATTGTGTATGGCATGTTGCTTTACGTATGTTTTACAAAAGAAACATAATCTGCTACCTAGTGTTTGTGTTTTATCAAATGTCTTTACATACTAGTACTATGTAACAAGCTAAAACATCATATTTTACATTTCCCCTGTTTAGTACTTAACAAATGGCTCTGATATTTGACAAGTAATTTCTAGCTGACCTTTAAAACTCTAAGAAATAAACTATTATTCAAAAAGTGTCATCACCGCTGTATGTATTCTTCAGTATCTGACCCAGTCAAACAGATACTAAAACATTTGTACTATTCTGTAAGTGATAATGATAAATGATTCCCTATTTCCGGTAAGCGAATCTAAATTGCAATAAACTAATTTACTTTACCTGTCATCTCAGATTGCTAACTGTAATGAAAACAGAAATGAAAGAGATGCAAACTTTATAATACAACCCAATGACCTGATTTCAATAAACTCTGAAATGAATAGAGAACCAATTAAATTAAGTAAATAAATATATTATATACGTATATATTGGATCCCCGATGAATTACTTATAATAATGTTTGCTATTGTCTTGCATGTATAATATGTACTATGTGTAGTTTAATGGCGCTCGTGCCACAACTAAAAATGCTAATAATCTAGTATGCCAATAGAAATGCTTTCGACGCGTCTGAACAGCCTATACCTCAATGAAAAGTAAATATTTATTTAATCAGACAGCATCATTGGTATTTCTATACAAAAAATGTAGACCATTACAAGTGCATGGTTTTTATTTTTCACCTTTTTAGGTTAATTAATTGGCTATACCATAAATATGTATTTTATTGCGTTTGAGTCGCTTACCCCCCTATCACACCAAACTAGTTCTTACCCGTTCTTGCCAGTCCTAGGAAAATGTCGTAAAACGGGCTCAATCTGGCTGTGGTCGGGATATATGTCTTCAATACGTCCATCTCATTCGCAGTTCGTTCAGGTCGCACCACGTCGGTGTGCAACGTAGTATAAACCGTCCATTAGTCTAGAAGGTCATCATGACATGATTACAGAACGGTATGGTCGCCATCGAATTTTGAATCGATTCAAAATTCTAAATCACATACCCCGTCCGGGAAAGTCCATGATGTTCGTAAACAGACCGTAGAACGTTGTAGCTACGTTCATTTAGTTCGCACACAGTTTAAAACTGATTTGGCAACGTTTTGACGATCACCGGAAAATGTTGAGCATGCTCTAAGTGCTGGAGGACCTACTCGTTCTAGTAGTTTCATGAAGTTTGTAAACAGATCCCAAACGGTTCTTAGTGGGTTCTTAGTACGTCAAATCCGTTCGTGCACAGTCTAAGCCCGTTTTCGAGAACGTAGTGAGAACTAGTTTGGTGTGATAGAAGGGTTAGTATGAATTAGCAAGGAAATGATTTCTACTTGGTCGTTTAACGTTATGAAAATAGAACGGTAATTATAAATACAGTATTGAACAAAACACTTAATCGACCGGGCCCCGGCCGATGAATCGGAGAAAATGAGACCCAGGCATTACTGAGTGAATAATGTATGTATGATACCTGGGTCACATGTTGCCTGGGTCACATTTACTGTAGTGAAAATCGGAGGAAATGTGACCAAGCTAATAGAGATTTTACATTTTGGCATGCCATCTCCTGAACTAAGGTCATGTGATCATTTATATCCAATCAGAATGCATTTCTTCCACATAGTGATAGCATAGTGATCCAAAGCTAAACCAAGGTGTAGGAAGGGTTTATATTATCATATAGAAGGGGTGTACTCTTCTGATTGGCCATAGTTGACATGCATGTTTGCAAACTTAGTACTGGTATCCTGACAAAATGAATTCATACTACACTGATGCCTGCGTCACATTTGCTCCGTTTGTTCAAAATTGTATTCAATTTTGAACAAAATACTCAATCGGCAGGGCGCCGTAGTGAAAATCGGAGCAATCGGTATTACTTGTACACAGTGCATACCAATAGCTCATTTTCAGTATTGCAATTTCTAAGAATGGTTTACACATTTTATAAAGAAGGGTTTCCAAAATGCTCCATCATGGAATACCATGACCCTCTCTTCTTGCATCATAGACACAGACATGATTTTAGATGCGATGTTTATCAGAATTCTGATTTTCATTTGAAAATGCTCTGACGTCTTCCTATATAACTTGGCGGGAGCTTTCAAAGTACTTTCTTGATCACTAAAAATAAATGCCACTGTCACAGGAACTCTGCATTAAATGTAAATCCATTGAATATTAATCCGTATGCTTAAAGTTAAGTAAGTTACGAAGATCAGATTCTTTATTACACTTGATACAAATCTATATTGATATTCAAAATCTAAATAAACCTCTTATTTTGAAGAACCATCCATCATATTACTCAGATTGGATTAATCAATATGCTCATAGTCTCTCTTGTTTGTATGATTGTTCAGTATAAATCAAACATCTTAATTAAACATCTCAAACGTCATATTTTCAGGGTGTATAAACTAACAGTTTGTACTTTCTCCAGTGTGGGTTAAGGAAGTAGTTATCAGAAATTTACACAAAACAGGAAATGAAAAAACACGTGGATATTCGATTTTTTAAAACTGAATAGAGTTCTGTCTTGCCCATCAATCAGTTTTACTACTACTCATTTACATGACCAGGATCACAATGAACATGCTCAGAATGACTCTAAACATCATGTGAGACTTTGTTGTGACTGAAGTCGTGACTGAAAAATGCTTAAAAAGTTTACCTTTAAAAATGTCGCCATACAGAATGTTCTGAATTTTTCAAAATATGTGCCATATATATTGCTTCATACGAGCTTCGAAATTTTTGATGAAGTTGATGAAACAAAAAATGTGATCACAAAAAGAAAATGGATTGCTTTCTAAATCAGTTTTCTCATCTTTTTTCAAAGCTCCTATCATTTCAAATAATATATTTGGCACACTTTCTGAAAAATGCAATAGATTCTGTTAGGTGACCTTTCCAAAAGTCTAACTTTTAACTGTTTTAGTCACATTTTCTGAGTCACACTCCTGTGTATATACTTTCTCCAGTATGTATGATCCGAAACTAGGCTCATTTCCCATGTGCCTAAACCAATATTTTATATTTTTATTCACCAATGTTTCAGAATCAATATATTGTATGAAGAGACATTACGTTATATCTCCAGTATGAACATGTATATGAACCAACACGCCTGTGTATATACTTTCTCCAGTATGTATGAACAAATATCATGTACATGTACTCCATTGTTTATGAACACACATTTTGTATCAACAAATAATATGTACTATCTCCAGTGTGTATGAACGCAGATGTTTTACGTTCTCTAGTTTGTATGAACAAATATTTTGTTTATTCATCAATGTAATAATAGAAAAATTCATAGTGATTTATTGGGCGTTTTGGTAAAGCCTTTGGTTTGTAATGGGAAGATTGTCTTTATCACTAGAACTGCTCTGCATGGATGGGGTCTTTTGAATAGTGATAAGTTATATACTATATCTAGTATATTTACTACATAGATTTGCAATGTCTAGGTTTTATTCAAGGAACTGGCTCCACTGAGTGTGTATTCAAATGTTGTGCTTATAAAATGTAGACTCCTATACTACCTTATGAATGAAAATAAACTCTTCCAAAAGTGATAGGACCTTAGTGAACCCATGCCATCGCAAGGACCTTAGGTTGGCATGCCAAAATGTAAAATCTCTATTAGTGAATAAGATCACTTCGGCTCAAAGCGGCAAGATAAACTTATAATGCCTGGGTTGCATTTGCCCCGATCCATTGGCCGGCGCCCGGCCGATGAGTATTTTGTTCAATATTATTCAATTTTGAACAAAATACTCAATCGGCCGGGCGCCGAAGTGAAAATCGGAACAAATGTGAACAAGACATAATAAGTAAAAACATTTTTGTATTTTTGTCAGCGGCGACGCAGCCGCAGAGCCACATTTTGGCAACCACCATGTATATACGGATGACATTGATGTACAATTTTAATATTAAAATACACTCGATCGGTTTTTTCTGCAGCACGCAGCTGCAGAGCCACCATGCTAGTTAAATGTTACAATATGTTTCATAAGTGTCTGTTAGAATTAACACCCTACACATAGAGAGCGAGCAAATTACTAAGCTGGCTGCATTTGAAGAGACTATCTGGCTATTTCTCAACTTCTTTCTCATGGTTTACTTTTTGGAAGCACCTACTGACTTATTTAAGATATTAATGTATCTTATATGGGTGGCAAACCATATAGTATACACTTAATTGAAGAAATATTACAAAAATATAGGAAAGTATGCCTACATAATGAATAAAATACGATGTAAAGTTGGGAAAATTTGTACGGGGTGTTTTGAATTCATTCTCTTTTTATTCTGTGTACATTTTATTTCTCTTACAACGCTTGTGTGTGTCAGTGTGTGTTTCAGGGAATGTAGATGTTTTTTCAACATGTCAATGGATTGTGGGAATAAGGATATTCGCTTTCAACTCAAAACTAGAAAAACATTAACAAATCCAAGTTATCAAATACATTTTCATTTTGAAATAAATAAAATATATAATCAGGAATTAGTATAGCACCATTGTCTCCTTTTTGTAAATTCTACCCATGTGATGTAACATAACGCCATATAAAGTTTTTCTCATCTAAGAAACCTTTGAAGGTTTGACAATATCCGATTGCTGCTATTTGCGTTTCATGGAAATTATTTTTTCCTGAGAAATCGTGGTCTGTATTTGCATTATCAAATACGTTGATAAAAACTTGTCTTTAAGACTTGAGTATATAGAATATGAACGACATCTGTTGATTTGCATAATTATGTATTTGCAGTCATTTTGAAATCTCGTCATCATTTTGAAGCATCATTTTTGAGCAGACATCCTGTCTCAAAGACACCAATATGTATTATTTCAACTTAATCCGTCAGGTGGTATTTAATTTACTGACCGAAGGGGCAAATGAATGAAGAAACACGCGGATGGACGAAAGGTTTCTCTGCATCCCTCTTAAATCACACTTGTTGGGAAAATAATATGCTATTTCTAAAACGGTGACCTTGGATTATTTTCTTCCTACTTCTTTAAAACATAAAAACATAATAAATGTTTTAAGATTGAAATATGATGTTCGGAATACTACTGATTCGATTATATATATTTACAGACAAATTGCAATTACAATTTTAACAGGTCCTTCACTTTATCCACTAATATCATAACCATATCTTCTATAGAATACAACTTTATTTTGAAGGAGAATGTATCATCTGCCTGGCCAAGGAATGACACCACTATTGTTCCCCCAAATTCACCAGTATCTGCTACTGCCAATTCAGCGTTTAATCGTAGTTCTTTGATATTTATAATGCCTCCAAGACCAGCTTTGGCTATAAATGAGACCGCCTTTAATCCTGCCTTTTGGGCCTCGTTCACACCATCTAATACACCTTGGGCAGCCGTCACTGCGAATCTATAATATCAATCAACTACTTTCAGAGATGGTGTACAGTGTACATTCATCATTATTTGAGCCAGGCCATTGATTTTTTCAATATTCTGTTTTTTGTTTATTTCAAATGAGCCATGGCTTATGTCCTAACAATTTTTCCTTACATATATAGATCAAAAAGTCGGATCTGAATTTACCACATTTTCCTCGTAATCGTGGGCACATTTTTGGCTCTGTAGCACAATTTTAATTTTTGTGATAAGACCGGTTTTCCTATGGCCAGGCTCATTTAGTAATGTATATATATACAAGGCGGGCCAAAAAATTAAAACCAAAGTTTAAAGATAAATATCAAAGTCTATAATGTATGTTAAATCATGCAATTGTAGGTATCATGCGTCATTTTAAAGAATTATAATTTTCTAACAATATGACATCATCCGATCGAAAAAACATTGTTTTCTTTATTTATTTTTCAATGCTAAGATTGAATTTTATTTATTTTTGATTTTGGTCGTTTTCACGACACCCCTGGTGTCAATTTAAGCCTCTAATGCAACAATAAAACACTTTTTTAAAATAGAACTGTGTCATATTGTAAGGAAATGATTTATCTTTAAAATGATATATATAATACATGGCATGATTTAAACATACCATATGAATCGTTAATCTTTAAACGTGGGCATTGTTTTTTGGCCCACCCTATATATATTAGTATTAAATATATGCGAATGCATATATATGTATAGCCTATATGACATTATAATTGTCAAATTCGATCAAGATTTGTTCTCGCCACTTACTGATAGTTAGTAAAGAGATTAATGTACACGTGTTATGGTTTTAAATGGTGTAAGTTAGACTTAATTTTAATTTCGACTTGGGAGAAACCGATCGGTATTGATTGAAACAGAAGTAAATCAACAGGTAAAGTATTTTAGGTACGATGTCCTTATTCATACAATATAGTGAAAGAAAAATTACCAATGTTTTTCATTATATTAATATTTTCAGTTTTCAAAGTCAAACTAGTTTCGGTCAATGTCCCTCCTTGCATTTTGCTTTGCTTTGCTGTTTTTGTTCAATTAAGATACCCTCAAATCACTGAAATCAGTCACAGAGAGAAATGTTCACTAAAATAGGTTTTTCTGTATTTTAGGGTTCCAAATGAAATTTGAAAATCCACAACAAAATTGGCCTTTTTTAAATCTCATTTTAAACATTGAGGGTAAGCTAAAAAGCGGGATGTAACTCGCATAACGAACCCAAGAATTAGTCAATATTGCTATGAACTGAAATGACGAAGTTCAATAAACACTTTTAAAATACTTACGCCGATTTCTCAACAAGAAATGCAGCTGCATCCATCAATCCTTTGGCTCCCTCTAATGCAAAATTAAGAGATTTAACAGTCGCTTCGAGACCATCAAGGACACCTTTTGCGGCATCGAACGCAACGTTGTTATCCCGAGCAACTTTGAGAGCGAAATCGGCAGCTTGTTGCAGGCCTGAAAGTCCCCTTTTCAATGCTTCTAGCGTGAGTCTCAGTGTCTTAAATTTAGATAAAATAATATCTACAGACATGGTTCAAACATAATACCGATATTTAAACAATAGCACATTTATTAATTCACTTCATGTTGTCATTCAAGGATTATATATGAAACAAATATTATGGGCTATATTGGTACATTGTACTTCTAATTCTACAGAGCGAATAAAAATACGCAACTAACAAATAAATGGTAAAACTACTTGAAACCAGTGATAACTGGATCGATTACATGGGTTTTTGGTTGACTGAATAATCGTCTCTTGCGCAATATGGGCCGCATTTGGCTCTTTATACTAAGTTTTATACTTTTGTAAAGGTCAGCATGACAGTGGATTCAAACTATTTGGTTGATCACCCGACCTGACTTTAGGCGATCTCAAGAGCTTCAAGAACGTTTTGCGAAACATAAAGGGATTAACCCAACTCTGTGAACGATTGGATATTTATACAACGCCTGTCTCATCTTCTTCCAATAACATATGGCCGTTGTACTATTTTTGCAATATCCAAATTTCGCTCCCTAGTAGATTTTGGACCACTAAAATGACCCCATGTGATTAAATGATATACCGCTTTAATGAGAAATTATGAATACATTTGATGCACTCAACACTGGATTTAGGGTTTTACGGTTCATTTGTTTGTTGCATATTTTACAATCTGTATAGTGTAATTATTCCAACTGATAGTATAAGGGCATACTATAAAAACGGATGCATTAACAGGTGAATACTAATTATTATATTCGTTATGATAAATTTAAGCAAACGTTCATACTTTGAAAGGCGCCAAACACGTATTTCTTGCAACGTCCTTCGCTGCACATGTTGCAATCCTTTAGTCTTTTCTGCAGCCTCGCGAGTTCTTTCAGCGACCTCTCTCGCCTTTTCTTTTGTAATCTCTTTGGCGTCTTCTGCAGTCTCACGGACGTCTTCAGCGGCTTCTCTGGTCTTTTCTTTCCCTATCTCAATACCATCTTCTACCGTCTCTCTTCCCTCCTCAATATTATCAAGGAGGAAACGTTTGTCTCTCGTAATCATTCCATTGGCTGTATAAAGATTTATTATTGTATTCGGGGGTTTACATTAATCTAAACATTTCTCAAAAGTGTATGCAAAATATTTTTACTCAAACAGCGATATAGCTTGAGTAACATTTGCTCCGAATACAATCTTGAACAAAATACTGCAATCGGCTCGGCACCGCCTATGAATCGGAGCAAATGTAAAAGGTGGGAAGGTCGCGGCTCCCAAAAGGACCCAGAATAAGAAGAATTCAAGGTTAGGTGTCATTCTTTATATGGTACCATTCTGTGGAGATTAACACATGTCCTGTTTAAGAACCCATATTCTTACTATTGAAAAATGATTCTACCTCTACTCTCCCATATGAATTTACTCGTCAAGACTTGATCAACTTGAGTTCTTCTGAGAAAATGAGGATTTCGGCAAGGGTGTCATTGACTTATAATGGGGATGCAATATACTTTATCTTGCATATTTTCAGGTAGAGTCTCAACAAGTGTCGATTCATATATTGTAAGAATATACAGGGTGTCTCAAAAAAATGTACCCAAAAGTATATCAAGAGCACAGATAAACCAATCAATATTTTCAGACATTTTTTGCATGGTCATGTAGCCAAAACATGAAAGTTTTCTCCCCAATACACCATTTTTATTTCAGTCTTGTCTTTTTGATGCTTTAACCCTTTACCTTTTACACCACATAATCGATGTAACCTCATATTTCGATGACAGCCTGTATCCTTACTGCGACATTGTTCTTCACATTTGATAATAATTCTGATGGAATGTTTTGGATTTCTCTGCTGTTCTAGGTCTTTATGCTTGGAATGAGCATTAAAACACTCCTTCAAATAGCCAAAGAGAAAGATGTTTGAGGATGATGATGGCAGAACAAACACAGATAATCAGGTCAATTATCGTCAAATGATTCAGGAGTTACCCTCCTGAGTTAGGCAGGCTAGCCTGGAGACCAAATCATATCCAAATGAAAACACAGTGGTCTCAAATTGATACACAAACAAAAGCTACATTAGAATCGCAAGCAATGCAGTTTCTTGAACCTCTGACCTCTCTGTATAAGGGGGCTATAAGACATCGTGAGGGCCTCCCTATTCACCATATTTGATGGCCAATACTTTTTTCTCTGAGGCTACTTGAAGGACCATTTTTTATGCTAAACCCAAGCTAAGAGACCTAGAACAACTTAAGACCAGCATCCGAATAGAAATCAAAACATTCCACCAGATATATCAAATGTGATGAACAATGTAGTAGTAAGGATGCAGACTGTCATCGAAATATGAGGTTACATTGAATATGTGGTGTAAAAGGTAACAGGTTAAAGTATCAAACGGGCAAAACTGAATTAAAAACTGTGCATAGGGGAAAAAACTTTCATCTTTTATCTACAAGACCATGCAAAAAATGTCTGAAAATATTGATTGGTTTGTCTATGGTGTTGATATACTTTTGGGTACATTTTTTTGAGACACCCTATATATATATCAGGTGTCCCAAAAGAAATGTGCCACTTTTTGACAAGTATTATCTCCGTCGGCAACTGATGAAATAAATTCATTGAAAATTTGTACAAAGTAGCCCGGGAGTATCGGCAGCAAGGTATAAAAATATGAAAAAAGATCGAGAAAATGTTATGTGAGTACTAAGAAATTCAAGACAGCATGTCATAATAGCCCATACCGGAGCAACGCAATGAGAACTTTATAGCATTTCAAATTAATTCTCCCCAAAAAATGAGAAGCAATTTGACAAGTAATTTCTCAGCAATAGATGAGCCAAATTCTTTGAGAACTTTACCTGAGGCACTTTAGGTTATCCTCTGCTAGTGCCATGAATATGTAAGAGATTGGTCTCATAGTATGTGTGTATTTTAGAATTAAGGACAGTGAGTCAAAATAACCAATATCAATGTAAAAGTCACTTATTAATGCATTTCCGAGCAAAAATACTTTTCCGCATTTATTCTTACAATATCACCTCCAATGAATTTGAGAATGAATTGGATTTTGGATATTTGGGATGAATGAAAAACATTAATCAGACATCACTCGGCTCCCATCGAATGCAATGAAGACTGAGCAAGCGGAGATGATAGCTGGTACAAACATTTTTAAAGTCTTATATCAGAGCTCCGGCTTGGGAATTTTTGACATGCAGTTTTGAATTGCTTAGAACTCACATAATATTTACTTGATCTTTTTTATATTTCGACAACTTGCTAAGGATACTCTTAGGCTACTTTGTACAATTTTGCAGTGAATTTAGTTCATACGTTGCCAAGATAATACTTAGCAAAATGTGGCTCATTTTTTGGGACACCTGATATATATATATGTAAGCACTAGTGCCATCCATTTTCAAAAGTAAGAAAATGGGTTCTTTAATATGACATTAAAGCTTAGAACTATGGTATCTTTGAAACTCGTTGAAAGTATTAATAAAGGGTCCTGAGGAACTTCCGTGTTCAAAATTTATAGTATTATGTTAATAGATAGGATCGCGTAGTGACTTTCCTTAAATTTTGACATCCCTTCAGATTTTGACAAAAGATTCAATTCAATAAATGCACCTTTAAAAAGATGGTGAAAAGACCAAATAGAAAATAATTTAAAAATACAAAATACTCGTTCGAAAATACAATAAAATACTGTGAACATATTATGATGTCCTATCAAATCTCAAGAGAAATAGTTCATCATTATTTATTGATACGTTATATCTTCGCATCCTATGAAAACTTGGTAGTTGCCTTGACGATTTGCCATATTAGAAAATAAAAGCAGGGTTTGCGGAACCGTAATGCATGTGAATGGTCCAACCTGTTCCATAGATCGAAGTACTCTGCCTAATTCGCAGGGGAGCTTCGTAAAAACAACAAGTATTCATTCATTCATCACGTGACAGTGCACGTAACATCGTCGGGAGTTTTCAGATCAATGGAAATGTGTAGTATATCTGTAGAATATTCTGTTTTACACAGATATCGCTTTTCATGCATTTGAAAAATATCATACATATATTTACCTGATGTCATACAGATGTGACCTCAACAATGGGACAAGGTTACATTTTTGCCCTTACCTAAAACCACTTTGATGACTCGTTTTCTACTTGGGTTAAGGAAACTTTTGGAAGTTTTGCCATCGAGTCTGACATCCCGTAAAGAAGCTAGAAAACCATAAAGTATCAGAACTTGCATCACAATTTGTTAAATATTACAACTAATTAAGCATAATATTGTAACTTAATATAGACCGTATGTACGAATCTAAAAATACATCATCAGAACATGTACAACAAACTGTGGTGTTACAAATAACATTGATTGTTATTGTATATGTATATTGTATATTGGTTAATATATATATCTTATAGTAGAACAAAGGAAACAAGTATTCAAAACCAGTTGTCAATGCTGATTAGTTGTAAAATTAGAAGTAAAATATGAAGAAATGTTTGAATTCGTACATCTGTGAAATGAAAATATCATCTTGACAAATTCGGAACTTCTTTGAAAATCTTGGAACTTCAAAATCACCCTAAGCAAGAGGCAATCAACCACAAGTTACCTTTCATGAAGTGCCCATTGAGAATCGATCGCCTGTCATGTGATATGTCTCCTAAAAGTAAAAATTGTTGTATAAACAATAATGTATTGCTGATATTCGATAAAATAATCAAAATTTGGACAAACTAGCCTAAGAGATCTATATGTATATACTTAGTCTAGTGTATACACTTTGAGTCTAATATTTATCATGTACATTCAGAAATGCTTCTTACTTTTTCTGCGGCGTCTGCAACCACTAGGACAAACGCTTTCTCCGTTTTTAATTTTATTTTGAAGGTTTGTGATCTCTTTCTTTGCAGCATCTAGCTTTCCAACCTCTCTCCTGGCCTTTTCTACAGATTCTTTCCACTTTCTCTCTAAGACATCAACCTTTGCTTTCTGATTACCTATCTCTTCAGCCTTGGAGTTAATTGAATTCTGGATCCTGTCAACCTAAAATATCATGAGCAGTGAGTCGTGGCTCAAAAATCATTTAATGAGCGACATGCCATAAACATTCTGAGCGTTATGAGAGATTAATACTAATATATTAAAATGAGCCTCGGACTCAAACTTACAATGCATGAGAAAATATATATTAACTTTAGAGCGGCATTTAACATATAGACGAATTGTGAGAAATCTAAAAATGCAAAAGACATACCAATAAAATTTATATGACAGCATTTTGTTCCTTGTTTGTTTTGAAAACTGACACAAACATTTCAAAGCTATCGATTATTTGACGAAGACCTTTTAGATAAGAATATGTTTTCTCGTCTGCATGGTTAGCAATACGTCATATACAGGGTGGGCCAAAAAAAAGTGAACCCCTGCAACAGGCTACAATTTTCTTAATACATGCATGAATTGGCTCATATTATCACATGTTGTAGAGAAAGGTCTAAAATCTTGGTTGATGCTATAATTTATTCTCAGTCTTACATTTATAAAAAATTACAAGCGTTTAACAAACATGCCTGGAAATTAGATATTGTACAAAATTTTACAAATGTGATTCATGGAAATTGTTGAAACACATTGGATGATCTTAAACAGCTTTCAGTTAGAGATACAAGTTTAAAACCCTACCATATGACAAAAGGGACACTATCCAAGCAGAAAACACATTTCACACTTTCATTGATCATTTTGAAGCATTTTTAACTGTTCAACAGTTCAGGGGTATGTTACCTACACCAACAGTTAGAGAGGGGCCTCTTATGGAAGGAAGTTGCCCCCTGTGACCAGGAATCTGATAACCCCTTTATCAAATATCTTTAAAAAATCAAAAGAAAATTTAATATTCAATGTTTTGAGCCATATATCATAAGAATTGGTCCATGATTTATGAAGATATTGACATTTCAAGATCATATAGGGGTATGTTCATGATTTCACTGGAAAATGTTTTCTTCTGTGGAAGCTTAGCACATCTCTTTAGATCACAATAACTTTGCAACTAACAAATGTAGGATGCTCATTTTAAGCCATAATGTGCAAGATTTAAAATTGAACAAAGTCAGAAAATATTAGTTCTTTAACACTGCAGCTTAAAAAATTCACTGGGGAAAGGTGTTAAAGGGTTGAAGAATCGCGGATATTGAAAATGACAATTTGTCCATTTTCAGTAATGTTTGGTTAAGGCTTATAATTTCTGCAAATTTCAAGACTAAGAAAAATGTATGGTATCAACATAAATTTAAGACCTTCCTCTACAACATGTGAAAATAAAAAATAATTCCTGCAAGTAATAAGGGAAATATGGCCAGTTGCAGGTTTTTTTTGGACCACCCTGTACATATTTGCTAAAGAAACAATGCCTACTTACATCGGATTTTTTCTCTCGAAGATCATCAGCAGCATCTTTCAATTCTCCTTTAGCTGAATCAAGTTCCCTTTTGGCTGCATCAAAAGCTGCAGTTGCTTCCTTACTTAGATCACTTATTGCGCCAGTAACTTTATTTTTCAAATTTTCCAGGAGAGTTTGTTTAAAATAGCCAGCTACTGAAAACTTTGCAGTAGCCAAGGAGGCATAATTAGCTGTAATGGTAAGTTGGGCCTCAAAGAGACTCAAGAAGCTACCTCCAATTTCAAAGTAAATACCTCTTGAATCTATGGTTATATTTACCGATGCACAAATTTTAAGCACACACACCCTTCCCATAATATCTATCTTGGCTCGAGGTGGATTCCACCCAACGTCAACTAACAACTCAGGGCCATATTTACCGTCACCATCAATGCTGATTAGATCATTCCCAATATTAAACCTATCAACCATCACCAAAATGTAAATACCATTGATATCCAAGCGCATGGTACTACTGACCCTAAAGTCAAGGATCTGCAAGGTACCATTAAACCTAAAACCACTCGGGATGTTAACACCATTTGGCAACATTTTGCCAAATTGTGAATAAGATATAGCAAGACCATCTGGGAAACCGATCTCCTCCAAAGCCTTTGGGAGACTTGGGAAATAAGCAAATGCGGCCAATACGTCAGGGATTGTTAAACTAGAAATTTCGCCCATGAAATAACTTTCTGATGGAACAATTTTGTTAAGACCAATAAATAAAGATGCGTTAAACAGTCTTGCTTTGGGGTTGCCAATCATACCGATCTGACCACGCCCTCCTAGATGCAGCTCTGATATGAGGGTAGGTTCTGGCGTTATGCCTATCTTGATGTAGAGATCGCATATAGTTAGTATAGGGATTGTAAATGGTTTAACCCAACATCCAACCATTGCCATCTCCAAGGTTGCACCCCCAGTTGTTGAAAACCCAATAGCACCACTGAAACTTAATGCTGGATCATCTATAACTAGACTCGCTACAAGGGCAACCTCGATCATAGGTGGTCTAACAATCACTCTAAACCCCAATCCTGACAGAGTGAAACCCTCGGCAATCGTTATTTCTGTTGGTATTGTCACCTCTAGAAGAAGATCGTTAATTGCAAGACGACCTTTGATAATCAGTGAAAAATCAGCTCCAAAGAATTTTTTGAAGACTCCACAGACAATATCACCTGAACAGTCCTGGGGTAGTTTTATTTGAGCAACTAAACTTACCCCATCGAGTATATTAGTATCATCTAACATTGCCAATCGGAATTTTAAATCACTCCTTCCTATGCTCGGTATTTCATGAGTCGACGTTACGAAACCTATAGAACTTTCGTCAAATATTCTACTGCCTGGCATCGAAGATATGTCAATTTCACCATTTGTGAGTTTATCTATTACACTGCTGAGTTTTGTCTTTTCGAGTACAACTCCAAGGGCCATTAGCATAGCTCCATCTACCTTACCTCCTAAAACTTCTACTTTAGAGGCATCAAAACTACCTATTACCGCAGTGCCACTTACCCTCATCCCAAAGTTTTTGCCTATCAAGACCTCAATACATGGATCGTCGATTGAAAAGGTTTCAAATGCATCTGCGACAAAATCTGGAAGAAATGATGACGCTAATTTTGCCATGACTTTCCCAACTTGTAATGGTCTATCCGAGCAAGCGGATGCAAGAAATTCAGAACCACCTGGTGGTTTGCTGATTGTTAATTCGATCGGATAGTCTCTTATCATCCAAGTTCCACTTGCCACAAAGCTTAATGTCTTGGGTTTTCCCAATCCAATGACAAACTCAACCTGGGGTTCTTCTATCTCAAACACATTTTCAACTATCGTTATGTCATCCTCAATTACCACTGGAAAAGAGAGTTCATTGACTTCACCATTGAAGTTCATATTAGAGAGACCTTGATTGAGAAAAGAGGCTAAAGGAAAACCGGGAGGAAGCTGGATATTGATTGAATCAAGAAGTGTGTTAAGAATACTCTCAATATCAACCTGAGGTCCTGGCAAAATTTTAAATCCAATTGACCTTGGAGGAGTATATGTAACCATGAAATTCATTGGATCTGAATTTCCATCTAACCTTGCACTAAACAATATTGTCACACCCTTAGCTACTGAAGGTAATAGGGACATGACATCAGACTCACTGTTGTAATCGACTATTAACATGGGAATATCTTTGGAGGCCCCGATTAAAGCTACCTCTGGAAACTCTAAACTACCGATAAGAGGAACACTAGAAATATCATAGTTCGCAATATGTTGAATAATGGATGCAAGCGTGAGGTCTTTCAATAGAGCAGCCAATGAAAATCCATTATCATAGTCACCTCCTTCCCTCAGTCTATTAAAGTTTAACATGATGGCCGTGCTTCCTAATCCAGACACTGTTGCAGTAAAAGAAAATTGGACACCAATACCCGAGTCAGTAAATTTTGCAACAAGGCTCACATCACTAATCGTGATATCATTTAATTTTAGTTCATTAAAAAGGGACGATGCACTTGTCGAATCTCCTGGAACAACTGCATTCGTTACACTCCCTAACAGTTTGGCTAGGGACAGATCCGATGAAAGAGGACGGGCAATTATTTCATATTCTCCACTATCGTAGCTCGCCTGAATTGTAAAAGCAACTCCTCCCAAGTCCCATGTTGCACTGAACGAAACAGATATAGATTTTGTTGGTATTAAAATAGTGAGATCGATCTCGATATTTGTAACACTCAACGCAGATGGGATAATTGTTATTTTCCGATCAGCAAATAGAGCAACGGAAAGTGTGACAGTTTCATCACAGACATTTACTTCAAAATATTTAACAACCAAATCAGACAAATCGATAGGATTTCCCCCAACTGAGCCAATTTGAAGAGCCTCAGTTATACCACTTATAGTATTCAATACTTTTTCAATAATAACGGTAACAGTGAGACAGTCGTCAGGATTGGGTATGGTGGATATTATACAACCATCAGATGATAAGGAAACACTACAGTCATCCGTTAGAGCCAGCTCTTTGGTGAACTCGAATGATTTAAACTTAGAAAATTCATCCAACGTGGGCAAGTCATCTGAAATTAAACGAATTAACACCTTGGTATTTGGGGTGATAATTACATAATTCACAAAACTTACATTGTTTCATTTAGTAAAATTCTTTATTATGATGCGTTCATGGAAAAGCTTTGTAAAGAAGCAATCTAACCATGCTTTGTAGCATGTTCAACTGTTATATGTTTACATTTATTATTGCAGTCGCAATGGTTACCTGGTAAATTAAGCCCAGTTGTTGGATCTATTTCTTCTCCCGATGGAGAAGTTGTTTGGCCATCGCCTGACTGAGCTGTTGTTTGGCCATCGCCTGACTGAGCTGTTGTTTGGCCATCACCTGACTGAGCTGTTGTTTGGCCATCGCCTGACTGAGCTGTTGTTTGGCCATCGCCTGACTGAGCTGTTGTTTGGCCATCGCCTGACTGAGCTGTTGTTTGGCCATCGCCTGACTGAGCTGTTGTTTGGCCATCACCTGACTGAGCTGTTGTTTGCCCACCGCCTGGCTGAGCTGTTGTTTGACCACCGCCTGACTCAGTTGTTGTTTGTGCATCGCCTGACTGAACAGTTGTTGAGCTACCGCCTGACTGAGCAGTTGTTTGGCCACCGTCTGGCTGTGCTGTTGTTCTTCCAATATCTGGCGCTGTGGTTGTTGGTGCTAAAATACAACATGTAACGAATAACAACGAATCCGTTCATCGTTATTTCAAACGGTTTCATCTGTGATAACCGCTTATTTTGACATCGGCCTTGATTAGAATTGATTAAAAGCTATAATTGTTTATAATGGGAGGAAATAAATCCTGCGAAAAATATAACGTCAGCCCTTTTAAGCTCACTGGATGTACATGTGTATTCTGAAAAAGTGACTGCACCTGCATTTTTCTGTAAAAACGTTTCCAAATTATCGATATCTTTCTTAAGTGTGTTTAAAGCTTTTACACGTTTTTTGCCTTTTGATTTTTCTAGTCTTCTTAAATTATTCCTGGCCTCCTTTGCAAACCTTTCCAATGCTTTTAGTTCGTTTCTTATTTGTCGAGGTAGTTTCTTCTTGGACAATTCACGTTTTGTTTTCAGCTAGAACCAAAGATAAAACACAGCTTAAAGGTCGGTATGAACATATTTTACTTCAAACTATTACATTGGACATATATTCAGCGTGATCAATGTCACATTGATTTATGTTCAATGAAGTCGATTCGACTTTAAGGAGATGACTACTGCGTGTCCTGTTTGGCCTCAAAATATGCAAATATAGCAATGTTAAAGAGCTCTGTGAGATGAAGTTACCAAAAATGTAGTGCGAAGGTACAGAACATCTACAAGTAGTATATCCATCTACAGAAACGACTAATCAAATGAGCAATGCATGTATAAATACATTAAAGGGAAGCGATTTTTTGAGGTCACAAGAAATACTATGAGACAAAGCCTCACACTTGAGCCCAAAAGTACAACGAAATTAGAATTATAGAATGTCGAGTCTTCGGAGGTTCCATTTTGTCAATTTTACATTTAAGATTGACCTTTATCACCCTTGGTATACGCAGCTAACGAAAATTGACTGGTACGGGTCAAAAGCTGGACCGGTATGGGTTAACGGTTTTATTTGAATTTAAAATAGCCATAACTTGCTCAATATTGACTTCCTCGTGTCTAATTTGAAATATATGATGCCTCCCGATGCTTTTAAGTACCCCAAGTTTTTACAGATTTTTAAACGGACCAAAACTCTCTAAATGCGCATTTATGCTCTTTTCTTTCGAGAACGACTGTCTCATTTTCACGATAACTTTTATTTAGTACTTCTAACATATAAGATCTATTTTCCCCATCAAGGTATGATGTAAATGACATGCTATTTACATCTTGTGAGTTTCAATGACGCGCGTTTGATTTTATAAAAAATGCCAAACTTTGTGACAAAGAATTTCATCAGCTATTGCCCCGAACCGGTCCGTCTTCTCGCTGCAAGCAGCTTGCCCCAAACCGGTCCGTCTTCTCGCTTCAAGCAGGATGAAATTCTTTGTCACAAAGTTTGGCATTTTTTTTATAAAATCAAACGCGCGTCATTGAAACTCACAAGATGTAAATAGCATGTCATTTACATCATACATTGATAGGGAAAATATATCTTATATGTTAGAAGTACTAAATAAAAGTTATCGTGAAAATGAGACAGTCGTTCTCGAGAGAAAAGAGCATGAATGTGCATTTAGAGAGTTTTGGTCCGTTTAAAAATCTGTAAAAAATTGGGGTACTTAAAAGCATCTAGAGGCATCATATATTTCAAATTAGACACGAGGAAGTCAATATTGAACAAGTTATGGCTATTTTAAATTCAAATAAAACCGTTAACCCGTACCGGTCCGGCTTTTGACCCGTACCGGTCAATTTTCGTTAGCTGCGTATATCAAGGGTGTTTATATTTCAGATGATTATACAATGATTTTCCTTCAAAATATGAACATATAAATTATCAAAATGGTACATTCTCTTTACCTGTAAATAGTAGTTGAGAACGGATGCTACTCTAGTCCATCTTTGGAAGTTCTTTTTATTTTTGCTGTTCATCTTAATTCTCAATAGGTCAGGCAACAGCGATTTGGCAGCTATGGTGGTCAATCTTTCTAAAGTTTTCTGGGGGCTTTGTATTAAAGTATCACCTAGTATTAAAGACAGTCACATTTTCAAATTTATAAAAAAATGAGTTTTTTTCAATAAATGTGTTGTGCTAAATATATAATTATATAGTTACACTTGAAATGCGTTGAAAAAAGATTTAGTGTCAACGTTCTTAATTTTGTAACATTTCCATATAGGTAAAAAAGCAAAAGGTTAAGTAATCAGGACAAAAGTCAGACTGTCCGACCGTCATAGAAAAATAGAACACGTCATATTAATCGAAGACTAAACGTATAAATAGTGTCCGAATGATATCATTTCTCTTAATCGTTCGCGTCAGAAAACAGGACAGTGTAAACTACAAAAAAACATGACAGAACCGTTTATTCTTATAACTCTAATCCTACTAAATAGAGATAGGGAATCTAAATAATGACCAAATACTATTTTGATCAACTATTAAAAAGTATTTGGGATTAACTTACCTTTTAAAAAATTTCCAAAGAACGGTAGTCGACTTAATGCTGACAAGTTGTCTAGTGCGTCCCTTACAAGCTTAGCTTCAGATTTGACATTTTTACTTTTTTTCAATTTTTCCATTTGATTAATGATTTCGGATGCTATCCTTGCAACTTCCCCAAATGGAATCTCATCATGTTTTTCTTCTATAAATGCGTTTGCCTTGTCCTATGGTAAATAAAACATATATCAATAGTTCTAAATGTTATAGCTGAAGTAGGCTAACCATACATGTGACAATACAATACAAATACAGTTTTGCTGAACGCGAATTAATTGTACACTAATTAAGATGTCTATGTAGCTGACCTTACATATTAAACCAGAACATGCCATCATCGCCATCTGTACTTTAAAAGAGAGCCGTTAAGCTTGCATATAAAATAGAAACGGCAACATATACGTATAAATCGCCCATATACAAATGCATGTTGTTTTCCCGCATTGTCATTCGGTTACATTGTTTACTAAGGCTTTATTGCAGCATGTACTATGTCATTGGTATTTTTTAGCTGGTTTTCAATGATACACGTTTCGCTCGTTCCCTGGGATATTTGGAGGTAAGACATGTTTGACATACATCATTATCTTCAGAAAGCATAATTCTGTGCATCGAAATCAAAATTGCCTGCATAGTATTCAATAGATTGAGTATATAATGATTCCCGTTGACATTTACGTGAAATTGCAAATTTCCCGTTCTAAACACGGAGATCTGAGGCTGAACGGGTATCTCAAGTAGACAAATTAGCGCAAATTTTGCATGCGCGTATTACCCTTACTATTCTGATTTTGCACTTTCTGTTCACGGTTGTTGTGACAAACATTGCAAGCTTAAAGTCTATAATCCTTGTTCATGCGTCAAAAATAATGTCACAGCCCGAAAACATACCTTAATATAGCGAATAATGGGTCTTGTCATATCATTTGAACGATCAAATGTCTTTACAAACGACCTTAGCTTCTTTTTTGATGTTATCAAAATCTTGTCATAAATGTTACGCAGCACGTCAGATTCCGCCTTGGCTTGTTCCACTACAGGTTTGAGCTCGTCTAATACGTTTTCTGTAAGTGTATGTAAATATGTCGACTGATTGTTTTCTTACTACATGAGTAAACAATTGCTGCCATCATAAAATAGTAAAATAAATTATATTTTATATATAACAGAGATCAGAAGTTGGATCTTAATTTTAAATTAGTTAACTTCGTTTAGAAAGGATTATCGAAAATATGTGGGAAATAGTAACATTGATCCTAAAAGTAGATATTTTTTCACTAAAAGACAGCTTATATAAAAATAAGTTCTTACGTTGATTTGCGTTTACGGCGCTCTGCTGGTATGCCGACCATGTTATTAGCAAAATTAAAAATGTACACCAGCCTATTTAAAAACAAATGTAACATAATACAGGAGCTACTTTTTATCATTTATTTATACATTTATTATACATTGTGAGTATGCTAATAATTCAATTGTAAAAGACGAATGGTCACGATGATGGAGTTTCTGAAACCCAGTATCCGCGATTTCATCTTTATTAAAGTCTACTTTATAAGATATCATAATTGGTATTTGGGTTCATAAACTTTTGATCACAAGCTATTTTTTATAAATGTATTATAACCCGTATCGAGAAAATGAATGAAATGAAAATGGTTGTTAAAATATACGATATTTTCTTCTAAAGAGATATAAATGTAGAATCCATCGTTAGAACTATTAGCTTTCATTATAAAAATGAAAAAATAAAAACGTAAAACTTGTGATTTCATAAACGCAAACTAGAACTAAACTAAATCGTAATTTACCTGTCATTTTGTAGAGCTCCAGTATCGATGGAAAATATTACCTAAATTACTAGCATTTATACCACATAGAAATACTCGCGGCAAGGACATGTTTTTATTCAATTGAATGCATATTCATAAAGACAATTGATATATTAGAATAAATATATTAGAATGCATATTTTATATTCATTGAAATGCACTACATTTACGAGATGAATTCAAACATACAGTATGTAGAGTCAGCCTACTGTCCAAAACAAAACAATAGCAATTGTAAGACCGATCCGATCTATCCATAGCATGTTTTTCAATATATGTGGTCCATCTTAAACATCACACAAAACATCACAGCGATTAGTAAGGATAAAACATATATCTAGAGTAATTCCTTTTCAATAATACGTCACTGATAGATTCTATATTTTATTTAAAATAAAGATTCATAAACAAATAGTATGTATAGGATTTCTCAAACGTACACTTTTGTGCTGATCACAGGGACTATGGGAAATTGTTCGAAAACAAACATGTCAGATATTCTATGGAGGATGCTATTTATTTAATCAGCCATTTCACGCAAACAACACATCTATGAGCTGATGAATTAGCTATTGCATTTTGTTTATTTACATTTGACCTTTTTTCATGCCAATATACACAGTAACCTCGTTTTATTGTCTTGTATAGTTATTGTTTTTGCAAATGGCCTATTTGTTGGTGAATTATTATGATTAAACTTTTTCGATTCTCAATAATATCTGAAATATTCATTGGATAAACTTTAAAGCAAATTCTTTCCGAACATACAGTATCTTTTTATTGGCTCATCACCATTTTTTCAGGTTTTCATGATTGCCATATTCTGCTAAGATACCAATTTTGTGTCTTTTGTTTGAAAATGATAAAATATCTTATTTTTCTGGAATATGTATCGTCTTTATTCCAATCAAAATTTTATTTCTCCATATGGATTTTCACCATATGACATAAACAGTTTCATCTCTTACATTATTTTAACGCAGTCTATTTGCATTGACATTACTTAAAATGCATATTGAATTTAGACTCGATAATCTTGACCAATGTCTACCTCGGATATATGGGAACAATACTAGTATTCATTGCCATGCTCCTATTAAACATACAGTATGTCCCATGTTTTACTCGGACACATTACAAATTTAAACATCATATCAAATTGCTTCTTGAGTTCTGGCCTACTATGGCATCCATAATGTGTACTTTCCTTTCAACTGATATATTTCATCAGCCACACAAAAGGATTAGGGCAAGAAAGCCAGAGTTTAGGGCCAGGGGCAAGGAGCAGACAGAGATTAGATTGCACAACATATCGTTAATTGATTGTATCAGGTGTACCAAAAAATGAGCCACTTTTTGACAAGTATTATCACAGCACTGACTGATCAACCAAATTCACTGAAAAATTGTACAAAGAACCCCCAAGAGAATTATTAGCAAGATGTAAAAATATAGAAAAATCAAGTAAATATTCTGTGAGTTCTAAGAAATTTAAAATAGCATGTCAAAAATTCCCATACCGGAGCTCTGATAAGAGACCTCTATAGTGTCTGCACCAGTTATCATCTTCGCACGCTTGGCTTTCACTGCGTTCGATGGGAGCCGAGTGATGTCTGATTAATTATTTTCATTTATCCCAAACATCAAAAATCCAATTCATTCTCAAATTCATTGGAGATGATATTGTTAGAATAAATACGGAAAAGTATTTTTGCTTGGAAATAGATTAATAAGTGACTTGTACATTGATATTGGTTATTTCGACATACTGTCTTTAATTCTAAACTACACACATAATATGAGACCAGTCTCTTACATATTCATGGCACAAGCAGAAGATACCCTAAAGTGGCTTATCTATTGCTGAGAAATTACTTGATGTCAAATTTCTTCTCATGCTTTGGTCGAAAGCTATAAAGTTCTCATTGCGTTGCTCCGGTATGGGCTATTATGACACGCTATCTTGAATTTCTAGTACTCACATCACATTTACTTGATCTTTTTCATATTTTTACACCTTGCTGCCATTACTTTTGGACTACCTTTTACAACTTTTCAGTGAATTTTGTTCATCAGTTGTTGAGATAATACTTGTCAAAATGTGGCTCACTTTTTGGGACACCCGATAAATAATTTATGCAATGGTATTATTCCAATTTAATTATTAAAGATGAAATGCATCAGAAAAAATCATATACATAAGCCACTATATGAGCGAGCACTCAAAATCAATAACTGCTCGAATTTTTTCAGTTTTTGAGTTCTAATATCCCAAAACTGGTACACAATTTTAAAAGATAGTCAATTGCTAAAATGTGTAAAACCTATAGGGGAATAAATATCCTGACTTTCATGAAAAAATATTGAATTGTAGTCACCAATTTTGAGAAACTAAAACACAGTTTGTGGTTTAGTTTGATGACTTTGACCTTTGACCTTGCAAATTTTACTTTTTTAGACCTCAGTAAGTTTTTTGTGATTAAATATACCTAAATGATCCGTACCAATTAGTGAACCTATAAAGACTTAGCAATTTTTTGAAAAGGGTAAATTGGAATTCCAGGATTATTATTATATAATATGAATCTTTAAGAAGTATATTTTCAACAAATCACAAAAATAATATTTAGAATATGGTAAAAAGTTGTTTTTACAGTCATTCTAAACACATGTCATTCTGACTCTTAAAATGCATTGTGTCTGAGCATAATAACCTTCCCTAATGCCAGGGTCACATATGCTCCGATCCATCGGCCGGCGCCCGGCCGATTGAGCGTTTGTTCAATATTGTATTCAAATTTGAACAAAATACTCAATCGGCCAGGCGCCGTAGTGAAAATCGGGGCAAATGTGACCAAGGCATTAGCAGATCAACCATGCATAGATACTTTGTAACCCTCTTGTTTTGAAAGGCACGCTATTGTGTTCTTGTTTTTAAGAATGCATGACCTTCTGTAGTCACTGACAGATTGAGGTGCTTCCGCAGGTCAGACCCCCTCTGATTTCATCTTTATTGTTTAGTGTTGACATTATTGCAGAGTTCAATTTAGTTTCAAAAGGAGGCCATATTAAATCTGCCGGACACCAAGGCAACAAACTATCAGACAAATCAAAAGCGTAAATTTATTTTTGATTTATCAGCCATACATGCCTCTGAAGAGTACGTATATGTTGCAGAGGGACTGAATTTATATCCATTTAGTCATTAAAGGGACACAAAAGGTAGTTCTCATGCTAATGAACACTAAAATGTTTTAAACAAAGAATCAAATGGGTCAATCTTTATTTGATTCATCAGTCATCATCTCTGGGGATGATATGTTGCAGAGACACTGAATTAATATCCATTTAGCCATTAAGGGACACTCCTTGTAAGGTAATTCTCGCCAAATAGCCAAAATACATCTTTTGAGATGGAGGCCCTTTCTTGAGGGCCTCCTAATTAATGACATTAACATGATTGTCAAGTTGTCAGGTTCAATAAAACTAATAAATGAACTTAAGCGTCTGATTTGATTAAACACATTACTATATTGTATTTATAAACATTAATTACAAAAATAGACAAGGTATACTAATACTACACATAAAACTGGACGGCTGATGCTGCCAAACGTGCACACTGGATACGTGGAAGGTTACTGGGCTTATGCTGTACGTAGACGGACGTTATGGTAGATGATACAATACACGTGAACTATCGAGAGTCTAATATCACGTTCACCACGTGAAGATACTGGCTGGACGTGTTGGTAGACTTCTTACTCGAGTCGGTTTATACTCACATCGACGTTACTGGATAAGAGTCTATGAATGTGATAATAGTTACTTGGTTTTATGCTGTACGTAGGCAGACGTTATGGTAGATAATTCATTGCACGTGAATTAACGAGAGTCTAATATCACGTTCACCACGTGAGGATACAGGCTGAACGTGTTGGTAGACATCTTACACTAGTCCGATATTACACTGATACAACTCAGACACAATTTATAGACGCACGAGACGATACAAGGAGACAGTCTGTGCACGTACGCAGATACATTTCTCGTTGACAGCTACATACTACACCAAAACTATAAAAAATGGATAATAAACCTATCTAAGACACACGTTTCTAGAATATACAAAATCTAATACTTTCAACTAGTTCCCTATACTGGTACAGATAACCAATGGATGCTAAGAATAATACGCAATATAAGTGAACACCAAATACAAGAAGATTATAATCATCTTGAACAATATAACTTATCCTTGTACAATATAACTTATCCTTGAACAATTTAGCAATTACCATAAATAAACACAAGGGAAATATTGTAATGAATATATACTAAATAAATACCTCAGTATGTTTCACAAATGCTGACCACACATTGTACAAAGTCACGCCACGTGTTATGACAAGGTAAATGACATCGACACTACACGAATTCGAACATGTTGACACTTGACTTCACAGGAAAACGCACAACAGATAAACGTTGTTCACAAATGCAAAGGTATTTATATGAGTGGACAGTGAGTGAAATAGTGAATGAAATACTAAGGAAATGGAATGATGCCATTTGATTTCTATACTTATGAATACTACCTGTAGAGTAATTGAATGATAAAACTCGCGGTTGACTGAAACGCTAACCATACTTGACAATACTCCCCACGATAAGATTTCACTTAAAAATACAATTTTTAAAAATATGAAATCTCACTAGCGTGAAGGAATACGTGTTTAAGTATATATGAAAGTTTACAAAATTTAATGAAGTAATGTAACGTTTTTCAAACTAATGTACATGGAAACTAACATGTTGATTTATAAATGTGACACTGAGTAGACATAAAATAACATTAAATATCACGCCCGGTGATCGTAGAATTGGGACGGAGGGGGGGGGGGGGGGAGCAGGCAATTTCTGCTAGAAATTTCAACAAATCTGGAAGATTTATTTTTTAAAGAAGAAGTTTACTATTGAATTGCTAAATAAATAGGCTCACGGTATTGTAAAATATGTTAGGTATTCTAGGATTTTTTTTCAACCGATACTCTTTTAGGGTATAAGATCTATTAAAAAAGGCGCAACGCACCAACGTATACGGAAAAGTATTTTTGCTTGGAAATAGATTAATAAGTGACTTGTACATTGATATTGGTTATTTCGACATACTGTCTTTAATTCTAAACTACACACATAATATGAGACCAGTCTCTTACATATTCATGGCACAAGCAGAAGATACCCTAAAGTGGCTTATCTATTGCTGAGAAATTACTTGATGTCAAATTTCTTCTCATGCTTTGGTCGAAAGCTATAAAGTTCTCATTGCGTTGCTCCGGTATGGGCTATTATGACACGCTATCTTGAATTTCTAGTACTCACATCACATTTACTTGATCTTTTTCATATTTTTACACCTTGCTACCATTACTTTTGGACTACCTTTTACAACTTTTCAGTGAATTTTGTTCATCAGTTGTTGAGATAATACTTGTCAAAATGTGGCTCACTTTTTGGGACACCCGATAAATAATTTATGCAATGGTATTATTCCAATTTAATTATTAAAGATGAAATGCATCAGAAAAAATCATATACATAAGCCACTATATGAGCGAGCACTCAAAATCAATAACTGCTCGAATTTTTTCAGTTTTTGAGTTCTAATATCCCAAAACTGGTACACAATTTTAAAAGATAGTCAATTGCTAAAATGTGTAAAACCTATAGGGGAATAAATATCCTGACTTTCATGAAAAAATATTGAATTGTAGTCACCAATTTTGAGAAACTAAAACACAGTTTGTGGTTTAGTTTGATGACTTTGACCTTTGACCTTGCAAATTTTACTTTTTTAGACCTCAGTAAGTTTTTTGTGATTAAATATACCTAAATGATCCGTACCAATTAGTGAACCTATAAAGACTTAGCAATTTTTTGAAAAGGGTAAATTGGAATTCCAGGATTATTATTATATAATATGAATCTTTAAGAAGTATATTTTCAACAAATCACAAAAATAATATTTAGAATATGGTAAAAAGTTGTTTTTACAGTCATTCTAAACACATGTCATTCTGACTCTTAAAATGCATTGTGTCTGAGCATAATAACCTTCCCTAATGCCAGGGTCACATATGCTCCGATCCATCGGCCGGCGCCCGGCCGATTGAGCGTTTGTTCAATATTGTATTCAAATTTGAACAAAATACTCAATCGGCCAGGCGCCGTAGTGAAAATCGGGGCAAATGTGACCAAGGCATTAGCAGATCAACCATGCATAGATACTTTGTAACCCTCTTGTTTTGAAAGGCACGCTATTGTGTTCTTGTTTTTAAGAATGCATGACCTTCTGTAGTCACTGACAGATTGAGGTGCTTCCGCAGGTCAGACCCCCTCTGATTTCATCTTTATTGTTTAGTGTTGACATTATTGCAGAGTTCAATTTAGTTTCAAAAGGAGGCCATATTAAATCTGCCGGACACCAAGGCAACAAACTATCAGACAAATCAAAAGCGTAAATTTATTTTTGATTTATCAGCCATACATGCCTCTGAAGAGTACGTATATGTTGCAGAGGGACTGAATTTATATCCATTTAGTCATTAAAGGGACACAAAAGGTAGTTCTCATGCTAATGAACACTAAAATGTTTTAAACAAAGAATCAAATGGGTCAATCTTTATTTGATTCATCAGTCATCATCTCTGGGGATGATATGTTGCAGAGACACTGAATTAATATCCATTTAGCCATTAAGGGACACTCCTTGTAAGGTAATTCTCGCCAAATAGCCAAAATACATCTTTTGAGATGGAGGCCCTTTCTTGAGGGCCTCCTAATTAATGACATTAACATGATTGTCAAGTTGTCAGGTTCAATAAAACTAATAAATGAACTTAAGCGTCTGATTTGATTAAACACATTACTATATTGTATTTATAAACATTAATTACAAAAATAGACAAGGTATACTAATACTACACATAAAACTGGACGGCTGATGCTGCCAAACGTGCACACTGGATACGTGGAAGGTTACTGGGCTTATGCTGTACGTAGACGGACGTTATGGTAGATGATACAATACACGTGAACTATCGAGAGTCTAATATCACGTTCACCACGTGAAGATACTGGCTGGACGTGTTGGTAGACTTCTTACTCGAGTCGGTTTATACTCACATCGACGTTACTGGATAAGAGTCTATGAATGTGATAATAGTTACTTGGTTTTATGCTGTACGTAGGCAGACGTTATGGTAGATAATTCATTGCACGTGAATTAACGAGAGTCTAATATCACGTTCACCACGTGAGGATACAGGCTGAACGTGTTGGTAGACATCTTACACTAGTCCGATATTACACTGATACAACTCAGACACAATTTATAGACGCACGAGACGATACAAGGAGACAGTCTGTGCACGTACGCAGATACATTTCTCGTTGACAGCTACATACTACACCAAAACTATAAAAAATGGATAATAAACCTATCTAAGACACACGTTTCTAGAATATACAAAATCTAATACTTTCAACTAGTTCCCTATACTGGTACAGATAACCAATGGATGCTAAGAATAATACGCAATATAAGTGAACACCAAATACAAGAAGATTATAATCATCTTGAACAATATAACTTATCCTTGTACAATATAACTTATCCTTGAACAATTTAGCAATTACCATAAATAAACACAAGGGAAATATTGTAATGAATATATACTAAATAAATACCTCAGTATGTTTCACAAATGCTGACCACACATTGTACAAAGTCACGCCACGTGTTATGACAAGGTAAATGACATCGACACTACACGAATTCGAACATGTTGACACTTGACTTCACAGGAAAACGCACAACAGATAAACGTTGTTCACAAATGCAAAGGTATTTATATGAGTGGACAGTGAGTGAAATAGTGAATGAAATACTAAGGAAATGGAATGATGCCAATTGATTTCTATACTTATGAATACTACCTGTAGAGTAATTGAATGATAAAACTCGCGGTTGACTGAAACGCTAACCATACTTGACAATACTCCCCACGATAAGATTTCACTTAAAAATACAATTTTTAAAAATATGAAATCTCACTAGCGTGAAGGAATACGTGTTTAAGTATATATGAAAGTTTACAAAATTTAATGAAGTAATGTAACGTTTTTCAAACTAATGTACATGGAAACTAACATGTTGATTTATAAATGTGACACTGAGTAGACATAAAATAACATTAAATATCACGCCCGGTGATCGTAGGATTGGGACGGAGGGGGGGGGGGAGCAGGCAATTTCTGCTAGAAATTTCAACAAATCTGGAAGATTTATTTTTTAAAGAAGAAGTTTACTATTGAATTGCTAAATAAATAGGCTCACGGTATTGTAAAATATGTTAGGTATTCTAGGATTTTTTTTCAACCGATACTCTTTTAGGGTATAAGATCTATTAAAAAAGGCGCAACGCACCAACGTGCAAAAGTCAATGTTGTTGCTATAAATGAAGCAACAATGGTGTACATGACCTGTAATAAATACTTGTAAGTGACATTATCGTCACAAAATTAATGTTATTGCTGACTTTGTAAAATAAGTTTCCATAGGTGAAATAAAAAATAATCGAAAATAATTTTGGGACAGAGGGGGGAGCAATATATATTAAGGCATGATACATATTGCTCCCCCCCTCCGTCCCAAAATTATTTTCGATTATTTTTTATTTCACCTATGGAAACTTATTTTACAAAGTCAGCAATAACATTAATTTTGTAACGATAATGTCACTTACAAGTATTTATTACAGGTCATGTACACCATTGTTGCTTCATTTATAGCAACAACATTGACTTTTGCACGTTGGTGCGTTGCGCCTTTTTTAATAGATCTCATATCTTAGATGCCTATCGTTTCAGAAAAAATCCCAGAAGACCTAACATATTTTACCATACCGTGCGCCTATCAATTCAGCAATTCAATAGTAAACTTTTTCTTGAAAAAATAAATCTCTCAGATTTGTTGAATTTTCTTGCAGAAATTGCCTGCTCCCCCCCCCCCTCCGTCCCATTTTCACGATCACCGGGCATGAATATGATCAAATAATTTAAAGTTGAAATGTCAACTTTTTACATACATGTACATTACGTGTTCATGCAACATCTTAATGCAACATTTTACAAACTACTTTTTACTAGTACTACATTTTGTAACTACGTTTTACTACTACGAGTTACTACAACGAGTTACTACTGCGAGTTACTACGGCGAGTTACTACTACGAGTTACTACTACGAGTTACTACTGCGAGCTACTATTAATCTTAAGGTAATACTTGTACTTCAAAACTTTACACTGAGTAATCATTTACAATATTCAGACACTTGTCTGTCTTATTTAACAAAGTGTTAAAGTAAGTTTTCACAAATCTTATCAATTGTATACATGTGAGATACTACACGACTAAGATGCATACAGGATCTACAAAATCAAATACGCAGAATGAGGCCGGTACGTCTCATACACTTGTAGGTCACGTGGTCACTGCGATGATGCACAATCACATCGATCGACTGATCCGAGATGGTAAGTTCCCACACAGTCAGTACCAAGAATTCTACACCATACAGATATCCCCGAGAGTGGCGAGGTGCTGTTAAGATAGGATGACTTGAAATATCTTTCTATAATTTTGTTTGCCTTTTGGTAATATTCGTTGTTCTTACTTGATCTCTTCACGTCTAGTATTTTAGAAAGATCACGTATCTTTCTCAGTGACTTGTCAAGATTTTGTTCTAGTAAATCTACAGACTTGGTAACGCCTGTAAACGGTTTTACGCACAATGGTTCTATTTGCAATATATTACAAGTAACTTCTACAAACGAATTGAGTTTAATACTCTTGTCGTGCCCGTAATTTTGAAGTGTATGTTTGTTTCCGTAACAATACTGACTGAGTAGATATATTTGGATAAATTTCCTTCGAACAGTTGGCATGTTGTTGACAATCCTTCTCAAATGCTGTCTTTGGCTTTACTCCTTGACTTGATTGAGCATAAGCAGATGTGTTGTGTTTTATAATCGCGTTGTGTTTTGCGTTATATTGATTATTCACGTCACGTTCGGTTTTTGATAGAACTAATTGATCTGATGGAGTCATGGAGCTTTGATCAATTACATTGACTTTTTCGCTTTAACGTTGGAATTGATTGTTCGCGTCACGTTTGGTGTTAGGAGCAAAATTTGAGTCATGTTCGGTAATTTTTGAGTCACCTTCGGTGTTTGGAGCAATTTTTGAGTCACATTTGGTGTTCAGAGCAAACTTTGAGTCATGTTCGGTGTTCAGAGCAATTTTTGAATCGCGTTCAGTGTTTGGAGCAATTTTCGAGTCACATTTGTTTAATTAAACATTGTTGTTTTTCTCATTGTCATTCACGGTAGATTCTGTGAAATTTTTGCTTACTTTTGGCATAAGTGCTCCTGGTAAGTTACCAAGAACTAGGTCACAGATTGGTTGTTTTAAGCACAGTGCTTTAACTTTACCGGTGAAATACGGTGTTTTGACGAAGATTTCGGCTTCTGGAGCATTGCCTATTCTTCTATCTACAGTTAGGAATTGTCTATTTTTACCGGTAAACTGATGGTCTAAAACCAGTGCGTGTTTGATTATAACTAAAGTTTGATATTCGTGATATTCGTGTTAAATGCAACATATTGATGCAAAAGAAATTGAAAAAGCAGGGGTGGAAGAAGCCGAAAATCAGGAAAACATTTCAGAAAAAACATGTGGGTGGGGTGTTTGCATATTCCCTGTTTCAAAGTCAAAATTATTTCATCATCTCTTTGAGTGCTTTTCCTGGAGATAATGCATTGGCCTAACATATGCACCTGTTTAAATCCTCAGAAAATAACCAAAATCTTACATATGACTGTCAGGAATCTGTTGCGCTACTTTCCCTCCTCCTTTGGTCAGTTTTGAATTTCAGCCTATTTTTCATTTTTTACAAAACCAATTATCAACTGCCACTTCTATCGTCAGAGAGTATTCACGTAGCTATTAAGACTTTTTTGTACGCAATGATTGATTAAATATTTCATTCTTCGAAAATACTAGCTATTTATTATTCTTCAATTCAGTAACTAAATGTAAGGTCATTATGAATGAACACTCATTTATTACAAAATGATATACTAAATAAAATCTTTTGATTTGGAGTTTTTTAGAAAAATCAAAATGTCAGTATTGAATTATTGTTTCAGAATTTGACATCTTTGTGTGAACTTTGCATCGTCGGTTCCCACGCTCAATCACTACGTTCTATCCCGAGGTGAGGATAGGTCCGAAGCTTGATGAAGCAAGAAGCATATTTTTAAACTAGACTATCTTCCTTAACTTTGAGCCAAATTATTGTCCACAACTTGACTTATAAGTGGTGTAGAATCGAGAAATAAAAATATCTTACCAGTGACATTGTATTCGTATAACACAGCCAACAAGCATCATGCATCAACAAAATACCATAACGGCTGAGCATGACAAAAAGGAGTTAAAGCGATCACGTATCTTAGTAGTAGCCCCGGTAAAACATAACGACTTAGCGGTGAAGAGGCTCGTGAGGACAAAACAGGACCGGGGATCATTCAAAAATTGTACATTTATTTTCTATTGGGACTTATATGTTGTGGAAAAGCCAGTTGATTTGGAAATTATTTACAGAAACGCTTCTTTGATTGTGAATTCGAAGAATATCGATTGCGTGATAGGTGTCGGTGATGTTGGCGGCATTGTCCAAGCGGCGCTGGTGGCGACATTTCCTCACCTAACGGGGCCAGCGTTTGAAGGCTCATTTGTCTGTCTTAACAAATACTACACCAGACTTTTGATTGGTTTAAAGCAACCGTGAATGTTAACTATGACTGCGCTGATGTCATGGAGTTTGATTTCGGTAGCAAACATGCGATGTTAACTGCTCCAAATGACTTTCCTGTGTTCGTTAAAAGCGCCATGGGGACGACATCGTGTTTGGTGGGAATCGCTTCAGACGAGAAAAGTCTCGGAAACTACATGAATCTCATCAAAGATGACATAAAGGTGGTTCTACAACCGTTTCGGGGTCTAATCAAGAAGTTCCTGAACTTGGACCTCTATCCACAAGCTCTGAGTGGCATCGTCATGCTGGAACAGTACGTAGACATTGGAAAGACGCCGGTAACTATACACACAATAGACGGTATCGTTGGGCATGGGAAAATAGTCCCTTGGGCTATAAGCGATAATATTTACTTCAAGCACCGACCCCAATGTTTTCAGGGAGTCGGCATTCCCTCTGTTCTAGCAGAGGAAACACAAAACAACATGTGGAGAGTGTACGTTGCGCTTGTTGAAAATCTTCAAAAATATGGCTTTGACAACGAATTTGTCGATGCGGAGGTGTTCGTTTTCAGCGACGGAACGATCAAGCTAATGGAGATGAACGGGAGAGGTTTTCCATTGATGTTCAAGTTGTACGATGAGGTGTTAAACAAGGGAGATATTATTGAGGCACACCTTAACATAAGCAGAGGCGTTATTCCAGAAACCCCTACAAACAAACCCGACCGATACGGGTTGTACGCGTATATGGCTACTTTTGGTTCTGGAAAAGTTGCCGATTTTATCGATCTAGATAAGCTCTCGGAGTATTCCGACATCGCAACATTCGGCCATGAAGCCGATACTGTAGTTGAACCAAAGGGAGAGTCAGGGTTCAACCTTGGATTTCTCAGTATCGTAGATTCTTCTTATCAAGCTTGCGTGGACAAAATGGAAGTTTTGAAAGTGAATCTACTGAAACATCCAGAATACTCGCCTTGGTGGAATAATTAATGAAGATTATTCATAAACGCTGATGTGATATATCAATTCTTGGAGCAACAAGTCTTAAAAGGTATCATTTATTTCGATTCTAAATTGCCGCAGAGCAGAGCAGTCGGAGGATAATTGTAACTCGAAACAACAGGGGATTTTAGCCGACCTAAAAACATAAAGATTTTCAGACTTAGTCTCATATGTGCAAAGTATTGTTCCGAATTTGGTGTTGGATTACGGTACTCATACCTTGAGATTATGAGACTAGGTCTGAAAATCTTTATGTTTCTAGGCCGGCAACTTTTCCATTACATTGTGTTCGCTCATGGGCGTTCAATGCTCTCCGACTCTCTTGTGAAACTTTCATGCACAGTTTGAGATATTTGAGCAGGTGCATTATCCACATGGAGTACGGTGTTACCTCCTCTTACTAGCCCCCTTTTCCACAGTGCATTCTCAAATCAGCCTGCAAATCCTGACCATACAACACTTTGACATCACAATATTTTATGTGTTACCACAGGCAGTATGATATTCAAACAACACAGCGCTTTTGCCCTATATTTATATTTTGAATTTGTTATTATATGTTATTAGAAGTGGTCAATAAGACCAAAGTGGGCTGGGTTGTTTAACATAAACTTATTTTGTTTAACTTTATTTTGTATAGACTTACCACTATAAATAAAAAATAAAAACAAACAAACAAAAACATACCAAAAAGTTCAAATCTAACTGATATGCTAAATTGGCATTACTTCAGAATATGTGACGTAAATGTCGGTATCTGGGTACATGTACCCCCTTCACGAAAATAAAGATATATCAACACGTCTTACATATCTTGTCTTCAAATCTTCGGAGTTGATAGATAATTGAATGATGTATCACTGGTGAAAAGATCAAAGAGATTGGTCCATAAAGAGCATCCGTGTAAAAAGCGTCCATTACTTATTGATCACCCCTCGTAAAATTACCTTATTTGATTAACTTTCGAAGTATGGCCGTTTCTTTGAATGAGAAAGACGACATGCACTATAGCTTATCACCCTGCACAATAAAATAACCCCATAAATGTTCATTTTTAACGATTTAGTATTCACGTTATTTTCTAAACATTTTGTATTTTTAGAATACAATAATATGTGGTTGTCAAAGCAAACTCAATTCGAAGTTGCCTCGTTTTGGAACAAACACTGTTTCCAAGTTTGTTTCAAATATGTCCCACGTTCAGAAATATTTTTTATCTAAATGAGGGAACGATAAACACAAGCGTTTCGGGTAGGTTATATTGGTACTTTTTTATTTATATTCAGTTAATTAATCAATGTTCTTAACATTTTTATTTATCCCTAAGTAGTCCAATGCGTTTATGCAATTTATCAAGACTGTGCCCGTCACTGTAACCTTTGATGACGTTATTGATAAATGCTTCATCTTAAAAATATTTGAGAAAAATGGAATGTCAATTCTTGCCCCGTATCTCGTTTTCCTCCGTTCTCCGATCCAATATTTGTGTATACTTGGATCTTTGGCTTGTCACAGGCAAACGTACCAAACTGTTGTTATTACAGGTAAGAAATAGGTCAAATATATGTAGCTTATGATTAATTTATTAATCCATGGTGATCTAATACAAATTCGATCGTCGCTTTCAATAAAACCGTATCACATGTTATCAACAAAATTAGAAGCGCTATATAGCACTTAGCTTGAATTTATATTGATTCGTTTCGTTCTATTTAAAATATCATGATTTTTCACTAACATTTATGAAATAACACAACTTTCGTGTTCCGTGTAACTCGTGCGGGCCCTTGCAGGTCGACAGTTGCAAATAGTATTAGTGTACACAATCTGTTCTTTAGCAGTTAAAAACTGGATACCATTTCGTTCCGAGTCAGTCTTTGCCCCTGCGGCCTTTCCTCTGTCATATTTTTTATTAACTGTAGTAATAACTTAAAAATAATTGTGAAGTTTATATCTTCACACGTCCATTTCAAACTACAACTCCATTTCTTTGGTCACCGTATTCTCTATCCAATCAATATAGGCGCTGACTCTCGTGTATATGCCGGGGTATTCCCCGCGAGCACAACCGTACCCCGTAGACACTATCCCGAAGTGAATGTACTCGTTTTCATTCTCGTTGTGACACACCATCGGACCACCAGAGTCATACTGAAACAATAAATATAAAATTCTCATCATTTTTGATACGCAGTTATCGTAATCAACTCCTAGGAATACATTAATACACATACATACAAATCCATATTTACATAATTATACTATCAAACAATGTTTTTTACATGTTGGATTGTGATTTGGGAAAGTGGCTTTAAATTTCTTTATGTCTGGCGTCACTTATGTTCTGTAACCATTTTTGATATTTTCTCATTGACTCTTACGCTAGCATTGGATGTTAAGGGAAAAGCCTTGACAATAATATAGGACATATTAATTATTTGACGCGTAACGCGAAAAATCAAAACCAAAAGCAAAACAGTTCACCCTTAAATCAAATAAAATGTTTACCCATTACCTGACATGCGTCTCTACCCCCGGCTTTGTATCCGGCACACATCATGTCGGGAGTGACATGCAGCTCCGTAATCTTGCTGTATAATTTGTTACACAATGGGTTGGGTACAATTGGGACCTTCACGTGTCGAATTATGTCTGATATGTTTGGCCCACCTGAAAAAGAAATCATTATACCTAATTTGATATGATGGGACCACCTGAAAAAGAAATCATCATACCTAATTTGATATGTTGAGCCCACCTAAAAAGGAGATTATCAAACCTAATTTGATATGATGGCCCACATGAAAAGGAATTATAATACCAAATTTGATATGTTGAGCCCACCTAAAACGAAATTATCATACCTAATTTGATATGTTGGGCCCACCTGAAAAGGAAATTATCATACCTAATTTGATATGTTGGGCCCACCTGAAAAGGAAAATATCATACCTAATTTGATATGTTGGGCCCACCTGAAAAGGAAATTATCATACATAATTTGATATGTTGGGCCAACCTGAAAAAGAAATTACCATACCTAATTTCATATGTTGGGCCCACCTGAAAAGGAAATTATCATACATAATTTGATATGTTGGGCCCACCTGGAAAGAAAAGTATCGTACATAATTTGATATGTTGGGCCCACCTGAAAAGGAAATTATCATACCTAATTTGATATGTTGGGCCCACCTGAAAAGGAAAATATCATACCTAATTTGATATGTTGGGCCCACCTGAAAAGGAAATTATCATACATAATTTGATATGTTGGGCCAACCTGAAAAAGAAATTACCATACCTAATTTCATATGTTGGGCCCACCTGAAAAGGAAATTATCATACATAATTTGATATGTTGGGCCCACCTGGAAAGAAAAGTATCGTACATAATTTGATATGTTGGGCCCACCTGAAAAAGAAATCATCATACCTAATTTGATATGTTTGGCCCACCTGAAAAGGAAATTATCATACATAATTTGATATGTTGGGCCCACCTGAAAATGAAATTTTAATACCTAATTTGATATGTTGGGCCCACCTGAAAAGGAAATTATCATGCCTAATTTGATATGTTTGGCCCACCTGAAAAGGAAATTATCATGCCTAATTTGATATGTTTGGCCCACCTAAAAAGGAAATTATCATGCCTTATTTGATATGTTTGGCCCACCTGAAAAGGAAATGATCATACCTAATTTGATATGTTGGGCTCTGCTAAAATGGAATTATCATACATAATTTTTTGATATTCTATTCATAGCTGGTGATTTTTAAAGCGATGTGACTGCCCTGTGTGATGTGAACATACATGTATCACGTGTTCAAATGCCATGTGATAAAGAAATCGAAGTACATCATTATTGCATCCATATATGTCATCGATCTGTTTAAAATTTTCAAAACAACATAATATATCCATGATACCATTGGGTAAAGCTATGTTCAGTGATATATTAATGTATAATACAATGCTTATGGACTTATATCTCTATTTCATTCGTGAAGAATATTAGAACAATTTGAGACCGCCATTGACCGACGTCAAAATCTTGGAAACATGGAGGCATGGTAGCAATACGACATGCATGTAACATCAGCATAAGAAATTCGGTCCGTCCTATACCTAATATTATAGAGTACTCGAGTTATAATCGCATTGGAGGATATGGTTTCGATTCCCACCAAGGTAGAGTAACTTTTTAGAACAGCCCTTGGCATTTGATAGCATTATACATACGTTTTGGGGGAAATACTAAATGCTTCCGAGTTCTCCATATGTTACACGAGATCGTTATGAGTTTTACCTTCAACAGTGTGCCCCCATCCAGCTATCGTACATACAGAACCAGGCTGGTACGTCGCTACGTCTGATTCATCTGGGAGGCAAGCAACGTTTACATGAGCACCTAACTTTGCAGGGTAGGCTAGTTTAACCAACGCAATATCTCTATTTATTGCGTCCGGAGCTAAAATGTATGAATGTGCAATTTGAGTATGTTAGCCCCTTACTTGGCTGAAATGACCAACATAATCAACGAAATATCTGAACTCACACTGTTACATTAATAGGGCGGAATGCAATAATTTGTTGATTTCATACACTACATTTTTCATACCATTGGGTTACCAACCAAATAATCAATCAATCAAATAGTAGAAGCCTTATTCTTAATATATTATTTCAATAATATTTTAGGGACATTTGTAAAAAGTTTCAAAAAGATTTGTAAAGTAGTATTGGTATGGCAACATCTATAAAGTTACTTTATGTATGTACACGCTGTACATGTTACAAAAGGGAAGAAAATACGCTCTAGTAATTTGCTATGTAAAATAATGTTTTCGTAACAAATGAACTTAGAATAAAAATATCAGTTTAAAAACAACCCTATATATATAGGCGCTAATGAAACTAATTGTGATAATGCAAAATGAATATAAGGATATCCAGGGCCCGTGAATATGATTTATAATACTTTAGATGTCGACTACTTCGAGTGCTGAACTAAACGCACTTTACAGTTGAAACAGAGGAATAAAATATAAAATCTTTAAAACAACTCATTGCGAATGTAGGGAGATGTTGAGCTATCTTTGTCTGTAGAGTGATAGATGACACAACTTAAGCCGACAACAATGAGCAAAATATGAATAAAACCATCGGTGCACAATTCTGAAATATTCTTTAACTATACCCCCGGGCCTCGGTATTTTTTATTACAGGTTCTCAACATGGCATTAACGGCAGAATGACAATCAAGTAGTCATTTTTATGTCACCACCACAAGACGTGACATAAAAATATCTACTTTTGCTTACCCCGTCATAAAAAAATTGGAGACAATCACAATGTCACTTCTTGTGGTGGTGACATAAAAATAACTACTTTCCCTTACCCCGTCTTTGAGGATGAAGAATTATTTTAGATGGAGGTATATCAACGTGTGTTCCCTGGTCGACAAGCATGTTGTGTTCACCGATTCGCATCATCCATCTCTTAGGATCGTCGGTCAAATAGTCAACCCAGACGTCTCTTCAAATACAACACAGAAATGTTAAACATCGATAACATCTTAAAGACCTTTCCAATAGTAACAAACCTGCCATATTTTGATACATCAGATAGGCTAAGTGATGATATATTAGCTTAATTGATGACGTCGTACGTTGTTCATTTTCAAAATTAGCAATAAGTACGTTTAAACCATATTTTACAGACCGCTAACTGCAGGTTACTACCCATGACACCATCAATTAAGTCAATATATCACAGCAACTGTCATGTATCAAAAGGTAGTAGGGTTTACTGGTGTAAAAGGGTCCTTTCAAATTATGGTCCTGCGCTCCTTTGATTTATACGGTGACCTAAATACAACTCTTTCCCTAATTATCTTATACACAATCAGAAGGGGCCGTTAAGAAAGGGGACCATAATCCTGGGGGACGATAATTTCTTTCACACCGGAAAGCTCTAATCTGACGAGGACTGAGTAGTCAATTGATACTGTGAAAGTTTTTTTCCTTAATGACTCAACATAGTCATTTTTTAGATTGAGTGTCTAGTGCTAATTTCTATCGTATTTCAATACCTTCAATTGATCTTGAAAATTAAAACACTTTGCAAAGTAGATAATATGACATACATTAATCATGGTTTATAGATGACCAGTAACATTTCTACGCTCGCCGTGGAATTTTCTGCGCTCTCATACTTTTGCAGTCACATTTCCCACGGCAGCCGCACGGTGAATTTTAAATTTCTGTTGATAAATAATACTTTTTTCATTTTATTAACACCCCAGTCACATTTGTCGCACGAAGGCCGTGCGTCGACCGCAGATCAATTAAATCAGTGTATTTCTGCGGCTACTACGCTCGCCTTGCGGCCTCCGTACGGCGTATCCAGTTTTTTACAGGCCGCAGGGAAGGCGTAGAAATTATAACTCGGAGTTATAATATTTGTTCATTTCTGAGGTCCCCGTAGAAATCAACTGGCTCAACAAGATTGAATCATTATTTGTCAATGTTTCACGATCACTTTCCATTTGATATTAAATCCTAGCCCTTTGAATAACATTTATAAATTGTCCTGATGTAAATAAATGAAAAAAACTATTATTTATCAATATAAATTTAAAATTCACCGTGCGGCTGCGCGGTAAATGTGACTGCAAATGTATGAGAGCGCAGAAATTCCACGGCGAGCGTAGAAATGTTACTGGCCGCAGAAATGATAGATCGCAAGGTCGCCGTAGGAAATGTGACTGGGGTGTTACTCCCCAGTCACATTTGTCGCACGGCGGCCGTAAGTCGACCGCAGATCAATTAAACTGGTGAATTTCTGCGGCGAGCGTAGAAAAACTACGCTCGTCTTGCGGCCTCCGTGCGGCGAATGCAGATTTTTACAGGCCGCAGGGAAGGCGTAGAAATTATAACTCGGAGTCATAATATTTGTTCATTTCTGAGGTCCCCGTAGAAATCAACTGGCTCAACAAGATTGAATCATTATTTGTCAATCTTTCACGATCACTTTTCATTTGATATTACATCCTAGCACTATGAATAACATTTATAAATTGTCCCGATGTAAATAAAATGAAAAAAGTATTATTTATCAACAGAAATTTAAAATGCACCGTGCGGCTGCCGTGGGAAAAGTTACTGCAAAAGTATGAGAGCGCAGAAATTCCACGGCGAGCGTAGAAATGTTACTGGCCGCAGAAATGATAGACCGCAAGTTCGCTGTAGGAAATGTGACTGGGGTGTTAAGATTTGCTTCTCCATGGAGTTGCCGTTTTCTAGTAGAAAATGGATGCTAGCAATACTTTCCTACATGAATCCATTTGTTAAGATTCGATCAACTTGAGTTATGAGAAAATGATGATTTAAGCAATGATGCCTTGATTTAACATAGGGATATAGACCTTTGACTAATGGCTGAGCATAGGGATATCAACATGAATGTATCTATCGGAATAGATACAAAATTCTCATTAACCAAGAATAAATCAAGTTGATAGAGTCTAAACGAGTAGATTCAAGTGTGATAGTATTGCTACAATCAATTTTCAATGGAAAGGGGGTCCTTAAACATCATCTCGCTGGCCTTCTGCAATTTTTGGTTAGCTCTAAAAGTAGTAAGCTAGCATCATGCCTTGCTTGGCCCATAAACTACGAGGGGGACTCGATGATTCGCATGCTTCAAATAAGGTGATTCGAATTCGTTGAAACATATTACGTCTATAAGTTCAGGTACAAGAATCAAATTACTTTATGGGAAAAAGCTTTTAGAATATCGCCATAACTGATCTAATGTACCTACTGAATGTATGTCAAGTTCAGTAGATACATTTTATCAAATCACTTTACCACCCATGTAAAGGCTTTTTGATACTAATATAATTGATCTTTTAAAGGGGTCACAGTTCTCGTGTATTACGGAAACTAAAATATGTTACATTAGTAAATTAGAGGGTTCATTCATTAGATTATTTTACGTTAGAAGAACGACGTGCTACATATTAGTAATACATATCTTAATTAATAAGTCTCTGTTCTCATACAGATAATATGCACATTCGTTCAAATGATTACAGTTGAAGAATCAAAGCCTGACAATTTGTTATACAGAAACGTAGTAATTGTATCTTAAGATAGTTTTGTGCAATGCAGCTTTAGCCTTTTTCTTGAAAGTGTTTATTACTTTCTTAGCTGCTAGGGCATCAATATCAAATGGGGCAACACAGACTAGAGACAGACTGATAGTATTTTGCATCTAAAATAAATTATTCAATGGCATACATTATCTAAAACATCGAAACGTCCTGACTTCATTTAATGATAACATTTTAATTTAGGGTTTGCCAATTAAATTTAAAGGTCAGACGCCACTCCCCTTTTCAATTTTCATTCATTCCGATATCATCCGACTTTTTTCTTCTCTTAGTATATACTGAAATTTGATAATAATATACGCTACATTAAAATAGCTCTTTTTGTAAACAAATGCTGGACATGGTGAACGATAAGTGTTAGAGGAAATTAGATTTAAGTATATTCATCCAGTGACAAATTCACACAGGAATTCAAATCAACACATGAAAGATGAGAGTTTTTAAAAAATGCGTGTAAATTTCCGCATTTCTGCATTTTAAAGTGATGCTGATAGGAAAACGTAACATTCAACCATACTCATCTTAACGTAAGTATATAAATTTACAATGCATAAGAAAACATTCTCAACTCGGCCTTCGCTGAAATGGAACGCTCATATTATAGTAAAAATGAAGCTTATGGCTCTAAAAACAATAATTTTCCTATTTACTTTATTAGGACGATTACTTATTAACTTAATATCTCTGAATTAGTTAAATCATAAATTTAAGAGGTTTTTTCTCGTAAAACGAATGTAGCTGAACTTTAGAACTAACACGCTCCACTAATGATCGTCGTTTTCCGACTAATCAAGACGTATAACGTCATTGTTGGAGAATGTGTAGAAACTAATAGAGGCAATGTTCTCGTATCTCTCTCTCTTTAGCAGTTCAAGTATATTCTAAGTACTCAATAATTGGTTTACTATATGATAATAATAGTCTACAGAGGCAAAATAGAGTGATTTGGTAATATTAATATAACTGAGTGCAAATTAACAATTCATAGTGAGAAAAAAATAGGTCAAGATCGAAACGGGATATATCGACTTTACGAACTTGGAACATACACATTCGATCTGGCATTGTACGTTATACGAATCTGCACACAAAAAGGCTTATAAAAGGCTCTTAACTATCAAAAATGTTTAAATCCTGATATGTATCGAACATTATGTTCCTCTCAAAGCTTATTGTTACTGCAAAATATAGATGTAATTCTAGTTTTGTGTTTTTAAGGAGTTTGACTAGTTTATTTTTTATATTTTGCTCGTTATACTTTGTCAACAAATTGAAACTACAAGGCTCGTTCGAAAAGTTTTGCACGAAAGCTTTTTGTATTCGGAACAATGTATACTCATAAGTAGTTACTCAAAGCATCATTCACTTACTCAAAGCAATGGGCAGCAGTTAGTACCCATTGTATACTCATAAAGTAGCTACTCAAAGCATCATTCACTTACTCAAAGCAATGGGCAGCAGTTAGTACCCATTGTATACTCATAAAGTAGTTACTCAAAGCATCATTCACTTACTCAAAGCAATGGGCAGCAGTTTGTACCCATTGTATACTCATAAAGTAGTTACTCAAAGCATCATTCACTTACTCAAAGCAATGGGCAGCAGTTAGTACCCATTGTATACTCATAAAGTAGCTACTCAAAGCATCATTCACTTACTCAAAGCAATGGGCAGCAGTTAGTACCCATTGTATACTCATTTAGTAGTTACTCAAAGCATCATTCACTTACTCAAAGCAATGGGCAGCAGTTAGTACCCATTGTATACTCATTTAGTAGTTACTCAAAGCATCATTCACTTACTCAAAGCAATGGGCAGCAGTTAGTACCCATTGTATACTCATAAAGTAGTTACTCAAAACATCATTCACTTACTCAAAGCAATGGGCAGCAGTTAGTACCCATTGTATACTCATAAAGTAGCTACTCAAAGCATCATTCACTTACTCAAAGCAATGGGCAGCAGTTAGTACCCATTGTATACTCATTTAGTAGTTACTCAAAGCATCATTCACTTACTCAAAGCAATGGGCAGCAGTTAGTACCCATTGTATACTCATAAAGTAGTTACTCAAAGCATCATTCACTTACTCAAAGCAATTGGCAGCAGTTAGTACCCATTGTATACTCATAAAGTAGTTACTCAAAGCATCATTCACTTACTCAAAGCAATGGGCAGCAGTTAGTACCCATTGTATACTCATTTAGTAGTTACTCAAAGCATCATTCACTTACTCAAAGCAATGGGCAGCAGTTAGTACCCATTGTATACTCATAAAGTAGTTACTCAAAGCATCATTCACTTACTCAAAGCAATGGGCAGCAGTTAGTACCCATTGTATACTCATAAAGTAGTTACTCAAAGCATCATTCACTTACTCAAAGCAATGGGCAGCAGTTAGTACCCATTGTATACTCATTTAGTAGTTACTCAAAGCATCATTCACTTACTCAAAGCAATGGGCAGCAGTTAGTACCCATTGTATACTCATAAAGTAGTTACTCAAAGCATCATTCACTTACTCAAAGCAATGGGCAGCAGTTAGTACCCATTGTATACTCATAAAGTAGTTACTCAAAGCATCATTCACTTACTCAAAGCAATGGGCAGCAGTTAGTACCCATTGTGGATGAATAAGAGTTCCCCCACATAGGTGTTCATGTTTGCTGCCGTTTACGGAGAGCATCATCGAAACCAACCACGGCCATTCTGCAAGCTTTGACATTTGCCCTCCAACGATGCGTTTATGAACAGCATTGGGACTTTCCCCATATTTGTTCCTGCCGCAGTGAGTTGGAATTGCTAGATAAAAGAAAATAAGTGTGTATAAGGTGTATAATAGTACTACACTCTCCTCCATTTTGACAACCTTAGGTCCCTCATTGAACTACGTGTTAAAGCCTCTTTATGTTTATTTACGTAACCTGTGGGGGAAATACTTAGTACCCCACACACAATTTTGTCGCCTACTTTGATGTGTTGTAGAAAAATATCCAATAAGAATTTTCTCATAAAATTTGGCATACATTAAATTGAAACAATTTGTGACACTCAAATTTTTTTGTTTGGGGTAATATGACTTCACCACAATTTGACTTCGGTTTCTAAATTGCTACGCATTTACAGATTTGACCTAAATCAAGCTAAATTTTGAAACAATTTGTAACAAATTGATAACAAAATCAATTTGAATATTCTGGTGAATCCTATCCTTTTAAACACCATTATGATCCACTGGTAAAAGCAAAACTGAACCAAGCAGGAGTGACTATTATAATGTTACAATGTTATGATGTTACCCCTGAAAGGTCACATGTTAAATCCATGTGAATCATTTCCAATAAAAGGTAAGCCGTCGGTGGCCATCTGTGAGGTATTGGGTGAATATGGCCTCCCGATCGTAGGCCAATGAGAAATTGAGTGCAAGCTCACTGTTAATAATGCCTCAATTGACTTAAACAAAATACAACCATTTTCTTGAGATTTAATGAGATGCGAACTATTGGAAAGGATTTTTTTAATCAAGTGAGACAGTAGGAAATGCTGTAGGGGTAGGATGGGATAGAAATCCAAGCAGGGATATGTTTCAGTGCCCTGATAAACCTTTTTAGACTTAAAGCCAACAAATCATCTGATACATGCACCTGTCCATGTATTGAAAGTATTAAAAGGGGTCTTTAGTCTTAAACAATAATAAAACCACACTTACAATATTCCTATTTAGGAGTTAAACATCTCTAACACATAGTAACAGTATCCTAAGAGAACAGACAAACCATATGTAATGCAATAGGTTTGTAATCAAAATGTAATCAAAATGATTTAAACTCTCTTTAAAACTGCAAAACTGGATATTTTCGTCGAATTTTGTTAAAACATGAATATTTTAGAATTGCTTGTTTTTCGTCAATATTACTTAAATTTCCAAATAAAAAAATGTGAGTGTCACAAAATGTTTCAAGTTAAAGTATGCCAAATTTTATAAGCAAACTATTTTTGGATATTTTTCTACAATACATCAAAGTAGGCGACAAAATTGTGTGTGGGGTACTAGTATATTATCAATGCAGATGTAACTTGACTTTAATCATTTTCAATGCCTCCACATTTTTCCGATTTGTTTCCTCAATTACAATAGGTCAAAAATTGATGATAAACTTGATGATTTTTTGAAATTCGTCATTCCCATGTAAACCAATGGGAAATGGTGGGTCTTAGGCAAATCTGATTTCAGGATATCTATCAAGTAAAAAATTCACCAAAATATTTTTACATAGAAAATTTAATTCTATTACTTTTTTTGTACGCTAAGTGTGCAGTTTATTTTATAAATACTTAAGTTACATAGAATCAAAGTCATTTTTTAAATTATTCTTTCCCTCCTGTTTTATTTCAATGGGAGGAGTTTTTCAACATTTTGAAAACCGATTACTTTTTTTCAACCTGAAGGAACGTCTCGATTTTATTATTGAATAAAGTTAACAAATTCAATTGACTACCTAACTTGTATTTTTTGAAAGAACTCGGATAGATTAATATTCTGTCATATGACTTGCGGCAAATCTACCATTTCCCATTGGTTTACACGGGGATGTCGATTTTCAAAAATCCATCAGATTTATCATCAATTTTCGACCTATTGTAAATGAGGAAACAATTGGGAATGTTTGGAGGCATTGGAAATAATCAATAATATAAGTATTTCCCTCACAGATTATGTTAATAAAAATTCAAACATAAAGAGGCTTTAACACGTACATGTAGTTAAATGGGGAGGAAAGATTACCAACCAAACTAATGGAGGGGAGTCTATATTGATTTATTTACACAGGAAAACGCATTGCTATTAATGCATTTTACAAAACATCAACCGCAGAATATAGGTTTGAAATATGACGGACTTATTCAAAATTAGTTTTTGTATAACCGTTGTGTCACATCTAGTTCAATGGGGGAGCAAAGGTTGCCAAACTTACTTAGGGGAGTTTATATTGATTTATTAACACAGGAAAAGGCATTGCTATTAATGCATTTTACAAAACATCAACAGCAGAAATATTTTTGAAATATGACGGATTTATTTAAAATTTGTTTTTGTATCACCACCAGAAAAAAAGCGAATACATAAACTAACATCACTGTTCCACAACTGGATGACTCTAACTGCAGTTAGCTTCAATCAAGATGGTTGCCGAGATTCTTTCGTTTTCGATAAACCTCCGATTTCAGCTAAAATAAGTTGAATCTGGATTCCAAATGTTTCGCCATGCAAATTAATAAAACTATGATTGTATTCAACCATAAATGAATGCTCTAACACCCATAATATTAGAGAATTTTAAAGAAAACGGGCTATGACACCCTTTCTGTATTTATTTAATTTCAACAGATGATGAACGTCTCAGTATGATAAATTACTCTCATAATGGCATTGTTGCAAGGTGTGATATGTTACATGCCGTATGACAAACGAGGTTGCAGTTTGAAACGTATCGAAACGCATACGTTTAACTATGGACAAGAAAATACCTTCGTTGTGTGCTAGTCTAACTTCTTACGCACAATAAAAAAATGACTTAGCTACGTCACTGTAATTGTTAAAATCGGTATAAATTATCTGAATTTAAACATTGTTATTAGTCAGCTGATTATAATTGAGAGAGTATTACTTGTCAATTATAATGAGTTCAGTAAGTACGCAACTTCGTTGTACAAAGTTCGATGGGTAATAAGTAAAAACAGGTAATTAAAATTGAATGATTATAACGTCATTAAGTCGTGAGGCTCTCTGGTAATCTAATCCATCTGCTTTGTTTAGTTCTGGGCCTTATATTATTTAAATGACAAATTGCTTTATTAAATACTCATGAACATCAAACGAGAATAAAATTATCTCTTTCGGGACATAATTTAAAAAATATATGAATTGAATTGTCTTTAAACAGTGTGGTCCCTATGAGCATTTTGTTTTGATAAGCATTAAGGCTTGAGTCTCAGTCGCAGCTGCTCTACAGCAGCTGCGCGGCGGCCGTAGCTGCATAAAATCGATATAGAAAATCTACATATCGTACTGCTTAACCTTTATATCATGTCGCATGTTTCTCTCGATTTCGGGAAGCTACGGTCGCCGTTCGGTCGCCGTGTCAAATGTGACCGTGGGCAGGTATTAGTATAAAAAGGATACTCACGTAGCTCTGACTGTGCTAATGATTCTGAAATGTAAATGTTACTTATTAATACAATTCGTTGATTTTATCAAATAGAGCGTGTGTGGATATGGTAATTAATATCTGCTTTTACAAAAAATATAGATGCCCGTTTGACCATATGCCTACTTAACCAAGATCGAAGGTTTCTCAATATACGATAATGATAGTTTTTCCGAAGTGTGTTGACAGGTATATCGTTTGTTAATGGACCAGAATGTAAATCTGCTATTTTAACGATGATTTTCTTACAAATTGATGATAGCTGAACAGGATTTCCTGAAATATTTATTTTTTGAGGTGCAGAGTTGAATCGATATGCTGGGCCAAGCACTGAGCTTGATTAAAAGGATGTGTTTAGTTAAAACAATTTATTAAGTCCAAATATTTAGTGAAACTCAATAAGGTTCTGTGATTCATCTTGGATTACAAGAGTATTACGTTTTCATTATAACTGAAAATAAAACTGAAAGCAAGTAGGGTTTGGCATTTTCAAAACACTTTTTGCATTTTTCGCTTTTTGACTCCTTTTGCACTTTCAAAATCCTGAAATTTTCAGGATTACATTTGAAGATTTGATTTGCGTCACATAATTGTGCAGAGATTCTACCTCCGGGGTACGCATACAATGCAGTATTCTCTAATTTTCCATAAATCATTTAGTTTATGCATTTATAGTTTATTACCGTCAACATCGAATACTACTTGTAAAATGATATGAAAACATTATTACCTTGTATTATGTCATCAATTAACTCTTTAATGGTCTGCAATAGAAGAAAATAAATACATAATTACGTATATAACAAAACTACAATTACATATAATAACAACAGTTCTCGCTTGGTTTTATCTTAAAAAGCACCCTGTAGATCGGAAAGCGACACTTTTTGCCAAGCTATATGTGAATGCATAATTAATACATTGATGTATAAGAATAAGAAGATTTGATCAGCAAACACTGCCAAATCATTTCATTTGGGACCACGGATTTGTGACTTAAACTTCGTCATTAGAAAGAACACACGAGGCATAATGAACTTCTAATTTTGACAGTACGTACGTTTACTGATTTTACATAATACAATCTTAAACAGACACCCCCCTCAAATGCTCATATTTTGACTCGATGGATTTTCCAAAATGAAAATTGCATTTCATTCTATCTTTCTAATCAATTTATATCTAATAACAGAGGTACGTCCCCATGATGATATGGTATTGTTATCTGTGGATCAGAACTGCCTCATTAGACAACTACTGTACATCAACTATAAGAACCAATTAGTAAAACCCATTATTACCTCCCCTTGCACTTATGATGTCAAGAATACAATAGAAAGAATACAACAGAATACAATAGAATGATCCCTTAAATTGATCCCCATTCCCGAGACTAGTTTGATTACTTCATTAAACAATTTCTCAACTGAACATTTGCCCCCGTATTCCCCAATGTTATCACTAATGGACTGCATTCTCTTCATTTTATTTTCCGCAAAGCTTATCTTAAACTCTGTAAATTGCGTACTATATACAATTACCTTGTGATAAACGGACACGCGTTTAGTTACCATCAAGAAACTACATAGAACATGTAGAATCGGATTAGTGTTAGATGCATAAGTTCAAATGTTTCGTGACCAGGTTGTCACCCTCTGCTATGAAAATTAAGATAAATTACTTTATTTGTAATGGTGAAATTTCTAGCAACCTGATCGGTACGTATGAGATGAGACGTAAATATATATCCTTAATAAACGCCGAGTGATAAACAATAGCACAACATTCTGACGCTATCCATTACAAAACACCCTGACGTCTTTGTCATTATTTTCTGCTAAAAATATACAGATTACTCCATAAATGTACAAAACAATTATTGGCCTTGAAAGGATGAATTTTGCTTCGTAAAAACGAATTTATTATTGGGCATTACATTTCATATCTTACATTAATTGTATTGTTGAGATAACCATGACAGCCAAGCAATAGAAATTAGGACTAATGACTTTTCTTCATAAAGCAATTATCCTCATCCGCAAAACGTCAAGATGGCTACATTTTAAAATGCCAATTGTAAATGATGAGAAGCTAGCAAGGAATAAAGTAAAGAGCACTCGTTTTTGCGCAGGAATAGCTGACACAAGACAAAATCAGCAATTTCTCGGAAACCGGGCGAACTTAGGAAATGGCGATGATAGGTCAAATAGGGATTATAGATATGCATAAAATGAATGTGGATATGACTCAATCCGAATAGCAGTTTTAATTTGTGCGGCCAATGTTAATGGACGGACGGATGGACCAACAAACGGACAGACGCCTGGTCAATCCCATAGGCTCACTGAGTGAGCCAAAAAGCACAGGGTATATCATTCACTCTAGTTCATGATCAATTGAACTGTTTGGTGTCCATAGTTGTCTTGAAAGTCGAAGGAATAAAGAATGATTGAAACGTTGACAATGTTCACGAGAATAACTTTGCTATAGCGGAACATTTCATTTTTCAGTTAATAACATAGTGCCAATTATTAGATTTATGCATACCCACGGATGCAAATATATAATAGGTTGCCCTCTTAATTTGATTACTTAACCAAATGCAATTGGTTAATTATCTACGATGTATTAGAAATATACATCCTTGAAATGTCGGAATATACACACACCCCTCCCCCAAGAAGATAATTGACAACCGAAAATCCTACTTTGAATCTCGTGTTGACGGCCGTGATATGTTTGGTGATACTACCTAATTCATCATTGTCATGAATTTCCGACATGTTGTTTGTAATTGAGGAACAAAAGATTGAAGATTGAATTATGAAGTCTTTACGACGTTATGAAATGAGCGTTTCAGGTTGACATTCACAATAGTGTGCTACCTAGCTATCTCAAGATATCATTTTCATAATAATCCACTAATTTACAATAAACTTTATACAATTACTATAAATTGTTACAGGTAACGTAAAAATCTAGCGCTTCTTTTATAGAGATCAGTGTGTCGTAGTGTAATGGCATTTTGCAATATTTTAAAGGAAGCTCCTGATACACTCCAAAAGTTTAGCAAAACGAACTTCCTGTTGTTATAGTTACCTATTTATGTTTGGCGGCGTCTTAAGAATTCAGGATTTAAGATGGTATCAGATTGGGTTAAAAAATTTTCGAGGAATATATTACTTAATGGTGAAAACTAACACAAAAACGCTAATAATATTAAAGACAGTAATTTTCCCTCAATTTGTTAGTACTTTTCACTACTCCCTCTGTACTATTTTATATAGTTGTTCAATACGTACCCTTGCCCCAATAGTCGGTATAGCGAAGAGTACAAATATCAGTTTATGTAGGTCCCTGATCAACATCTACAAATATATAAAACAAATATTTTATTAGTAATGTCATTATCAGGTATCAAAAGCATATAACCATGTGATCAAACTTTAATTTAACTTGATTTTATTTTAATTTAACCGTTCAAAAAATTAGAAAATACGTAAATCGTGAATTTTATGAAATGAAAATAAATTTAATTGAAATAAATCATAGAATGAAAAATTAACCTTTTGAATACCCAGAATGACGGATATATCTGTCACAAATAAAATCCATTTGGAACCCAGAGGGACAGATGTATATGTCACAGAATTTTCACTAAAACTGGTCTATCTTTGGCATTTTTTATCCAATCTTCACAAATTACGTTTTACAATGTATGTAAGGTCTATGATTACTATTCTTATGAATTCAAATATCAAACATTGTGGTTTTAGATGTAAATATCCAGATAACTGGCAGAAAATAAAAAAAAAACTCTTGTTTCAAACCCTTTTAGAGGCTGGTATTATGCAAGAGGTTAAGAGAGAAGGTGTTGAACATTAATACCCCCTGTTTAAAGCATTGGCCTTGCTTGTTATTATGCTTGTTGATTATGGGTTATTAAAAAGTGTAAATTGACCAATTAGCCTCCCTGTGTGTCCAGAATTTTTAATTTAGTTATTATCTCTAGAAAAAATTAAAACCGTGTCATATTATTGTGAATTGTTATAATAAATTATATTTCTTAATTCAGTTATCAACTCTGTATAAAATGATAACCGTGTCATATTATTGTCAATCATTACTATCAGTGGTAATTATATACATGTACTACACGCAAAGTGGTGCGTTAAATTAAAACGTCTGCATTTTACTGTATGGTTCAAGTGAATTGTTATAAAGATGTTGCAATACTGTAAAACGACAAACCAAGGAAACAGCAGTGCCATGACGTCATCATTACAGTTTGAGGAATAGAACAAACCTATTGTTATTTTTCTACAGTTGCTGTTGGCTGCATCTTGGATTTCCAAGTTATAACGTTGAAAATCAAACTGAGAAACGAGTATGGTTGGCTGGCACACAGACATGATCATAGTCGTATACTAGTAATTAGATACATATCTATTTACGTGTACAAAGGTAGGAGCGTCGATGTCTTCGAGCTTGGACCACCACTGCGTTTATTAATCATTGCTATTTTCAATAACAACATTTAATATTGATATAAATACAACAGAATGATGAAGTCTTTTTGGATTGTTTATACATGTTTCTTTATATTATTTGTTCAGATTATTTTGTATGAAAATGCGATAATTGGCAAATTATCGAAAAACTATTCTAGGGTTTATGTCGATAACCCTTGCCATCCTTAAACATTCAGGTAATGATAGTTTCTGAAGACAAAGATGTCCAAAAATAAGGAAACGCAGGAATGAAAAAATCGCGTCGGTAGGAACAAGTTTCAATGTCGATTACAAAGAGAAGTCTTAATTAAGGTGTACATATGAAACTTTGTTTACTCTCTATAACAACTTAATATTTTCAAAGATTTTTTTTCAATAAGGATATATATTTATCTATAGCCTTGAAAAGCTATGAAATCGACTATTAAGAAACTAAATCTACTATAAAAAGTTAAATGAGCACTGCGCCTTTTTTGTAGAACGTAAACATATAAACCAATTTGGCTCCCTGGGCACTAGTTTTTCTCTTCGTTGTCTTTACTCTTTTGATCGATTGGGTATACATTTACAAAAAGTATAACGGTTTGTGTCGCTGTATAAACAAATAAGAAGGGACCGTAATCCCTTGACGACATACAATTACAAGTTCACGTTCAAATTCCTCCATTCATCCCCCTAAGGGTTACGATATGGAAGTGTTTTCTTTCGTTTTATTCACTTGGGTATATTTACAAAGTATAATTGAAGTTTGATGGTTTCTGTTTCGCGACATCTCTAATGCACTTGGATAGCCAAGCATATTAGCAATGGGAATGGAGTATATTACAAGAATGGGATAATATGGAGAAATGAAACATTGTTCTACCGAGTACCGAGTACCGAGTCCAGTTTATTTGTTTTAGGGACAAAATTATTTTTCACACATTCGAGTCATAGACGAAATGTGAGGTTCAGCTTTATACTGTGTGGGATTACATTGAAACGTTTTATCTCATAATTTGTTTGGAAGTAATGCCTCAGCCTAAAGAGTCCCTAGTGTCGATAAGACTAATGCCTGGGTCACATGATCCATCGGCCGGCGCCCGCCCGATTGAGTGTTTTGTTCAATATTGTATTCAAGTTTGAACAAAATACTCAATCGGCCGGGCGCCGTAGTGAAAATCGGAGCAAATGTGACCAAGGCATTACATTTAGTTTGTCATAACAATACCTCGGCACAGTGCCCTCAGAAATGTTACAAAATAAAGCAATAACTCTCTAATATCTACCTGTTTTTGAAAATTATTCCGCTCAATGTATATTTCCATGACGTTACTCCACTGTAAATTATATTCTAAACCAAATGATAGATTGGTACTTACGCTATCGAGGAGGTACTATACTCATTTCCTCTGTTTCTAAAACAAGGCGGTACTGTATTGGACCAGAAAGGGACAACGGTGATCATACACTGGCAAAACTTGGTTTTGTCCTAGATTAGAAGTGTTCAAATCATGTATGAAATTGGGGGTATCTTTCTTTTAGAGAGTGAGCTTTTTCTTTTATATAGGTAACCCAAAACAAATATGTAATATATGAGTTTAATGAAGTATAAACCCACCCAATAATGACATTTTCAATTTATTTTCGTTGCACTATGATACTTTCTGAAGAAGATATTAGACGGAAATCATACGAAAATCGAAGAACGTATGACTATTCCTATATTAGACCAGTGCATTTTGATGCTATCGATATTAACCGTACAATTATCAAATTACACACAACGGAGCGAGTTACGAGATGGGGGCCGCGATCTTCGTACCATTAGCTAGGATATTAAGTTACGAATTGCATACAAAAATTATTCGATACTCATCGCATCTCTCTGCTTCACTTAAAACATCTGAAGACTGAAGAATTGAGAGTGTGGTTTATCAAGCATAATGACAAAATATAGAACATACGTATACCCCCCCGTACCTATACATTAACTAATGTTTCAACAAAAAATATGGTTTTGTTCATCCTTCAATATTATTTATATTTTGAACAAAATGAATGATGTTCATCGTAATGATATTTGAGAAGAACGCATAAATATGGATGAAAAAGAAATATTCAATTTTTGATATTAAAGTGCTCTGTATAACAACGGGAGTTAAATTGAATGGAAAATCAAATGGGAAGGTTAAGTAACTGACACCCCCCCCCACTTTCCCCTTCAAAACATGAACGCTTATTGGTATTTGGCGATCTTTAAAGAAACGATGTATTTTGCCCTGAAATTCTTTATTATATTAAAATCGCAACAAAAACAACGGCCTTTAACACGCTACCTAATAAAGAGTACAAAAACGACCTTCAACACGCTACCTAATGAAGAGTCATGGTGCAAATCGTTTTGAGAGAAACAAGGGCATCTCTCTCGCAGACAATGTTTATGCTCCAAATCAATTACCTCATTGTTTCGTTTGGTTTGTTTGTCTGTAATCATCAAAGGAATCCAACTGATCGTGTTATATTTGGCATTTATTAAAAATTGATATCCAATTATTATTTATCGATCATGATCAAAGGACATCGTGATTATTCGTAGCACAATGCTTTCGTATATTATAAACATTACATGATACAAGATCTACTGTGAAAACTCGTGGGCGTTCTTCAAAATAGAAATGGTTTAAGGAAATTGTAATTCTGAAATCGGACGTCAGATTAATTGAAAATAGAATTCGAGAAATAAACATACTTTTTCAATAAAACCCCGTCAGGAAATATTGGCGAGATTTATGATGAAATACAATCCCCACAATAAGTTTGTCAGATCCCTTTTAGATCTCTTATCGAAGCCTGTTTACATTCGGAATTTTTTATTTTTTTTATTTATTTATTTTTATTTTAGAGAAGAAAAAAAATGTTAAAGCTTTATTTAAACGTTTAATCAAATTTGAGATAAATAAATAAACCCCCAGAACTATTGAAAGTAAGGAACAATAATAAGATTAAAGGATTGGACTGGCTTTGGTATACCTCCGATTGCCAAACCTTTGGAGGGAGTGTTGGCTGTAAATACCATTGTCTCTAAATAAATATCGAAAAATCTAAATAAATATCGAAAAATATCTTTGGTGATTTGTTTGTGAGCATTAGTCTCTCATTAGTCTCAATATCATGAACCTGGCGTATATTCTTGCATCATTAAAAAGTTGACCAAAAATGGACTTTGGTATGGAATGGTATGGTGGGGTAGTAGTATCATACTTTCTTCCAATATATAATTGGACGTTTTTATTACTATTTGATAAGAATTACTAGCTCAATCTCTCTTGTCCTTTTACTCGTGCTCGGATAATTTGCTTTACGATTATTGTAAACTAAAAGGCATTTATAAAAAACGGAACATGTCACGATAACAACCGAGATCTATATTTTATCGCATCTGAATTCTCCCTCAATTTTGAAATATCCCAATGCGATCATTCGTCTAAAACTACATTTTATCTTCGTTATCAACTCTTGTATAAATGTACCGGTTTAAATCCAAAATGAAATATTTAGAACCGGACCTCGTTGTATAAATGCGCCATTCATAAATTCATTGAAATATATATATTAAAACAAAATCGATATAGGCCTACTATAGGCTGTCGATCCAGTTTATAAAAATATTTAAGACCAAAATTACTTCAACAACTCTCTTCATTGTAAATATTCCCTCGTTCTCGAGCACATCTGTTAGTAGTCGCCTGGGTCCCAAAGGAACTATAATAGTACGGTTACTTAGCGATTTCGTCTGCTTTGTGTCTTTTTAATTGGAGCTCTGATTCAGATGTGGTTATGTAATACACAATTTTAAAGAGCTCCAATAACACGCGTGAATACGTTCTTTGTGTTTACCAAACTCATATGATATATTAGGATTGTATCATCGTTTTCAAAACAGACCACAATACATACTTCAAACTAACGTGGACCAAATAAGTCAAATGTGTACAGGAACTAAAAACATGTTTTAGTGCCCCATCTGCTTTCTATCATAAGTGACTTCTAACGTCAAGTGAATGTAATTGCTCAATTGGTTTATTGATGGGTCGGGACTATGCAGTGGTGGGTTGCCAGACACTGGACGCTGCAAATTATTTAAAAGGTTATATCTGAAGTTTCCCTCACACCTCAACCCTGTACTTTCTTAGTAAGAGGAGGGAAAACCCCATGATTCAATTGATGACATACGATTTCCTCCTTCGCGCACCTCCTTTCCCGGAGGTACTTACCCTCCATCTCGGTTTTCAAAGTTCAATTCACATAGTTTTAAACCAATCAACGATCGACTCGCTAAACCAATCAGCGACGATGTCATCTCAATACAGATTTACATTATAAGCGTATATCATCTTTGAACCCTGGGGTTTCTCCCCCTCTTTTTCTTAGTTGTAACAGTAGATATGCTGTCTCGAGATCTCCACATTTGATTTCCTTGCCCAATCCTTAGATGGAGTGAACGAGATAGCATAGATGACAACTGGGGTAGGATACCTTTCACATAGGGCTATTTACGTTCACTGGGTCTCAACGTATTATGTAGTGCAAGAGGATTGCCTGCTTTCCGGTGTAAAAGGGTAGGTGGTCCTATCAAATTTTGGTCCTACTCTCTATTGATTTATATGGTGGCCTAATTACAATTGTTTTCGTTATTATTTATACACAGTCAGGGCCAGTAAGGGCCGCAAGGAAAGGGGACCATAATCCCAAGGGGACCATAGTGTCTCTTACACCCGGTTTTTATCAAAATTTCCTTCGAAAATCTGCTACCGAAAGGTAGGCCATCTTGTTGCGCCGGGTCCCAGTGACGTTTGATTTGCTGTAAGAAACTGAATTCAGGTACGTACTTTAAAGGAAACTAGTAAAGCAGAACTCCTTTTCTCCAGGAACTAATCCCTGGAACAATCGGAAACATCATTTTACTTGCATTGTCGATCATGTACGTTTATGATGATTTTGAGGTAGGCGAGCTAGTGAAAAAGACAAGTGTATGTAATTTGTATCACCCTAGGCGAACGTACGCGATTTGTGCGACAGCATGCGTGCATATTCTCCAGTGCTCAAGAGGGGGTATACCCAAGAATTCATATATGACCCAAAGAAAATATGAAAATCTAGAGGTTCACATTTACATAGGGAGATAGATTCATTTGTCAATTCTCTTCGTTGCTCTTATCCAAGAAGCATTTGAAAACCCCATTGATCTATTCTAGCTAATCTAGCGCTGAGTAGTCGGTCCTGAAACCCTTCTCAACATGATAAGTCTAGCTTCAATCTCGTGCACACACTGTGGGAGAAGGTGTATAGTCAAGTCGAGAGGGATGTCACAGACGCTTGTACCTAGACTACGAAATGATCAATAAGGGTTAGATCCATCTGAAGGTATCCTCATGAAAAGAAGCAGAGCAATATTTAGATTCCCATGTCATAACGACAAAATCCAAAACCCTAAATTTTTCACTTCAGAATTCAAGTGAAGTTTGAATTAAAGTCTCATTACCTGACAAGATATTTCAAAACAACCAAGAAATAATCAAATTTTTGTTTCAAAATTTTCGATCGATTAATGAAATAATGTTTGTCAGGCAATGAACTATGCGCTGATACTGTTATAAATGTGGACTTATAATAAGCAGTTTGAAGAAAGAATGCATTATATAAGAATGTACGGATAACCATGTGGATGTTGTTAATTGCGTTCTTAGAAAATTAATTACAATTGAGCTGACAAAAGGTACCCCGCCTTCCTCACCCGGCGTATCATTGTGTTTAATAAAGAACGTTGGCGTTCATCAATATTGACCTTGTAAAGGTAATCGAAACAAATAGACTAATGTGTCTTGAATGTATTTTCATTATTATAGAATTATCAGATTGTGCAACGCTAGGTAAGCGATAAAGGAAAACGCAATTATTGTCATAACGTATTAATCACGCCTGGAACTATAAATTAATCACGTTAATAACTATAAAGCAGTTTGGTATTTCGATAAGACAGATCACTAAACCTATCTTCATTCGTGCAATCCCGACCTGATCACGTATCCCATGTTTCTATGTCAAACATAAAGGGGCACAGTAGATAGTTCATCAATATCAAGGCATTGATATATTGAATCGTGGGTGTTTTCTTATCAAGAAAAAATCACCAATTAATAAGAAAAGTACGTTAAATAATAGTATGACCATCGAGTATTGTTTTAATTAACGGTGAACGTTTTATATTGAACTTGCCACGCTCGGAATTTCATTGTATAACGCGTTCGTACTTTTGTCGCATCATCTGTCTCTTAACCAATAGAAAATAAGCCTTCACCAATTTTGTTAGGGTATGGAGTTTTGGTCTTCAAGCGAATATAGGTAAAGCTATTTTAACCATAGCCTTATCCCTAAACCCTATAGCCCTAAACTACATCCACTGTCCCTGAACCTTATAACCCTAAACCCCATCACCTAACCTTAAACCCTAACCATAAGAATCGGGTTTTCGCTGGGCTGTGTCCGATTGCATGGCATCGGTTCTCTCCCAGTTTTGTCGGGTACACATACCAAATATTGAATTAACACTTCGGGCAATCAAACTACGTTTCCGAATGTGTTGAATAATGAAACAACTGAACGAAGACACTATCAACAAAAAAATAGGGGATCTAGACGAATCGGGAATTTGGGATGTGACAAAAAGACAATGCACAAGTGATTCATTTCAAAATTTAAAAAAAAAATATGATAAACCTCACGAGAACTTATCTCGTCAATATCTTAAATTTTGATTTGACATCAAAGTACAATCTTGGAGAGAATTCATGCCATTGATAACATTTAAAACCACAAGTGTCAAAAATATTACAATACAATATTGTTTTGTAGCGCTTCAGTTAAGTTTTTATAACATTTGAAAAAGGATCCAGACAGGATCCGAAACGTCCCGTTTAGTAAAATAAAGGTTGTGAAAAGATGAAAAAATAGTTTTGTGATTTAATTATCCAACCTAGAGAACATGTTTAAAGTGGGAATATCGATTGCCGAGTCGTATCCAATGATCCTGGGCCTATCGTAAAATGAAAGCTTTGAATATGTTGTTGCCTTTAAAAATGTATCTATTTTCCATGTATGCAACTAGAATTTGTGCACATACCTTATAACGATCGATAATGGCAAAGGAAAATCCTCTAATTCTTCGTCATAATTTCTCCTTCGACGTCCGCCATTTTTTATTAAACCGGAAGTTTTTCTCTGACGTCCGCGCAATGTTTTTTCACTTTTATTTCAGATTTCGCTTCGGATTCAACATTTAATGCTTTCTAATATTAATTTAGTGTTTTCTATCAGAAAGATTTCATAAAAAGACTCACACTATCAGAGATTTTATGGATTCGAGCAGCCAGAAAAATTAGTTTCAATTTCACCCGCTAGGTGTTTCGACGTCGAATTGGAAAGAATTTGAAAAATCTATGAGTGGGACTCCTTGTATGGAATTGTAGATTCTAAACGATTTGCCAGTTCTACTGGTTGATGAATATTGCCATATGCATACATTTTTATAAAATAGAAATAAGGAAGAAGATGTTGGACCAAACTTCACCCCGATAGCTCAGAAAAGGTAAAATTTCTCCATTTTTCTCTCCACAGACCTTAGAGCCGCTTTAAGAATTACAATACACAGTTTTAAACACATCCAGAAACAATCAGTTATGCTTTGAAAAAGGCAAATCTTCAACATCCTAATTAATAACAACTAACAGACAAAAAGTGTCGTAACATCCCTAACCGTCGTTTTGTAACTATCATTACAGAGATGCCTAACCTGGTCTTTACTGAACTCGGGTGTAAAATGTACACGTTGAGTTAAAAGTCATTATAGAGAGGTTAAGTAACACGTCTTTAAGAGAATTTGTACTCGAGCGTGAAATACATGTATATCAACCCCCGTGGATGACCGTCCCGCTCTCAATTCACTTTTCCAGACCCTTGGTTACAATAATTTACCGTATACCATACTCAATCGGCCAAGTGAACTACACAAATTGGATAACTCCATAGAGGTCCATACGTTCATAAAACCTGTAAAACCTAAAAACCTGTATATTGACCTCACTATTAATGAAACGGTCACTTCAACTTTGAAAATAGTTTTCCATCGTCTAGTCGTTCCATAATTAAAACAAATGTTGCTCTCAAAATATTTGCAAAATAGATCACCAAAGTTTCAGAGTAGTACCAAAAAAACAATCCACTGCCGGCTATTCAAAACATAAAGCCGTAGATCAATCAATATAGGAATAGTAAGTAGCGTGGAACGCTTCTTCTATCAAAATGCCCAACAGATATCAAAGATAAGCATTTAGAGCAAAACTGGACGACCTGCACTACTTATACAAGGAGTTTTTACAAGAAATTATTTCATAATGCTAGCGTCCCACGTTTCTTCTATTACGAGTCGACAACTTGTTTATTACAAGCCAACTTGTAAATTAGTCATCAAATTATAATTCTTACTAAGAGACAATGCGCATAGGTTATGTAAGATGATATATTGTCTATAACCAATATTACCCTGTTATAGCGTGTATTATATTATAGTATAAGATTACAACTACAATTTCAATTCAATTTTCTTATCCTTTATTTAGATTCTTGGAATTAGATACTGGCGATTCATTCCTAGTATTGATTGCAATTTCCGAAATAAGTAAGCGAATTGGACACGAACCATATTTGCACTCCCTCAAAAAGTTTAGCAAACCTATATCTCAAATGTATGTAATGTGTGATATCGCTTATTATCCATGTTTGGATTTATGTTTTCCTTTTGTTGTTTTCGGTTTGTTTCCAATATATCGAAAGTTTAATATAAAGTCAAGAATATAAAGACATACGATGGATATACCCGCATTATGAATGGAAATTACAACAACGTTGATGTATGGCAGTATTTTTGACAAGACAAGAGAATGGAAACGTGTGTTATGTTTTATGTTTATTAAAATCAACATGTTGATTCAAATCAACTTGCACGAATGGATTATACAATATATTTACAAAAAATTATTTCAGTCAACGTGCATACAGTTGAAGCAAGAAGTGTTCATGTTTTTTTCCGATTTTTATAATTTTATTTTTGCATCGTAACTCTAATTACGAAGTTTATAAGACACAATTATAAGTGTGATATCAAAGAAGCAATGGCTATCAAAAGTACGTAGTATAACACAATTAGATACATCCAATCTCGGGATCACAGTATCATCGGGTAATTCCACCCCATGCAGAACTCGCTACGCTCACTCGTGCACATACAATGTATAAATAATCATCGATAGAAACATTTAAACTCGAGTGGTATTATGCTAGTCGCGATCAAGTTGATATCAACAACGCAAGTGAGCGAAGCGAATGAAATAAGAAATGACCTCCCTATTAAATCCTACAAAGACCTACAAAACATACAAATCGATTTATTCTCACCTTGTTATTTATATGTATGGTAATCCTTTCCAAAAACTAAATCCTATATGTAGATACCCCAACCTCGCAAATGGCGTCAAGACTAAACTCTACTTTGTCTTAATCGTTCTGAAAAACTATTTCAATTTATTTTGTGAAAATTTAATCCTGAATATTAAACTGATAAATTTCTAACGCCGTATCGTCGCATTCCAAATCGGCACTGCTCCGGCAAGCTGCCTCCCTATTGTTCCACGTTATCAAACTACCCGCTCTGTGTGAGCCGTATGCAATATAGTCGATGCTCACTATATGCTATTGTAATTAGCAAACGCCTATACCTGTTAATTTGTATTTGTTATGCTGCATGGGCGTAGCTTGGCAAATTTCGGCGAGGCACAATTAATTGAAGAGGCAAATTAACGCCAAAGGAGGTGAATTTCTACCGGGTGTCTTGTTTCATACCCTTGAACGGCATCCGAGACCTAGTTATATGGGAAAAAAGCCGAACACTAAGTATACTGTACATTGAATGCTTGCTAGCGTATGCGAATAAATTCAATATTATTCAATTTATAATTCTCGAACGTTTAACACATACTAGAATTACATATTACTACTAATTAGTACAGTTTGAATAGGCGCCTCGATATATATAGTGTCATAATAATGATTTTTTGTCAAATTCTTTATAAATTCCTGTCAAAGACCCTGTCACTTGAACCAAAGCATAAAAAAAACAATTAATAACCAACAGTGTCATATGATCGACTACCCTTTTCTTTCTTCGTTTGACTTAACCTTTTGGAAGATAACATTGTAACATGGACATTTTCTTTCATTCTTCATCTACTACGTGCATATTTGTTTTTGGGACAGCATCTTTTCAAATCAATCGAGGTTGGGCCAAGCAGCCAAAGGTAAGCCATACAACCGAAGGTAAGCCATACAACCGAATTTGGCCGATTCAATCTGACGGAGGATGCCGAACCCCTATTTTTGACCAATTAGAGACGTCCTCTTCACATTCGTGGTACCCTCGGCCAACTTCGTTTGCAAAGAAAAGCTTCGGCAATCTCTGGCTTTTCTTGAAGTATCTTCGGTCGCTTGCCAAAAGTCGACACCCATTTGTTTTTTTGATTGATCCAAACCCAGACTACCTGACAAATCCAAAGTTAGCATGCCTCTCTTATACATCCGATTTTCTCCAAAATGGATTAATATCTCAGAATCTGTTAACAAGGCAACAATGGCGACAATATGAGAAAATATCCTCATAGATCAACATGAGTGTGTCAAATAAAAATAGATCAAGAAAATGTAATTGTGGACCGTTAAAAAATAAAAAAAGTCTTGTTTTTCTCGGGGTCTAAAATTAAAAACCCATTCAAAACCTAGCGCTCTAATCTACTGCGCAATGCGGCATTTGAACAATCAATGGACATATTCCAAACCAACAAATTTCGAGGTTTTATTCAGTTTTCGTTGTTTAGTGTTGAATGTAAAGGGATTGAAATAGATTCAGCTGATAATCTTGATAGGACCAAAGGGACTATGGTACGCGTTTTGAGTGGCCCGACTGACCATGATTGAGAATATAATGTGCTAGTAGGATGCGGTAAGAACTCGTTCGAGATGTAATAAATGAGTGTTATATGATGCTAATTGAAGCATGGACACTAGAAAGTAGATTATTATACACAATGCGCTTTTAGCCAATTAAGACCTAGACAATTAAACTAAAAGCACATAGAAAATTGAAGGCATGTCACTCTCGGGGACAATATACGGAGAATTGGAACCGACTATAGTCTCATCACTGCTAAATATATAAACTCTTATCAGGAAAATTGGGTGGGAATGCGCAACTATTGTCCCGTTTCAATACTTATCTAGTTAAATGGTAATACCACTGACACGTGGGCAAATCTATGAGTACGTTGGCTAAGTGGGAAGTTTGAAATTCTGAGGAGAATGTCAGTCCCTTGCTAGCTACGCCCATGCTTGTATTGTATAAGAACAGCTAATTTTGATATTTTGACACGTCAAATTTTTCAATTTATAGGTACCGTATACATTATAAATGAAATTATTTCATATTTGATACGACATGGCCAATATAGAAAAGCGATCGAAAACAGTAGTTTTGTCTAGCTTCATTAAGCGATACTCAATACCTCATGCAACATCCGATTCCTGTTTAAGATCTAAATATTTGATTGTCCACGTCCCGACTTCCAAGTCTCAATTCATTACCAAATCCAAAGCATGCCAGTTGTAAATGTGAAGCACAGAATTGGATCATGATGGAATTTTGTTTCATCAAAAATGTGAGTGTTCATTTTATCATTAAAATCAAATACAAATTCAAAGTAGTACATGTACATCAAACCTGTTATATTGTACTGTCATATATTGTATTGTATTATAATGTATTGCATGTCTTTATTGCCCACGTTTGAATAGTTAAATAAGTTATTGTTTTCACAAAATGAAGTAATAACAAATGAAAGTACAATTTATGACAAATATATACATTGCAAAATATGTAACTGATGTTTATCATCAAACGATCTTAATGCTCTGTGGAGTCATCATTAAATACATCATTAAATGTGTTTCTGAGCGTGACTATGTTCAACAAATTGGACATTCTGCAACCCTAATGACTGATACCAAATGACAATATTATCAACAAAACCCTTTCATGACTCTCAGATTAAACGCTGGCCTATTTTCAAAATGGCTGTCACAGTTATTGCCGAAAACCACGTTCTAGCTCTTTATGGCAACGCACATCGCAAAGGCTTTCAATAAATCTGCTTGAAATTATATACCTGTATTCGTGTATGTTTTTTCGAGAGCAGAGATCAAAAATGGCAATTTCTCTTGTCTAGACATCACTTTTTATGTTACAAATCAAAAATGTAAAATATTATCATTATGCGTGACATACAATATCGTCTATCAAAGAACGTTTAAAACCGTGTGGGTGCTTTTTGAGGCCACATAAAATGTACACTGTTCCACAGATGGATGACTCTAACTGCAATTAGCACGCGGTACTAACTTCGACCGTTAATTTGAATTTTTGACCTACCGGATGTTTGAAAATCAAGGATTACGAGTCTCATACTGCACAGTTTGTCTTCAAACTTTTTCCATTCAAAGCATAACAAAAATTCCTTTCTGTTGGTACATTATTCTCTTAAACAGAGTCCCTACTTCCAGCGGCATTTTGGTCCCCAGCTGTAGGAAGGCCTTCTAACAGCTGGGGACCAAAACGCTGCTAGAACGAGGGACTCTTTACAATAAAGTAATGCACCGACAGAAAGGCAATTTTGTTTTGCTTTTAATGGTATAAGTTTGAAGAAAAACGGTGCAGTATGAGACTCGCAATCTCTGATTTTCGAGCATCAGGTAGGTCAAAAATTCAAATTAACGGTCGAAGTTAGTACCGCGTGATTAGCTTCATTCACAATTTTTGACGAAATTCATTCGTTTTCGATAAACCTCCGATTTCCACTAAACTATTAAGTTGAATCTTGATTACAAAAATTTCGCCATGCGAATTAATAAAACCACGATATTCAACCACAACGAATGCCCAATTAGAGTCACTCAGCTGTGGAACGGTGATGTAATAGCTGGCCGCTCTAATGTTGAATTTCGAAGTACCACACAATGCTCAACATTAATCAATTTACCCTGCCGTTGTAAAAGGGTAGGTGGTCCTATCAAATGTTGGTCCTACTTTATATAGATTTATATGGTGACCTAATTACAATTATTTTCCTTATTATTTATACACAGTCAGGGCCAGTAAGGGACGTAAGGAAAGGGGCCATAATCCCCAAGGGACCATAATTTATTTTACACCGGCCGTGGCGTTGCAAACGGAAGTGAGTTGACCGATCTAGAAAAATGACAACATGGACACAAAAATACCAAGGCTTGATCTAAATCAAAGATTAAATTAAAACGATTTTTCGATAATACGTGAATTCTGAGAAAGAGAAAACTATTATTGTGCAATAACACATAGATTTATGTATTCACCTAGAACTGTCTCTACAAAAGCTGTTGAAGTTGTTGAAATAAGAGAAAAAAGGTCAATCGGAGGAAGAACTGAGCCATTGAGACTGAAAAATCAAGTTCCTACATTTACCTCGGAAGTAACATTTCAAATCTTCTGTTTCATATTTCAAACGAATGCAGTAATTGCACTTAAATCTTACTTGATCCCGTTATTGCTTTTTAGAACTATTTTAGAGCTTGTAGTTTATGAGTCATAGTACTTTAGCTGTTTAGCTGATCACTGTTACGATTGGGATAAGGTCTCGCGTACTGTTTGTCAAATGCGTGTTGCCAAATGCGTGTTTTGCACCCTCCCTTGATTCTGAGTTTTAATACTATTTAGCTCATGATACAATGTATTAATGCTAATTTAGAATTCGTTACAGTCGGGCATCAAATCATTTTTATACCCTAACAAATCGGCCTTTGGTAATATAACACATTGTAGAGGGTTGGGCAACGCTTTTCGCATAGAGTTCTTTCAATCATCTCAGCAAGCCATCGAGATTGCGAATAAGTCTCAACAAATGGCCGGAGGTTAAAATACACGTTTTTTAAACTTGTACGTAAACGTGTAGAACGTTGGTCCTCTGTGGATTAATCCTCCCATTTGTATTGTTTACCTTGCATATTGACTTTAAAAATATACGGAAAATAATTGTTATGAGGTCCCTTGAGAAGTGACTTTAGAGCGGGACATAAATACCAGGGAGTCGAAATATTACATGCTCACGTACAGGTTTTCTCTAAAACGTGTAACTTTACCTGCATATTATCAATAAGAAGACACTACCAGAGAAAAGCCGAGATACAACATACAGCATTGACAATTACCATACTTTATTCAACGATATCAATATTGTAAACATAAAGGACCTGTTGTGACCCAGTTCTGGACGCAATCCAAGATATCTAAAATAGAAATATCAATACAAATACCAGAGTTAGAGGAAATGATAGAGTATCTTTAAATTAATTAATTATGGTTTGAAATAAGAGATCATATAAATTATCCATTGGGTAAGAATATGCCTTAATTTGGCTAATCCTTTTTTGTATCTAGATAGATTCTTGAAGATAGGCTTGATAATAAACGAAATCATGAAATACGGAATTGTCCTTAAAATGGAAATTGACGGTTGACCGCTGTTGACATTACGCTAATTGCAACCATTCCAGATTAACATTCTAAATCGTGGAGAATTCTTCGCTCCTTTGTAATCAACGGTATCAAATGAATCGATCAATATATTCCGTAATCCCTGATAGCTTTAATTGCACGGCTGGACTTAACAGACCACTGGTTGCATACGAAGATTAGGCGACAAGTCGATGTTTCTGATAAGAGCCTTCTATGAGTTCCTTACTAGTAGGTAAGTAGATATGTGCCCCGATTATCAGAATGGCTCCCCTAAGTACCAAAATAGTTGAATGATTTTCTGTTTTAGAAGAGAATTTCTTCGGCACTCTATAAGATCTGAGACTAACTCAGATAAGATTGAGGACTTATTTTGATCCAGATTTAACTATCCAGAACACGGTCGATTGATATCCAGCTCCTCAATCAAAGAGGCAGTCACCTAAATATAGCAAGGTGCCAGCAAGTAGTTAATCAGTTTCACCTTAAGGTGGCTATCTTGGGTCAGTTCCCATGACAGACAGAGAAAAAGTTCTAAAAAATTCAGACCAAAATATGTTCAGCTAGATAAATTACGTTTAGTATACAATATAATTACACAATAATATGTAGATTCATATACACCCAGCGGCAATTCTAGCATCGCTAATAGGCAATCTTTATAACTAAAGGAAGGGTCGGGTAGACAAAGGTGTACCCTTTGCATTCGTTCGACTTTGCTTCTCAAAACCTAGAGAGCTTGGTCTAGTTTATTATTTGAGTCCGCGCGCAGGGTAACGAAGCTGTGGCGAGGCAAGAAAAATATCGCGCACTGGCTTATTGAGAATGTTATTGTTCGTGTCTTAATGTCGTAAAATGATATCAGAAACGTTTAAATGGAAATTCATTAGATAAGATATTGTATTCCTTAAGTACTCTGTACGTGATCTAATTATTAGATACCTCGAAACTCATGTCCTCGATCGGATAAAGGAGAGTACATTTCTATCGGTAATGAACGTAATGAACATGTCATCCTAACCAATTCTTTGACGACATTTGGGAAAATAATCACATTAGCTTGTTGATATCCAAAGACTACGATAGATACTTAGCTTTGTGATATTAATCTACTGAGCCTAATCTCAACAGATGAGCGCACCAACAAAATAATTACCCATGTCTTGACTCTTGCAAAATAAGGCATCAATGTTTTACAACGATATTGGAACATTACTGTCAACAGTATATTTTCTTTTTAAAAGGTATGCTCTCCAAGTAACAGAGATCATTCAAATATTCAAATATAGGTGTCGCTTGATGCTTACCGAATGCAAATAGTAGAGTGACAGTACCCTGCACGCAGAATCTACTTATCAAATAGGCCAAAGACAAAGCTCTCTTTTAAGAAGCGAAGTCGAACGACCTAGCGATAAAGTATGATGTTAAGTTTCATCAGGCCATTTCGAACCTCATTTGATTTAGGATATGATCATGTAATATTTAAAACGATATTTAGTGATTTTCTGTTATGAGCTATCATTAATACTTTACCCTTTCGCCAATTGCATAATAAATCCCTCTCATTACATCCACGAAGAATAACGGAAATTAATCGGTGTAAATAGAGAATTCAAACGAGACTCCCCCATGTATGTCCTGCAGGTGAAAGCAATCGTATTTCCAATCAATATTTATCTATATACTATTGGTAACATTTATAAGAATTGTACTTTGTATACAGGCTATACGAAGCAGATTAAACACCCATTGTAAGTGATCTTATCCGTATTCATTGGGTTTGTTTACATCACAGTTATTTAAGGCAAAATTTAAGCAACTTTGGCAAAATTTAAGCTTTGGCAAAACTAAAGCAATGGAGTGGTATCGATATGGTAAACTTTTTGAACACGCGTTTCTCTTAAAGCAGTCATATTCTGAAAAGTTTACACATCGTCAATTTAATGGTCATCTTTTGGATGGTAACATTATAATTTGAAACACATATGTATCATTTTCGCTGTATTGTTTTAAAAAAACACATGAGACACTTGTTTTGTTCTTGGTATCATTTACTCTAGTATTCGGAATGAAATGAAACATCTTTCCCAACCCCATTGGAACAAAACGACATAAAGGCAATCAATGTGTTTTAGGTCTCTCAATATTGTAATTGTACAAAGGAAAGTTTGGTTGATTGTAAAAAAGTAATCTTGTTAATGAAATAAAATGTTTATCTTATTTTTATCTATTTTGGGGGGTTTTGTTTTAAGTTTTTGCACATCTTATTTCATTCTCAAGAATTGGTAGAAAGGAACGAAAAACAATTGCACTAAAAAAACAAAATAAAAAATGTTAACAAAAACAGTTGTATAAAATTGTTATAAATAAGTTTTGCATTAAATTGTTGCCAATCAGTCAACACTACATGAAGGACCCTGTTTTTTACAGAATATTTTCAATAATTGGTTTAAGAGAAAAGATTGTTGAATTCAGTTCACCGTATCGATACCATGTACGAGGAGGTTGTGTTTGTCCAGGTTATGGATGCGGGTGTCACTTCTAATGAGACATAATTGTAGAAAATAATTGAGAACATAAACGCACATGTTCATCGTTTGTATGCAGAACAATAATTCTATTAGGTAATAAGTACACATGGATAATCGTAGTAGGTTGATTCCTTGAAAGTGATTTGACTTTTGCGAACTTATGTATAATACGATCTCTTCAGGCGCGAAGACAGGAGCTAATTGATAGGCGATACAAAGAGCTAAAGTGTATGTTAGTACCTCAATTAAAATACTCAATTCTGATTGGTTGATGAGCGGTCAACAATATGAACTGTACTGCTAGCTTTGATCTTCATCCTGAAAGATTTCCATCATCCTTAAAGGTTTTATCTGAAAAATACCTAGGTTTATTCAGTAAAATGTGAGTGAGGCAGTCGGCGTCTTACCTCGTGCCTCGCTAAACCAATGTCCCTCGCAATGGACCATTGAGTTTAAATGCATTTCTTACGATCAATGTATTATCAGTTAACTAGAATCAGTAAAAATATTTAAGAAAATATTGCACAAAAACCTATAGGGATGAGATGTTATTCGCTAAACCAATGTCCCTCGCAATGGACCATTGAGTTTAAATGCATTTCTTGCGACCAATGTATTATCAGTTAACTAGAATCAGTAAAAATATTTAAGAAAATATTGCACAAAAACCTATAGGGATGAGATGTTATTCGCTAAACCAATGTCCCTCGCAATGGACCATTGAGTTTAAATGCATTTCTTACGACCAATGTATTATCAGTTAACTAGAATCAGTAAAAATATTTAAGAAAATATTGCACAAAAACCTATAGGGATGAGATGTTATTCGCTAAACCAATGTCCCTCGCAATGGACCATTGAGTTTAAATGCATTTCTTACGATCAATGTATTATCAGTTAACTAGAATCAGTAAAAATATTTAAGAAAATATTGCACAAAAACCTATAGGGATGAGATGTTATTCGCTAAACCAATGTCCCTCGCAATGGACCATTGAGTTTAAATGCATTTCTTACGACCAATGTATTATCAGTTAACTAGAATCAGTAAAAATATTTAAGAAAAGATTGCACAAAAACCTATAGGGATGAGATGTTATTCGCTAAACCAATGTCCCTCGCAATGGACCATTGAGTTTAAATGCATTTCTTACGATCAATGTATTATCAGTTTACTAGAATCAGTAAAAATATTTAAGAAAATATTGCACAAAAACCTATAGGGATGAGATGTTATTCGCTAAACCAATGTCACTCGCAATGGACCATTGAGTTTAAATGCATTTCTTACGATCAATGTATTATCAGTTAACTAGAATCAGTAAAAATATTTAAGAAAATATTGCACAAAAACCTATAGGGATGAGATGTTATTCGCTAAACCAATGTCCCTCGCAATGGACCATTGAGTTTAAATGCATTTCTTACGATCAATGTATTATCAGTTAACTAGAATCAGTAAAAATATTTAAGAAAATATTGCACAAAAACCTATAGGGATGAGATGTTATTCGCTAAACCAATGTCCCTCGCAATGGACCATTGAGTTTAAATGCATTTTTACGATCAATGGATTATCAGTTAACTAGAATACGTTAGAATATTAAAAAAAATATTGCACAAAAACAAACTAATAAAAATGTGAAAGATACTCTCTAGAAATAAACGGTCTAGTCCATTGTCTTGTTTTCTAAATGTGTATGTTTAGGGACCACATTTCTACAAACTGAAATTATACAACATTTAAAGGTTGTAAAAACAAAAGATTAACTTGTCTCAGTAATTTGTTAATGAAAAGCATAACGTACTGGGAAATTATGAAATATCACTATATTGCCCTATGAAATGACGTTATTGTACTATTATTTTATCTTCGTGAAGATGATTTGAATAAACTGAAACATAACGAGCTCCACTAATTAGACTGATCCAGTGGTCTCGTTTGGAGTCACCATTTTGTATTTATACGGGAAGGTGTAATCCTTTAATGAAAAACATAATATATTAGGTAATTATTGAAATATCATTCGTGTCATTTATCATTTATATGTGTTTATAGATATTCAAAACTTCAAAATGAGATAATTATGGGTTAGATAAGGACTGTAAAGTTTCGTGGATTCAATATTATTTTGTGCATCTGTTATTCCCTGTTATCTTTATATCGTACAAGTAGAACACGTATGCGTGCGATTTTTTATGAAATGTATCTAATTCAAAGACAGACGCAAATAGAATACGACTTATAGCTCACTTGATTTTACTGTACTGTTCACCACTGCTCAGTATTGTAATATACCGATAAAAAGATGACTTTGTAATATACCGATAAAAAGATCACGTTTTACTTGCTTAATTATACTCACCAAATCTATTTCTGATTAATTTGAAACATTTTCTGACATAAACTGACGTTAAGTGTAATGGTCGTTGTATGTAACTATCATTAGCTTGACGTCCATGTATTACATAAAAGGCAATGACACCCATCGCCATCAGATATTAATAGATTAACACGTGCTTGCATGATATAACCTTCACAAGTTAAATTACTCCTTACATGGGCTTCCGATATCTGTTGAATGCCCGTGCTGCTTATCAGACGAAACAAAAGCTGTGATGAGAAATCTTGAAATGCTAAAAAGCTCTTGGATCACCAAAACCTATCATAGACTACATGTGTATAATATCACTGCATCTCGCAGTTAAATAATAGTTTAGTTGCAGTTCCCGAGTCGAGTATCATGAAGATCACTTTGCAAAGATTTTTATTAGTATCATAAAACGGTCCCTGCGCCATCTTTTTATACATAGAATGAATGTGCTCCTAAAGTGTTCTCTCCGACTACATTGTCTCATAGGTTTTTCTCCTGGATATTCAGTAATTTTCTGCTAAAATATTAACTTTGATAAATAAAATGCAATCATATTTGGTGAATATAGAACTTTGTTTTTATATGCAATTAAAAAATGATGTGAGAATCCTGGTCCTAGTTGGTTCAACCCCAAACTTAGGTTAGCATCCTAGAGTATCTGAAAAGTAGGCTGCTAGGAGTATCATGGTAGTAGTAACTAGACTGGGAAAACTGAAAAAGTTCAATTTAAGACTCGCGATTTCAGACTTTGTAATCTGAGTCAGCCAGAAGGTTGACATTTAGAAAAGTCTAAAGTTGGTAAGTAGGTAGGCCATCCTTCATTCAAGTGACTTTACTTATCACTCAGTATGGAAAGAAGTTAAATACCCTTGGACCAAGGATGAGGTAGGCAGGTAGTTTTGACATCCCGTTGGGACTAATTACAAAACATACTGCTACGAAAATATAGTCATCAGACAAAAGTTAATGTAACAGAATCAAACGGCATACTTTGGCAAAAATTAATTTCTCATCAGTTTTCGCTATCATCTTGGAACCATCATCATTATTGTATACGTTCATTTTTATAATCACCGTCAGCATCTAATCTCTTTTGCTCCTTTTCCTCCATTAAATGTTTTGGACTACGACAAAATGCCAACTATCAAACCCTGTTTATGACAGTAGATAGTTTAATTAATATAAAAAATCACCAACTTCGGAACTAGCATACTCTCGTAATGTTACTAAATTGAGCCAGGCCACAGGAAAAGGGGTCTTATCACAGATTTTTTCAATATTCTGATTTTTTGTTTATCGTAGAAAGCACAAAGAGACCTTTCAAATGAGCCATGGTTTATGTCTTAACTATTTTTCCTTGCATATATAGACCAAAAAGGCGAATTTGAATTTAGCACATTTTTCTTTTAATCGTGGGCACATTTTTGACTCTGTAGCACAATTCTATTTTTTGTGATAAGACCGGTTTTCCTATGGCCAGGCTCATTTATTGTAGTGCACTTATTGATGGTTGCCTGTCTCTTTCAAATGGTATATTCAATTGTTGTGACAATAGCACCTTTCTCTTAATCCTAACTATTTGTATTGTTTGAAACGATAACAAGTTAGTGGCTTGCTCTCTGGGAATGAGGGGCTATATCATTTCGAACAAACCAAAGACGGATATCGATACTAACGCATTGGTTACTCTTTGTATTTTAAATATATATTTATTAGTCCCTCAGTCTTAATCTGGGGAGCATTTATGCCTTGGTCACATTTGCTCCGATCCATCGTCTGGCGCCCGGCCGATTGAGTGTTTTGCTCAATATTGAATTCAATTTTGAACAAAATACTCAATCGGCCGGGCGCCGTATTTAAAATCGGAGCAAATGTGACCAAGGCATTAGGTAAACAGAATGTCGACGGTAATGTTCATGGAGTTCAGCAAACAACGTCATAGTAATCATAGTAGTAGGAAGTAGTAAGATTTGCATTTCTGTGTGCCTCGATCATTGTAGCACAGCAGTCAAATATTCCATCTGCACAGTCTGACTTGAGAAACACTTGCTTTTTAAGGATGTCACACTTTTCTTCTTTTGAAACTGCGAAGTATGAATCTACGACGCACGAGTTCCATTTAAACGATTGCTTGTCTCTGCCACAGTCGGAGTAGTAACAGTAAAGTTCTGTCAAGTGAAAACGCTCTCTGTCGGTTTCCAGCCAGGGTTCATCGGGAATACCATTCGGCTGACAAGTCTCAGAACTAAATATAAAATAATAGTGATGTTATTTAAGGATTTAAGCCTTGCAGACTCAAAATCTTTCAAAATGTTTGCATGACCCCGCATTACGTTGTGGGCTTAGTTTTCTCCTGATGACCATCGTGAATTATTGTGTTTTATGGATTATGGCGACGGCTTTTGTGAATGGATGTTGACCCTTTGAAACGCCTATTGACTTGGAGACTGGATTTGTGATTGTGATATTGGTTCTTGAATGGTGGGGGGAAAGGGGGTATTAGACATTGTTTCTTTTCACGTTAGATCATAGGGACTGTTTTTCTTGACTGGTATGCACTTAGAGTTTGCTTTTTCTTGAATTGCTAAGTTCCATTACAACTTTTCGTCCTTTCCCTTTGGCACTTGTGCTTATATACAAGGGTCGATCAAAAAGTTTCTTACCGTTGGCTCTAGATTTTATAATAAGAGGAGTTGGATGCTCAAACTTTTACATGAGACAGGGTAGTAAGTTTGCTTGCGACTGTCTGAGTTTCATTTAAATTGGTTCATTGGTAGTGACTCAGAGTCAATACATATTTTCAATGATTGAATTAGGTGGAGCAGCGCTTTTTATAAAAAAATGTGCTAAGCTGCAGTTTTGGAAAGGAGGAGGGAAGTTAGTGCAACAGATTTTGGACAGTCATATGTTTGATTTTGGCCATTTCCTGGGGATTTAAACAGGTGCATATGTTAGGTGAATGCATTACCTCCAGGAAAATCACTTCTAGAGATGATAAAATAATTTCGACTTTGAGACAGGGTAGATGCAAACAACCCACCCACATGTTTTTTCTGAAACGTTTTCCTGATTTTCAACCCCTTCCATCCCTACTTTTTTAATTTTTCTTGCATCAATATGTTGCATTTTGACACACAGATAATCCCTTACAAGGAATAAATGATTCCTTTTAGATAAAGTGGAAAACAATATTTCCCATGTTATTTTCCCATAGGAAAAATCATTGCTTTCAGCTAAGTTTGGTCACCCATAATGGGTATCTTTAAAACCCCTGAAGGAATTACTTATTCCTTTAAAGTGGTTAACTATGTGTTAGATCCTTTCTAACACTGAGTAGTGTCATCTGTCAACAGACTGTAGTTTAATCATGCTTCATTAGTTTTTCTGCTAATATTCATTCTCATTCAAAACATTCATCCCCAGTTGCAATGCACTTCCAATATATGTCCACTCGATCCAAAAACACATGTTTAAGGCCTTTGTATGAGAGGTTTTAAACTATGTCGGTAAATTTCCAGAACCACAACTCAGCAGATATTTTATTTATAACGCTGCTCCACCTAACTCTATCATATAAAATATGAATTGACTCTGTGTCACTACCAATAAAATAATTTACATGAAACTTGTACAGTTTCAAGCAAACTAACTATCCTGTCTCATGTTAAAGTTTGAGCTTCCAGCTAACGGTAAGAGACTTTTTGATCGGCCCTTATATTCATACATTGCAAAATATGTTCTATAAAATCACCATAAATATAAAATCACTAAAAGAACATTTTTCAATGAAACTTTTTGCAAGGGTCAAGTTTTGGACAACTCAATTTCAATCTCAATCGCTTAGCAACTGTACCCGACAAATGCATTATGTATATTTCACACACTGGTCATTATGTGAATACTCTGTTCGGATTGGCTGAAATCGGACACACCATGCCTAGCTATGTGTGAATAGTTAATGAGGCGATTTAATTGGGAGTTTTATTACTTGTATTGAGCAGGATACTGCATTTTTCAAACCAAATTTGACGCCTACATTATTCAACATTTAAATGACATTCAGATAGCACATCACTCACTGTGATCGGAAGAAATGAACGGAGGGGGATGCGGCGATTATTGATAGAAAATTCAACAAATCTGGGAGACTTATTATTTTAAGAACTCGAGAAAGTTTACAGTTGAATTGCTAAATGAATAGGCGCACGGCACTGTCAAATATTTTAGGTCTTCCAGGAATATTTTTGAACCGATAATTTTCTAAGATATGAAATCTTTTAAAAAGGCGTAACGTCACCAACGTGCATAAGTCGATGTTTTTTGACATCATCCAACAATGGTTTGTGCGACCTGTAATAAGTACTTGTAAGGGACGTTTATTATCACAAACTAATATCATTACTTTTCATATATTAGACTCGAATGGTCATTACACTGCACTTAGTCCAGGTCTTAAATTATTTTCACACATTGCAAAATATTTTCTACCATGGCACTTAAAAGATACGAAATCGCTTAGAGAACATATTTTCAATGAAACTTTTCGCAAGGGTCAAGTTGTCAATACATCAATTCTAATCGTAGAAGTAATCAAGTTGTCACCTTGACAACCCTATGCAACGACTGCGTTATTAATTATATAACAGTATGCAGTTACGTGAAATAGCGTTTTTTATTTGCCGGAATCGGACACACCATGCCAAGCTATGTGTGAATAAGGGTTAACGAACTTTTCAGGGTTTTCAACAATGTGTCATTGGCAATATAGCCAGGTCTTTTTCAGAAAACTTGAAAATCGTTTAAAATTGAATAAAGGTAAAAGTTGTTTTGATAGAAAATTACACAAAGAATTCAAACATGTCATGAAATAGAAGAAACTGTTTTTATTGGTTAAATGCAGATATCTTAAAATGTCATAAAAACGAAACTTCAAATTCTAATGCACGTCATTTCTACCAAAGGATACAGGTTTATCTTCCTCATAAATAAGTTGAAAATATATCAATTATTTTCAGGCATTTAAATTACCTAGGCTCGATAGTGTTGTCTTTTACTTGAAAGGAGTCACCAATCAAACGTCCTCTATTATTTTCATGTCTAACGTCTGTACCATCTTTCATTTTGTAGTCATCGTCAGACTGATCGTTAGCATTACGACATATTCCTTCAAATTAATAATGTTAAGAGTTAATCGCTAAGAAGTTCTTCCTTTTAGAAAAATCTATTCTGTTGTGGAGTATTTGCATTGAAAGTACAAAGACTGACTTGATACTAACTCAGTCATTATACTGTATATATGTCTGAAAAAAAGATTGAAGACACAAAAAAATTCAAGCATGGCGAATTTCGACTGATGAAGTTAGATGTGCTCCTAAAAATGACAGGATTCATGAACGCACCTTGTCATTATAGGAAATTGAACCTCAAAATATCACTATGTCACAAACTACAAAAAGGTAATAAATAAATCAATATCATCAACGAAAAAGAAGCTAAAAGTTAAAGTAAGCTATCACTAGAAACTACTTGTCTGAATTCTGTTGACATGCGTACCTTGGACGATTGTTTTTAACGACGGTGATATTTTTACGTAAGTATCCCAATCTCCGTCGAATCTTATCTCTACTCCTCTACTCTCGACGGATATAGTTGTAAACTTTCCACTCGGACTGATACGAACATTAAGTATAAAGTTTGCATCACCAGGGTCGACCCATGTTTCGTTTCCATATCCAATCTGTTTACCATCCCGCTGTTTTATTGCAAAGCAAACAGAAACACATACAGGGTGTCCCAGAACTCAAGATAATTTTTAAGGACATATAAGATATGGATGATTTTTCTTCAAAGGGGCATTAAATAAACAGTACATACATTGACATGAAGAACTGACATGAATTTAAGGCACTACTTGGGCAAGAGCCTCTTAGTGCGCTCCTTAGTGATTTTTAAAGTACCTCCTGCACTAAAGTTCCAATACACCGTTGGAAAGCTGAGAGTGTCAGCTTTAAGAATCTAGCCCCCCTTCGACGTTTCCAAGGGGAAAAATTAAAAAATCAATCATGCTTTTTCAATCAAAATATATCTTGACAATCGGTTTCTAATTTCAATCTCAACTGACAACATTTGTGGTCTAGGCAACACAACAATTTATCATTATGATATTTATTACACTTTGTGGTTATGATTACATTTTCTCTTTGAAAATACCACCCAAATATCCATAGAAACATCATTTTACATAATTTTTCATATAAAACAGTAGAATGTACTTTAATTGCATAAATGATATATATGTTGTCACTCTCTATGATCAGTTGTGTGACTTTGCTTCTATCCATAGTTTATATGAGGGTGGGAGGGTAGTTGTATGTGAAAATGTATGGTTTTAGAATACTCCACAGTCTTTTTTGGGTACACTATTCTGACTCTTGTCGAGGTATTCCGATCTGAGTCAAATATTCCGAGTTTACTTTTTTAATACACTCAATAGATGTCTACTTTGGTTATTTATCACTTCGTATTTTGACTCAATCTACAAGGGTCGTTCGAAAAGTTTTGCACGAAAGAGAAGCGAATTTATTATATTTTGTGAAAGAAGGGCGAGTTGTTTGTAGAATGAATCGGGGGATTTTTTTCATGAATTTCGCTTATGTTTTTCATCCAAAAAACATCAATACACTTTAAAACATTTTGTTTACTTTAAGATTACACCATGTAATCCAAAAATATATTTCTCATTTTCAAAGATAATCCATGGATTAACACCAAGGTATTTTTATTTTTCAATATTCAGAAGGCTGGGAATCAATGATGCTCAACGCTTTTGAATACGATAAATGCTGTTTTAAATAGGTTTTACGTATGCCAATAATTTCTCAAATTATGTCAGCTGAATGCATTCCTTAATCCCTAAAATGCCTATCATAATAACATTCTTTTGTCTTGGCCACTTAATATGTTTTGTTGCTGTCTGATCATCAAATCAAATTGTTGTTATTTAAAGATGTCAGTCAAATCTGGTAAGCACAACAGCACAACAGTTACCTAAATAGCACGAGTACATATTATGTAACTCATCCATAATATTTCATGCATCAGGTATTAAGGCTTAGGGGATTAACTTTTACACATAAACTGAAGTGACAGATGTGTATGCTTACATGTACAACTTCCAGGATTGTAAGAATTCAAAACTTGTTGATAGCCATATTTTCCTGAATGTGACATCGAGATATTATGGCATTTATGAGTGGTAAAACATGAAAAAAGCATTTTTATTTAAAATTAGCATATGATTTGAATTGATGCCAAGAAATGTATTAGTTAACTGTATCCGTTTTACATCCATTGCAGTTGGCTACATTATAAGACAAGGCATTCACATGCAAAATGTCAACACCTGCCATTTGTTACAGACACCAACTGCCAAACACCAACTGCCAAATGATAAACACCAACCACTGAACACCGTCCACAAAAAAAGTTTGAGACCATAACAATGGTGGTGACATAAAAATGATCATGGAAAATTGTATTTTTTTTAAAAAGTAGGAACTTCTGAGGTTATTAGAAAATTGGAAGACAAGGAAGGATTCTGGCTTTAAGATATTAGGGTTATAAATTGCAATGAAACTAAAACAAAACATTCTTTTTCTCAAATATCACAGTGTATATTCAAATCACAAATACGATATCATACAATTACAATAAGGGTCTAGTGCACTTTCCATTATGATATCCCCATGAACAAAATGAATCATTTCTAGGTGTAACATAAAGAATACAATGTCACATAATACTGTGGAAAATATTTGAGCGTTTGGACCCACATGGGCTGAGGTTGAGGTCATTTAGTCCAGCAAGGGTGTATTGACTTGCCATTGAATGGGCTCCATTGACTTAACATGTGGATATCATCAATTCCAATAGAGGCCATTGGTTTCTAATGATTTTCACAAAAATACCTAAAATACACTATGACCTGAATCGATTGCAAATTAAATAATTTCACAGTATGACACAAATGGTATATCACATCATATGTGCAAATATACAGTTTGCAATCGATTCAGGTCATACTTCAAATTAAACAATTATACATTTTTTCCATCATTTTTTCTACAAAATGGCTTTAGAAAAATGCTTCAAAAGCAACTTTTACACTAATGAAATCCCATACAACTTTGTAAAGCCAAAGATTATACTGTTATGTTTCATTAATTAATAACATATTTGGATAATATGTTGGGATGTGTAGGATGCAAATGGATTTTGACAGACACAAAAATACTTCTTGGTTTGGCATCTCTACCCCTGTACACTTTATGATTGAATATTGGCCTGTAAGTGGCCCATTCATCAATACGGTGCTGAATATAAAAATGCGCGAAAAAAGACCAAAGTCTTACACGATCCAGTCAAAATAACTTTGTCTGTATGTCATGACGTCATAAAATTGTCATGGTAATAAAGTTTGGCGACTATACAGGAATATATAGCCGACCTTCCGCTCCATTGACTTCCATACAAATGCTTCGCTAGGTATGTAATACTAATACATATAGCTAGGTCTGAATATTAAACTCCAGCCAAATAGAGCCAGCACAATATTTCAACCTTTGTAACCCTTGCAAAAAGATTTTCTTGCAATAAAAATGTGAAAATAGCTTAGGGTACTTGTAAGCCAATCTGATTTTAAGGTAGATATGTCTCGATATTTTTCACTAATTTTCATGATTATAAATACCGATTATCAATGAAAGGGACAATATTTTCACATTTGTAAGTGTATGTGTATGCATGGTCCATGGTGTATGTTACCATAATTCTTTATATCCACTTAAAATGTCAAAAACATTGCCCAATTTATAATTATCAGATAATTTATTCATCACCAAAATTAGTAAAAATTATCAACATGCAGAACTACCTTAAAGAGTTTAATCTCTCACTCAGTCACAATCATGTCAACCAAAACTGTACTTGTATTACATAATATAGGATTATACAGCTTACCATACGTGTCCAATCTATATAGCATCCACACTGACATCTTTACAGAATCATATATAATTTTTGAATATAAACTAACTCAACCCAATAAGGCGAGTACTAAAGAATTTACTTACCTGCCATCTAAAAATCTGCTTGGAACTACCATTGGATTACCATTGGATTCCTCCAAGAGAATATTCTAGGGATTATGGAATGCATTCAGCTTACATAATTTGAGAAATTATTGTCATACGTAAAACCTATTTAAAACAGCATTTATCATATTCAAAAGCGTTGAGCATCAATGATTCCCAGCCCTCTGAAGTTTGAAAAATAAAAATACCTGGGTGTTAATCCATGGATCATCTTTGAAAACGAGAAATATATGTTTTTGGATTACATGGTGTAATCTTAAAGTAAACAAAATGTTTTAAAGTGTATTGATGTTTTTTGGATGAAAAACATAAGCGAAATTCATGAAAAAAATCCCCCGATTCATTCTACAAACAACTCGCCCACCTTTCTGGACCATAAGCAATATACTACCTGAGATATGTTGGCTTAAAAAATTGAACCAATGGGCTATGGTCCATATGACGTCATTAAATTGAATTAATTTTGTGAATGCCTTGATAGGCTGAAATGGTTTAGTCAATCTTTGTTCTTTCAGCTGCTAAACAGGTTATGTTATAACTAATTTATATTTAATCTAAATACTCATTACTTAACGTGTAGTCTTCCTTTTCAGTAAAGCATTATGTCTAGTCAATAAGTAAATGTCTGAACCATCCTACTTATAGGATATCAAACAGCTTCCCTTAATACATTTTCTCTTTTCTAAGTCCACCTTGGAATACTTAGCAATCACAATGAATGAATATAACTTGTGTAATACTGTTTCCCCATTCTTCATCATGTATTCTATCAAGGTTTTCTGCTCCAACTTTATTATTTCGAGCCATATTCTCCGATATTTTCTGAATTTATGAGAACATTGACAACGTCATAACATCAGGTAATTTGCTCAAGATGTTTGAAGAGTATATGTTTCCGGTCATTCTTTAGCATAACTAAAGAAACAAGATGGGAAATATTGAGATACGATTTACATTAAATTTGCCTTGAGAACAATACTATAAATTATTTAAATTGAAGTCTATGTAAGTTAATTTAGATTGTTTAGTAACATTGATCTTTATGTATTACTAGTCATCTTTTGCAAAATGATATGGACCATAGCGTCATCACCTTCGTTGCTATAGTAACCGTAAAATGTTAAGTATTAGAATATATTCATGAAAAGTTGACAGTGTACTTTATATACCATCCTCCTAAGCAGGTATCCAGGACCCTCCTTATTCCCCCTGCTATAACCAATTTGGAAGCGCCCGATTACACTGAATCACGTGATCTAATTATGCGCAGTGACGTATACATGATTTCTGTCGCCGTGTTGCGACAGCAAATCAGATTGCGAGTTCTTAATCTGGGAAATGCTAACTGCTTATCGCAGGGGGTAAAAAGAAAGAATATATTCTGGATTTTGAAGCCCTGTTAGATGTTTATATACCTACACATTGAACTTCGTGTTAAAGCCTCTTTACCTTTAAATTTTTATTTACTTAACCTGCGATGAAAATACTTATACTATTGATGGAAACGTAATTTGATTTTAATTTCAATACCTCCAAATTTTCTCAATTTTTTTTCCTCAATTACAATAGGTCGAAAATTGATGATAAATTTGATGATAAATTTGAAAATCGACATTCCCATATTAACCAAAGGGAAATGGTAGGTTTGCCGCAAGTCACATGACAGAATATCCATCCATCTGATTCCTTGCAAAAATACGAGTTAGGCAGGCAATTGAATTTGCTAACTTTATTTAACAAAATATTGATATGTTTCTTCAGATTCAACAAAGTTATAGGGCTTTAAAGTCAAAATTGTTTTTTCAAAAAACCTCTCCCATTGAAATAACACAGGAGGCGAAAAATAATTTTCAAAATTGACTTTGAAGCGCTGTTACTTTAATATTCATCAAATAAACTAAACACTTAGTGTTCAAAAAAGTTAGACAATTCAATTTTCTATATAAAAATATTTTTTGCTGAATCTTTTACTGAAAAGATATCCTGATTTCTGATTTGCCCCGAACCTTCCATTTCCCATTATATTACATGGGAATGACGATTTTCAAAAATTCATCACATTTATCATCAATTTTCGACCTATTGTAATTGAGGAAATAAATTGAGAAAATGTGTAGGTATTGGAAATAAAGTCAAGTAACGTCTCCATCAATATTATAAGTTATTTCATCGCCGGTTAAGTAAATAAAAATTCAAACGTAAAGAGGCTTTAACACGTAGTTCAATGAGGGGAAAAAGGTTGCCAAACTTATGGAGGGGAGTGTACGAGGGGTGATCAATAAGTAATGGACGCTTTTTTACACAGATGCTTTTTATAAACCAATCCCTTCGATTTTCTTACCAGTGATACATCATTTAATTATCTATCAACTCTGAAGATTTGAAGACAATATATATATATTACATGTTGATATATCCTTATTTCCGTGAAGGAGGTACAGGTACCCCGGGACCGACATTTACGTCACATATTCTGAAGCTGTTTTAGATTGTTTAACATGCAATGCAGTTGAATGCGGGCTGAACAAAACAAACAATTATGGTCATGAATTACCCCATTTTGCTATGCCATGGTTGATTTTGAATATTTTATCACCACTATGTGGTATTCATGCCACATTCATTCCACAGGGCCCTCTAAATAGGTTCCATCAAGTGCTACATGTACACAATTCCTCAAGATTATGAGACAAGGCTGAATCCATTATCTGACATGGTAGCAAGATGCAGTTGCACAGGTTGTTTTATTTCATCAATGTAAATGAACCTGCGTCCTTTCTCTATAGAAATAAGTAGTATAGAAAAAACGAGTCACATGTGAGCAGATCTGGACAATATGGTGCATTGGCCAAGGGCTCGAGTTTGAGGTCCAGGGATATTGTTTTCTGAACATTTTGAGATCTTTGGGCAGGTGCATTGTCCATATGGAGTGGGGTGTTCCCTTCTCTCACCACCCCTTTCTTCCACAATGCTTTCTCAAATTGATCTGTAAACCCCGACCATGCAACACTCTGACATTACAATACTTTCTGTTTATTTGTTACCAGTCAGCAAAAAATTTTAAACAACACAACACTTGTTGCATATAAAACCTTCAAATCTAAATGCAATTTGCTGAACTGGCTAAAAACTGAATATGTGACGTAAATGTCGGTCCCGGGGTACCTGTACCTCCTTCACGGAAATGAGGATATATCAATATGTATTATATATTTTGTCTTCAAATCTTCAGAATTGATAGATAATTGAATGATGTATCACTGGTAGGAAAATCAAAGGGATTAGTCTATAAAAAGTATCTGTGTAAAAAAGCGTCCATTACTTATTGATCACCCCTCGTAATTACTATGAATAAGATTGGTCCACTATTTTCACAATCAATACATTTGTGCTAAACATTTTGAACAACCCTTGTATATTCAAAATATTCATGGATCTGGTCAGCAGAATTCAATGCAGTTTTCATATTCGAACGATTGGGGTTCGGACGCGAAAAATCCGGACGAATGAGATTCGGTCACATGATAGGCAAAGTCATTCAAGACGATTCGACTGACATGCTTATCGTTTATAAGAAACACGTATTAGTACATACGGTTATATTTGGAGATCCATCCATCCATTGATGTATTCCATATACCACTGAATTTTGGTGTGATTCAACTACCCTTTGTCCATAGAGTTTAAGATACATGGATCTCGGCCAGCTGACCTGTTGACCCGCGCCGTGCTTTATCCAATTTTGTTGAAAGACTTCCCAAATCTTCATTATTCGACCATTACTGCCTTCCGTCTCGAGTTTTGACAAGAGGTACAAGCATGTGCCTTGAAAGTGAAATTTCGCATCGTCAAACGTTACGACGTGTACGTCCCCATATGCCGTACATTTTGGCCATGTCGAACCTAGGAAAATGATACATGGTATCTATGAGTCTGACAAAGCTGTCTCTGATAAGATATTCAAAATGTCTTGATAACATAGTAACGATTCATATTACCCCGGTCGAGACAAAATAATAATTCTTTGTTTCAAACAAATGCTCAAAAAATCAAAGGTGATGTTGTTCATCATTGCATTGGTATTGTTTATTGGAAAGGCGTCTAAAAATGCATGCTTCTACGATATTTTCGCTTAAAAACTTCAAGCATTTATATTGCCTGTATTTAATGCAATTGTGGACATTTAGAAGTACAAATTCTCTTAAAAACACGGAATTTAATCCCGGGAGCTTAATATCCATATTGATCGTTTCCTTACGGGTATACCGACTTTTGCATTCCTCTCCGAAGTAGTTAATACCACAATCACAATAAGAAAACAGTCCAGGAATGCTAAAACAGCTACCACTCGATCCACAGTTGCATTCACCTTCACCTGGTGCATCTGGAATGAAGCATGTCCCAAAAATTCAAAACGGCATGTTTCACGTTCCATTTCACTTATACTACGTTCAAAACTATGGAAGAATTTGATATACACGAAGACTTGAATGAATAAATATGAATTATGAAATATATTACTGTAAGATTTTTCAAAGTCTGTGATAGATGAATGTTTGATAGAATATGAATACACCACAAAATAGATGAACATTCATTTTCAAATTAAATATATACACATCTCATTATAGCAAATATCACTTGATGATTCGATAAATGTGAAACATATGACGTTGCTCATATATAAGGAATATCTAGCACATTACAAAAACATCTCCATCAAAGAAATTTTAAGAGTACATTGTTAGATAGGAAATCAGATTGATGGTTAGATATTTCAGTCATATAATTATCGAAGGCGATATTTTCTTCTCACCGCCAGGACAACACGAATGGCACGAAGTACAAATGGCAAATTATAAACCTTCAGCGTACGTCTATGAACATATTTGTAAAATTCCTGGGTAATAACTTAACTAATGAATTTCAAAAATATACTTACAACATGGTGCATCAACATTCACTGGTTCTCTTGCAAACTTCTTGAATTCCTTTGTTATCAGCTTTGCATATTTGCTTATCGTTATGACGTATTTGTTGAGAATATTGAACGCTTCTGTGACTTCCTTTAGCATGATCTTCTGCTCCTTGGTCGCCGACTTATTTGCTTTCTTCAAAGACTTCTTCAAGTTCTTGGCTAACTTGCCTTTAATTGTATTGACGTTTAGATCAGTCGAGGTAAACATATCTAATCTTAATTGACTCATGCTTCGGGTATACAGTAATATCGAGCTTTCTAAATAGGTTCTTAGTGCATTTTCTGCATTTTTGGCAAAGCGTAGTTTGTATGGATATGTAACGAACCGTACGAGGCTTGACTGCTTTCCTTTGAAATCTGAAATTGCGTCCATGAGGGATGTAACTCGATCTCGAATTGTTTCGACCTTTTGAATGACCTTCGTGGGAGACTGGACTGTTATCATATCAGATCGTAGTTTGGTGAGTGCATCTATCATATCTGTTATACCAATTGATTTAAACGTATCAATTAACCTGCTTTTATCACCATCTACATCGCATCCAGTAAACGATGGCTCTTGACGTTTCACTACTCTCAGTGAGTTTTGTTTGATAGAAACACCAACGCCCAGAATTATATACATTACTGCAGCGACCCCGAAGATCACATGGTACTTCATCCTTCGAGTAAAAGAGCTTTCAATTTGCAATAAAATTTATTGATTTAAAGGCGGAATCAAAACTATTAGGTTAGGATGTGGTAAAAATTGGAGGCATTTTATAAAGATGACCTAAACCTGTACCGATGTACTTTATTAAATAGTTAAAACGCGAAGGAGATTTAAAAAACAGACATGAGAAATATGACACGAGCCGAAAATTATTCTAGCATTGAAAACATTGTCCACTAGGTATGATATAAGCTTTAGAATGAAATTAAATGAAACATTTAAATTACTAGAATCCCTCGATATTATATATGTTATAATTTACATAATCAACAAGAGTGTTTGCAATTTGTTGATTGCATGAAACGTCCTACCTGGCTATAGAAGTGTTACCTTCACAGAAACGAACGTCACACACCCAATAGGCCAGTTGTTATATAGTTTCGCTTACGAGTGACGAGAATGGTAAAAGCTCACGATTTCATCATCCAAGAACAATTGAACACACACCGTTAATATTCACAATTTTAAATTCAATTGAATGTTAAGTTTTATTACAACATTCACATATCATCGACATTGTCTACATACAATACCTGCTATCCATTTGATGACGAGTTTATGATATCTGCGTGCAGTAGGTATATCCCGAGTTTCACGTCGTGCATGTTCACACTGTCTTTCAATGATTCTCTGCATGTACGGCATGTATGGCGGTGTGATGTAAGTACAAGTGTTTAATTAAAAAAGCAAATTATATTCCAAACAGTATAAACAAATATTTAACATTAAACACTTTTGAGAAAAACTTAAATAATGTACTATGATCTAAATCACTTATCTCCCACACACCTTTTATTGTAGACACAGCCTCCTCACAAAAAGTATGAGACAATAAGTCACATCATTTATACTTGATTAATTGTAATATTTAACAACACAAAGTTCCAATGATCTCGTTTCACGTTCAATTACCGGTGCGTCCCAAGATTTTCCCAATCGTGTTTGGATTACACAGAAGAAAATGTATACATATGTATACTTTTCTTTCACGAGGGCCTTCTAGATCTTCTCCTCAGCCAGCACCATGAACGAAAGCCAAGGAAGGGAGGAGTAACTAAAATAATTCGGCATTACACATTGAATTTCAAATCTAACATATACGTGCATTTTTACATATGAATATTAAAGCAATTGTGATGTAAAGGTTAGCTTAACTCAACCTGACAATTATTTTAATTTCATTTGATTAACTACAAGAGATACAAATACGCTCTTTATATATTGTCTGGCGTTTCCGAACAGGGACGCGGGTGATATGAGGTCGTAATTTGGTTAAACTGATCCAGGGAGGTATTTTGACTTTTTTGTCATGTATGTTTCGAATTCTCTATGAGATATATTTTTATTGAAGAATTATAAAGCATTCAAACATGACCGTGCTCTATTCGAATTTCTCAACCAATCAGAATGCAGCATGGCCAATATAGAACGTTCTCTAATTCTCCATAGATGCACGACAATGCTCTATTCAATCTGCAATTTGCATTGTTTTGAGTGACGTCACATCTCAGCTGCACATCTGGGGCTCTGTCCGGGGATAGCTGTTCTTTTTTACTCCCTCCGTAACTACTGTAACTATTTTATCAACACCCCATGTTGTATAAAATCTAAAACGGGGATTAAAATAGAACAGCCCAAACAAATTCTAAATTTTTTCCGGCCGACTTCAGAATCTTGACAGCATGCGTATTCTTCCTTCATGCCCGTTCCACAGACACGGCTTTTACTAGTTTTTATGTTTGAATCGGAATAAATAATGATAGGCCATTCAATATGGGGAAATTCAGCACTCGTTGGACAGAATGTTAGTAATTAATTATATTATCATCATTATAATTTTAATGTTTTGCAGGGTGTTCATAATTTATCTTTACAATTCAATTAAAAAGTCTGTGTTAAGTGTGAAGAGACCTTATGGGGCCCATTGAGCTTGGTTGACATACATCAGTTATTCACGATTATGTGACAAAACATGTAATTTTGATTGTAATTTTAATGTATTACAGGGTGTCTATAACCAATACAAAGTCTGTGAAAAATGTAGAGGAACTTGAGGGACACCCTGTAATATTATTATTGGCATATATAAGTTATGCACCGTGAACCAATAAGTAGATGTAACAAAAAAGTATTATCTTCAGAAAAGAAAAAATCAGAACATTTTATTTGACTCATATATGTATGTGTTTCGAATATCATTTCATAGATGTCGCGGCAAGTGCAGTTATGTCTGTACGGAAAGTAAACAATATTGGATCAAATATAGATGTCTCCTTCATTCATTTGTCCAATAAAAAGAAACTATCGTCTTCTGCATTATCGTCTGAACATCGTGCGTTCTGTCTTCATCATAGGTTATGGTATTTATTTTGGCCGACGAGTGTCGAGTGAAGGAATATGAAAGATGAAGATTTTGGCCAATCGGTCCATTTTCGGGAATATTTCACAATGAATGATAAGTACCCATAGTTGAAATGAATTTATTATAGTTTAAATTGATATAACAAAATAAATTAAATCAAGGACCAAAAGTCTTTTCTGGGTCACTGCGGATGGCATGATTTCCTCGAGTCTCTTCAGTTGCAAGGCAACCATACTGGGACCGATTCGCGTCGTTCCACTACTGCCCTTGGTGGGGGCCCGCTACCATACTGTATGACTCCCGGCGTCTACTATAGCCCGTCAGTGGAGGAACCAACCACAGTCTCACAATCTGTCTCCGACAAGAGCAGTCAGAGAACCGGCCCATGCCAAGGGTCGGAGGTTGGACCTTCGGGCCGAGTGCCCTGTAGAACTATTATCAAGAACGCCGTACCCGAGGCTCGAACGCGGGACCTTGTATCCCTCGGTACGTACGACCACAGTCACTAACCACCCAGGCTACACTGCTCAGGTGTCAACATTGCTCAAAAATGTAATAATTATACAGGATGTCCAGAATTGCAATATTCAAAAATACTCCGTATTGTCTGCGGCTCGAACGCGGGACCTCCGTATCGCCTACGTTCGACCACAATCATTCTCCAGTCTCTACGCCACGAGGCTACATTGCTTAGGTGTCAGTACTGCTAAAAACAATGTAGTTGTTTTAATTATTTGCTTGAGTGAACATAACTTAAACGAATTATAATTAATTAACCCTATTTAAAAGTTAACTTTAGTTGCACTCGAAGTTTACATTTTTTATCGAGGAAACGCTTAAACTCAAAATGAGCTCTTGCGACAAACAACAGTATAGTCACAAAGCATGGTTGTATAGAAAGAACATGTTAATTGGCATAATATTTAAGATCCATCAGGAAAGAAAAAAACATCGCGATATATAGAGAATAACATTTTGAACGTTGTTGTATATATGCTAATATGAAATTTCAATTGCGTCTCAAATAAATGAAAATGGGCAATTGGCTACTGATAGCAATAAGCGTATATGAGTGAAAACAACTAATATTATAGATATGTATAGATCGTTCAATATATTGGAAAGGGAAAATAAGCTATCGTGATTTCGGCGCATTGATATAATCGGATTACGTTCAGTACTAATTATGTGTGGCTAGCACAACCGTTGTGAGTACAGTTGCGAGTGAGTTTGAGAAGAACAAAAGGCCAGAAAACTGAACGAATCTTATTCTCTGACTTCAGACTCACTTCATTTCTCGTTGATTTGTAATAAGTCTTGTGTTAGCGGCATCCGAATCACTCCTTCTCAAATCTACATCTTTTAATTTCGCACAGAGTACATTAACATTCGATTCAGTCGTAAAACATTCAATCATGACAATAAGACAAGAAACATTCGATTCAGTCGTAAAACATTCAATCATGACAAGAAACATTCAAATAATACGTAAAACATTCAATCATGACAAGAAACATTCAAATAATACGTAAAACATTCAATCATGACAAGAAACATTCGATTAATACATAAAACGCTCGATCATGCCATGACGTTTTTGAATCCCGATAACATTTTATTGGTCAACCATGCAGCGATATACTTATGTGTATGTACGTACAATCCCCTCATAAGTTTGACAACCGAATGTTTTTGTTTAGGCCCAGCAAATCAAAATCCGATAATGTTTGAATATCAATATTGTGAATTAGTTACAAAATACCAGAAATTCACGTCTTTGATGATTTTCGTAACCCCCCTATCACACCAAACTAGTTCTGACCCATTCTTGCCAGTCCTACGAAAACGTCGTAAAACGGGCTCATTCTGGCTGTGATCGGGAAATATGTCTGAAATAATTAGCTTCTTCGTTCTTAAACAGTCTTCAATACGCCCATCTCGTTCGCAGTTCGTTCAGGTCGCGCAACGGTGTGCAACGTCGTAGAACGCGTCCCTTAGTCTAGAAGGTCAACATGACCTGATTACAGAACGGTATGATCGCCATCGAATTTTGAATCGATTCAAAATTCTAAAATCGCATTCCCGTCTGAGAACGTTCATAAAGTTCGTAAATAGACCTTAGAAAGTTGCAGCTACGTTCATTCCGTTCGCACACAGTTTAAAACCAGTTTTGAAGAACGCAGTGGCAACTTGTTTGGTGTGATAGCTATATTTTTGCTAACTCGTTCATTAGCAGTCTTTTATAATACGTTCTTAATCAGTTTAAACCCGTTTGCAATTAGTTCTACCTCGTTCTCAACACGTCCTCAGACAGTTCAACTCGTTGTTAAAACGTCCCTAGTAGGATTGAAGTACGACGGTTCCGTTCGTAGTACGTCCAGCTCGGCGTTAGTACGTTGTCACTCGTTCTAATTGTAGAACGTGACGACCACGAGAACATTTTGAGCATTGTCTAAATTCTAGAGGACCTACCCGTTCGAGTACGTTCGATGAAGTTTGTAAATAGATCACAAACGGTTCTTAATAGGTCCAGACCGTTCGTACACAGTTAAAGCCCGTTTTCGAGAACGTAGTGAGAACTAGTTTGGTGTGATAGTAGGGTTACATCGCAAAACATCAGCATGCTTCTCAAACCCTATGCGCTAAACTAACGAAGGTCCTAATTTAAAGATGTCGCACTTTTAGTTTTGTTTTAACCATACATACGAGTGTTCCAACTTCACTTTGAAATTGTTCACCGTCCTCAGTCAAATTCACTTCCTGTGTTTATCACATTGGTAATTTCCCTTTAGTTATTTCCCTTGGACACAATCAATTGCAATCTTATTCGGACAGCTTTTTGGATTACGTGTGCTTGTGTATACATTTGTTAGAACTAGGTGTGATGCCAAAATATATGTACCTCACATTCCAATGAATATACTAAATGTGTTTTCGATTATTCAAAATTATTCAATTTAACCAGTCCTATATTGAATGTATACATATTATATCTGTTTTAGTACCAAGGGCCATATCCATGAAGCGCGACTGGTACATGATCGACAAAGACTTCACATGCTTTGCCGTATGTTTGTTGGCAATCACACAACCGACCATGGCAGACCTGTCCATAAGCCTGGTAACCCTTCCGCGTGGTACAAAATGACCCTGCGTATCATTTACTAATGGAGTTGTAATGCCAAAAGCAAGAAATAAGATGTGATTGTGTCCGTAAGAATGCAAAGACAAAATGCGCCGTATTAAATGATTTGGACACTTTATCGATATATAAAACGCATAAAGTTGTTAGGGAAATACAACATTTGCCAAATAAAATAAAACATGTTCACCTCCGTTTACCTTTTATTTGACATATTCTTTGATGCATCATGTTTACTGCATCAACAGCATGGCCACATTTGATAACTGAAATACACCCCAAGATTCGTTCGAATTGATATCGGGTTCCCGTGAAAAAAAATGTAACTGGTCATTTCTATTAACATCTTATTTTCTAAGTATAATGTGATAGACTCTCAAATTACCTTGCATTTTGTGCAACCAATAATAACGATAATACAGCTCTACAATTTTAATCTTCGCAAGGTTCGCTAATATTTGGAATTTTAGATTTTGAAATTGATGCACAGCGTTTTTTCTCCCGGGTAAAAAGCCGACTTAGCAGGTAACGTAACCCTGAAACGAATGCGATAGAAGCGTCCTCGAATCTGAATCAGAAACGGTGTATGGAATAACTTGACTTTAATCCAAGAACATATCAAAAGATACATTGAAGATACACAAGGGATTATACAACGAAACTCATCATTGAGGCATATTTATTTAAGGACAATTCTTATAAATAAACGTTGAGTAACATTGATCTTTGAGTCCTAAAACTATGAGTAATGTGAGAGCATCGAAATCTGGTTTGAGTAGGGACACGCATAAAAAGGTAAGTGCATAAAGGTGGCAGAATCGCAATTCAAATTCACAAAAGAAGCAGTTTATTTGGTATACAATTTATAAATAGACCGGCATTTAAAATTACAATTACAAGTCAACATAAAGAGTAGTAGTACAAAAAACTACATTTTGAATTAACAAACTGTATTCAGTTCTACAATTTAATTCAACCGAAAAAATGCCTTCATATTCCCATATATTATGCATACAAGGTATATGACATCATTCTTGAAAGTTTATACTTTATACAGATGTTGTTGACCGAGATCGCCGATCATATACTCACATGTATACGGGAACTTTATTATTATCACACTTTTATTTACCGCGGCATCCCACCCTATTGGCATCGTTTAATATGCAAAATGAAGTGAAACGATATGTTAGATGTGTTATACATTATAACGAATGAATACATCTGGGTAAAATGTCGTGGTGAAAATAGTGTGTAAGTTTTTTTTCTTGAAGAAAAACGATCGCATTTCACATAAAATATCTAGAATTGCTATGTTTCAATGTTAGTGACCTTACAGTGAATGTTAAACCATTTGACAACTAAGAAATGTTTCTAGAAATGCATTATGCAGGGGCGGTTCAAGAAACCAACAAGGGAGGGGGCATATTTGAAGTCTGAAAAAAGTGGGCCCCTAAAACCAAAAAGTGGGCCCAAATTTTGAAAATATTTTTCAGAATATTTGGCCTAAAATTAAAAATAGGGCCATTAAACGGGCCTTTAAAAATATACTGGGTTCATTTTTTTTCTAGGCCCACCCAAGGGCGGGGCTGCCATGCACCCCCTTCCCAGATCCGCCAGTGCTATGATTCACTTGTTCATTGATGTAAATTAATACACAGGTTCGATACTGAGATGGTTTCACTTAACGATTTGAAGTCACAGTCATTGCACAGCTAAAGAAAACTCGACACTAAAAATGATTTTCTTGGAAATAATAAATCGTATTTGAGAGACGAAAACCTGAGTGTCAGTGTCGTTTTACATTTTGCTGGTTTTCCAAATCAAGTTTTTCAAAACGAAATTGCCACTTGGAATCATACAAGAGAGAGCAGGATTCTAAAAATAGAGAAGCCAAATCTAAATGGGTCAATCAAATCAACGCGAACGGAGATTAAAACGGCTAATTGGTCTTAATCATTTTCACAGTTTCATTTTCCTTCGTGTGCCAGTTGCTATCGTATATTTCACAAAGTTGTTATTTTTCGACATCATATCGCAAAGAAACTTCTTGAATAAGGTTTCAAGAAAAAGCATAAAAAGTCAATTGACAAAACAACACAAACCGCCATAAATCATACAAACCAAACGGGAACCAAACCCCTTTTCTGAAAATTGATTGAAATTCTTGACTGATGAATACAGGTGGATTAACTGATATCGTATCTTCACATAAAATATAGACTCATTTAGAATGCTTATCGTTTCTGACGTATCAAGGTTAAAGTAACGAGAAATGCTGACGTTTTTATGTCTTCTTAGTATGTTTTTTCTAATGATCGTCTTAGTTATCCGCAGGATTAGATTTATCGAAATGGAACTATTTTGTGGAACTTTTTCGAGTTGGCGAGAATGTCGATTTGACATTTAATGTGGATATTTTTAGGTGTTTCTATGTTAAATATTCTTCGAAATAATTTTTGACGACTGAATTACAGAAAAACTGTAATGCAAACATTGGTACTAAAGATCGTCGAAAATATGGACGTTTAATTATTTTGATCGTTTAGGAAATCGTAACATACCTCGAAATTGTGTGTTGCGTTTAATTTTATGACACAACTGAGCATACACGTTCACAGATTTTCGAAATTGTTTTAAATAATATGCTCGATATATTTCGTCTTTTGACGGGCTTGTTGTTAATTCAATAATAATTGTTTCACTTTCTTTTGCCAGTGGATTAGAGTTTTAAGAGTGCAAATTGTTCAAGTGTACGGTATGATGTCAAAGTACATCAGACAATTGATCTTGATGGAAAGAAACAACTGGCATGCTCTTAAAGGTCTATTTTATGTGTACAACCACTTATTGTATTTCATGAAATAAACAATTCATTTACGTGCAGTCTTTTAGTTTGCCTTTACTTCAGGGTGTTTGATTGAGTTGTCAACAACTCGTAAAAAGGCCGTGGGGTGTATTTGTATGACCCGTATGAGTGCACAAAAAGAACACAAAACTCCTCCAATGAGGTGTTCCTTGGTCTACCTTCCATGATTACAGTGCTCGTTATTTTTGTTCTAGATCCAGTCCAAATATGACAAAGTATTGGCCCTAGAATGTCTAGAATGGTTGCGTGAAACAGCAAACGAAAGTTTGGAAGATGGCGACTACGAACTTGAGTTCGACACAGATGGATCCCCGGGAGAACTGTACAATATTTTAAGAGATGGTTGTGTCCTTGCAAGGTACGGTGCGGCGTTTCCCGGGTTTTGTGATCACAATACAGCCTCCGAACACAGGCCTCCAGAACTCGTACCTCCATCTTCCAGGAGAAGAAGGAAAGGGACGCAATGGATGGTGTTTTGAGCCCTGCGTTCTGGGGATGGTCACAATAAGGCTCCCAACGTTTTAATTGAAGTTGAATGTAATTTAATTAAAATGAAAAGTATTGAGACACATTTGAGAGCGAAATACAGCTTTTTTATATATTTTATATCGCATAACACCGGTCATATTCACTCGTTATCTGCCCTAGAAATACCGTGTTTACCCTTTTACTTAGCACAAAGACGAGACTAATTTAAGGATCTGATTGTTTTAACTATCACCATCGAAATTAGCAGGATACAAAAGAAATATTGAAAAAAACATGTGGTCACTTTTCAGTTAATTTTCATGGCTGTATTTTCAGTGTCAGAGAGTCAAATAAAAATATGATAGTATTTTAAATAGTTGCCTTAAAAGTCTTGTCAAGAGAAGGAAATTCCACATTTTATGATGTTTTAACAACCAGAATCGCATAAATACGAGCAAGAATTCTCTAACATTGACTCCCTAAATAACATGCATATATTTACTTGCGATGCAATAAATGTTATCAAATTCCCGAAACCGACTTTATTTTTTATCTTTAGTTTCATAAATACATCTTCTGTAAGAGAACACAGATTAGTACATCGGATCTTCTTATCTTTCCCAAATAAATATTTTGTAATTCGATAACTTACGAAACTCTAAAGTTGATTAACTTTTAGTCTGATGCAGTCGAAGATGTTCATACAGTGAGATACACTGCGCTCCAAAAGTTTGACAGCCGTGAGATTTGTATAGTTTCCGATCATAATTATACTACAGGCTACTTATTTTTGCGATTTTAACAATGTAATCAATATCATGCAATTTCGCCGTTTTCGATGTAATTGAGGAACGAAATTCAAATTCAAACATAGACACACTTTATCAAGCTTATGAATGATGACTTTGCAAAAACTTATGGAAGGAGTGTACTCTTGGTAATATATTAATGTCATTCCGAACGTGCAACTTACTACGTTTACATACATGTTTATTTCATAAACTCGATTCATAGTATCTTGCAAAACGTATGGAGGGGTGTACGTTTTGCACGTTTATTTCATGTCTTAATGCGTTCTAAAATGTCCTCTTTGACTTAGCTATACTGCAATTATAGAATGAATGAAGCATTCAATATTCAAAACTGGATTCCGCGGCAATTGGATATCAGGTAAATTATGGCCTCAGAAAGAAATAGGATTCATAGATAAACATATCTGTGCAAAAGTTCAATCTACATGTTTATCTGTACACGTTCATATTTGAATTCTTGCTTATCCCCCCCCCCTCTTGTAGAGCCTTGGACAATTAATGAATCATAAAAATGTATCTATTCCACCCAGAAATCAAAACACACATTAATCACTAGCTCATCATTCCAAGGTGATAAACGAACTAGTATTATGCCATGTACGATATCACACAAAATGTTCGCGATTTCATCCACGCCCAAAATAATTCCAGGCTTTCCTTATGCCAGGTACGATGCCACACAAAAAGTACGCAATTCCGTCCAACCCAAAAGAAACGTTAATCACTAGTTAATCATCGATTATAATTTCAGGGTGATTAATTCACTTATGCCGTGTACTATACCACACAAAAAGTATGCTATTCCGTCCAAGCTTGCCTTCAAACACATGGAGTTAATAGAACTGTTCATCATTGGTTGCAAAGAGTTCGGAGTATCAGACCATGACGTGTTTCAGACGTGTGATCTGTACGAACAACAAAATCTACCACAAGTCCTGACGTGTATACAAGCCCTAGGGAGGAAGGTATGGTTTATATAATTGAGGATAGAGGCCGCAAATATGGCGAAAATCACTCCGGAAATCATTGACCGAAATACATAAAAGGATATGAAGTATGAACATAACTTATGGCTGTATATGAGGGTCATAAGTAAATTTGGGATATCAGATTTATCACTAGGGGGGTATTAAAAATACATACAGGTTGGGTCACCTCACAATCTTAGCGTAGTCACCAGTTGCTATCCCTCAGTGGATTCCCCATGAAAATCAAAAATTGCATATAATAAACAGGGTGTTCCAAAAATGGGACACTCGTGTTTCGAAAATAAATATTAATTTTTCTTGATGAAAACATGTCTTATTATATAAGCTGGTTGACAGACATTATAATAAATTTGAACTTATGAATTAAAGATAGGTAAATTCCATATCCACCGGTATATAATATGACATGTTTTCATCAAGAAAATCAATATTTATTTTTGAAATACGAGTGTCTCATTTTTTGAACCACCCTGTGTAATCTCACTTTTAGAAGATTGTAATTACAGTTATTCTCCCTGGTCTCAAGTAACATGTGTGCTTCTTTCTTAATATTACACGAGTTATTGAAAAAATGAATAAGTAGTTAACCCATTTGAGTCGAGCCGAGTATGAGTACTTAACCATTCATTTTTTACATCCGGACCATCGATAATCGAGATTTCCTTATTACAAATCATGACTTTGTCATTTCAGGCGAGATCAAAGGGATTCTCGGGAATCGGCCCTAAAGAATCCGATGAGAATCGTCGCATATTCTCCGACGAACAGGTTATACAAGGGAAACAGGTGATATCTCTACAAATGGGCAGCAACAAAGGCGCGAGTCAGGCGGGAATGACATTCGGAAAACAGAGAATGATTTTGGATTGAACAAAAATCTTGTAATGAAATAAACCGATTGTTTCAAATAAACATTTAAAACAAAAGTAACTGTGTCAGATAAGAACAACAAATGGGAGAGGAAAAAGAAGATAGTTGTTGGAGGAATAATATGTTACAAATAAATTATTGCATTAAAATTAATATTGCATGTTTCAAATTGTTTGAGATAAATGACACTCAATAGCAGCAAGCCGTAGACGTAATAGTAGGTACTATACTGTAGTTGCTATATTCCACCAAGCAACGATAAGCATGATATAGAATTAAACATAGAATAGTTGACATGCAGTAGTGACATCTACTTTTTGGTTGATTATAATTTTGTTTAAATTGACAAGTGTTTTGGCAAAAAATAAGAATCGTATATAGAAAGGAGCTCTTTTGTGCAAACGATTCAAGGAACCAAGTAGTGAACGGCTCAAAGGACTGGAAATCCATTTGAAGCTGGAGTCTTGCCGGATTCGAAGTTAGGACATAATCGGGGATGCGCGGAGTCTCCTGCAAAATAGTGAATGCATGTTAAAAATGCAATGTCAAAATACTCTTAGATAATGAAAATAAAAATGAAAATGTAGTTGCTTTAATAGTTTTTATCTCACTTTGAAAGAGTGCTATATAGCACTCTTTTGTCGATGCCGTGTGCTAATGGGCGGGCGGGTGCCACATGAATCCAAATTCTGTCAAAATTCAAAGGTTTCAGGATAACCACATACTTGTTCCACTTGATCAGATTCGGCTTAGGGGATGCTTGGTAAATTACTTGGTAGCCATTTTGACTTTTTCAATAAATTTTGTCATCAAAATTCCGGGAAAACCACTCAACCGTTAAACTTGAAATTCATACAGATGCAAGAGCAGACTAGTGCCAAGATCTCATTTAATTTCATGCATGTCGCGTTAATTACATACTGACCATTTTGGTCTTCAACGTCTGATATTCATCAACGTGTGTCTTGTCAAAGCAGTAAATGAAGTTTTAAACCCTTTATGTAATATCTTATGTTATACATATGAACGTAAGTCGATTGATTAATTGTATTTGAACAATTATGAGTGGGGTCATTAGCCTTTAAAGGTAGCTTTCCTACATCGTTCCCGGGAACTTCATTGGAGCAAATGTTGTTAAACTCATGAAATACAGTACAAGATACATGATTGTATAATCGAATGCTGATACCATATAAAAATGCAGATTGGAATAATCATAAAAATTGACTGTATTACATATTATATTAGATATAATGTGACTTAACGCAATGACGTACATGATCAACATGTCTACAAATCTCAACAATGACCTCAAAGGCCTCCTCGCATATGACAAAAAACTGACATTAGCGTGCGTGAACTGGCCAATAGAAATTGAATAAAATTTGTCCCCATCAGTAGCTATACTTGCAAATCGTTGGTGTGTTCGTATGTGGGAGTACCCTTTCGGACGGCTTCGGAAGCATGCACAAAGATGCAGCACCCCTAACTGTGCAAGCACTTAAAGTGAAAACAAGGTGCACTCTAGTCGTATTGAACGATCCCAACATGTCGGTAAATCGAAAAATGTGGACACGTAGAGGGACTTTGGAAACCGTCTGTTTTTTTTATTTTGTAAGTAAAACCTTTCCACGTACATTCTTTTGATGGATAACCACCGTGTAACAGGGAGAGAAAATTAACCAAATTCATTGTCTTCTTCACGAATGGCATTTCACTTTTCATTATTACTAAGCATACGAAACGATTGAACTCTGGGAAGTATTATAGTTCGTCCAGTGCAATTGTACAATTGTATGTCATTTATGTCTTTTCTAGGGGTAATTTGATCATGATGTTCCAATGTGTGATAGATTATCAATCATACTACATATCGGTCTCACTCTTCTAAAATAGATGGCACCATGATATAGCATAGAAGCGATTGTTTGGTTTGTGTTCAGCTATTGGAGATGTTCTCGCAATTTAACAGATATTACAGTTTTGAAAATGCGTTTTCTATCTATTGAACACTTTTATATAACCAGCTTTCGCCTATGTTTACTTAACACTTTGGCAACGTTTAATCCCCTCCCCACCCCACCATTCGTTTTGACTGACATATAAGTAAAATATAACAATACGCTATATATTTCCATGGATATTAGCTATACATCTATGCTGTATAAACGGATATGAAATTACATTATACTGTTATGTAATCAGTATTCGAACATGACTGTATTCATGCCTTCTTTTAACTGTGAACAAAGTCAATGCTTCAGCTGGGTTATATTCGAGATCAATTCCCCGGCTCTGTACTAAGTGTTTCGTTCGGTGCACTCATTGGCCAGTTTAGGCCGTTCCATTCTTTTCGCATCCCCCTCTCGTCTGCAAATTCAAAATGGCAGGGAAAAATTGTCCGGAGCCAACATTTTCTGTCGGTGCATTTGTAAACTGTAATCTCAGTAATTTCAATAATTATCAATGTAGTAGATATTCGTGAAACCAATAAAATAGGCCGAAATGTCAATAAAACAAATAAGTAAACAAATTGGAACAGCCAAACGCTCAACCGGAAGTAAGAATGAAAAAAAGTGGAAATGAACATCGAAATTGACGATTTTGCAATATTCTGGTGAGTTTTCATGTTCGAATCGTAATATAGACCTCAGAGCAGGCCAGTAGTTTCGAATACATCCCTTAGGTCTAGGCACAAAAGCTTTCGAACCGCTCACTCCCATCGGTCGTTCGGGGTACAGAATACGTTTGTGCCTAGACCCTGCGGGGTGTATTCTAAACTAGTAGCCCTGCTCTTCGGTCTATATTTCTTAATTTGTCTTTGTTTTTTTAATTTGTTAAAGTACGCTAGCGCACAATTGCAATGTTTAACAATGGACGATCAATCTTGCACAGTAAGCTTACTCACACACGAACCACCCTGTAAATAGACAAAATAGTTTCAGGTTTCTATGTTTTTATTGTATCGTTTATTGTATCAGATACTTACTTACAAGAACTTTACCAAATCATTGTAAACTTACTAAACTAAAAATGTGATAAAATGTTTGTAATTAAAATGCAATATCTTCATGTTTTAAAGACAGAGAACACCTCATAGAGGATAAATATCATATCTCCTTCAATTTAAATCTAATTCGATCCTTGAATAATACAGTTGTTTAAATCGATATTAATCGAACTTAATTTCCAAATATATTTCATTAACCTTACAAATTGAATTTATAATACAACTACAACTTTTTGTTTTACGCCCGAAAGATAGATGATTAGATGATATACGAGCGAGTTTTGACCATGAATAGTAGAATAAAAGTTTAAGACCGTATGTGAAAAAATGCGTCAGTTCCCCTCTGAGTAAACTAAAATATTACAAACTTATCTGCACAAAATATAACCGTTATAACATTACAATTTTCCTTTGAAATGGTAAAATGTGAAATAATTGTTATTTAACTTGTTTTAACTAACATTGATTTTTCTCAGATAACGAACACACATTCGTCCAAATTTTAAAATGCAGGGTGCACAAGTAGCATGGTATTAGCCAGGCGACGTCTCTCTCCAAACAGAGAATACTCAATTCTGATATTTAATCAATTGATATTTTGAAAATAAAGTCTAATAATATTATACTGCCTTAAACTCATTTTTACTTCAACTATCTAGATTCGCCTCGCTTTTTACTTATCCGGACTATAACCCTGTACGGTATAGGAGCTAACTGTCTTATGGTCGACCTGGGAGTTACACATACTATGGGATATAAATATACACATCTATCATTCTAGGATCTATCTATCTACAAATAATTTATATTATACAGTTATAAAATGTAGAAAAATAAAGTATTTGTATAAGTTAATTGTTAATATATACACCAATTATTACAGTGCACCTATTTACAAATTGTACATATTTCAAACGTACATTTCGACCTATATTTACAGACATTACTTCTTAAGATATTTTTTTGTTTTCAAGGTAAGCCTGGTTGAATATTAGTACCCAGGGCTAAGATTGGGCACTGAACGAAATAAAGTGAATTGGTTGTATACTATATTGAAGGAAAGATTTGAGCCAGGCCATAGGAAAGGGGTCTTATCACAGGTGTTTTCAATAATCTGTTTTTTTTGTTAATCTTAAAAAGCACAGATACCTTTCAAATGAGCCATGGCTCATGTCTTAACAATTTTCCTTGCAGATATAAACCAATTAGACAGATTTTCCTTTTAAAGAGCACATTTTTAGTTTAATCTTGGGCACATTTTTAGCTTTGTAGTATAATTTAATTTTTGTGATAAGACCGGTCTACCTATGTTGATGCTCATTTATCAGATGGGAAAAATATGGACAATTTGGGTTCTATCAGTCTGAAATCCATCCAAGTAGGCACCTGTAGCTAAAGCAATTTTCAACATATCGTCTTCTAATATGAGTATATCATACATAATATGGAGGTTAAGATGTACGCTTTTAAGAGGACCTGTACTTCAGCGTGTGATACTTGTACTTTGACCCCCGGGGATTATTTTCCCGCTCTCAATTCACTTTCCCAGGGACCCAATTGAAATTCCGTATACCTTTATACTCAATCAAACAGTAAAATAGGAAAACGTATCCACAGTGGACCGGAATTCTATACCGGGTCATGTACACGTTTTTAAAAAGAACGTGTGTCTTAACTTCCCTATAAAAGGTGAACTATTCCTCCATCCGTATTCGCTATACATGTCTTTACCTATAATATACAGGGTGTCCCAGAACTCATGAGAATTTTTTTAGGGAGATATAAGGCATGGGTGATTTTTCTTCAAATTTGGTACTCTTATTAAACATAACTGACATGAATTTCAGACACATATCTTTTATATTTCCGAATTTATTGACATTTGAATTATACATCGCCACAAACCCCGGAGTTGTCGGGAAAATACAACAGTTTATGTCACATTTTGTCAATTTTATACAAATTCTCAACGATAAAACCAACATTTTTTGTATAAACTTAGTTGAGTATTTTTCTCATATTGATGATGCGCTTTGATAAAACGATATATAAATTTTGAGAGAGACCCAATACATCAACAGATTGTACATTTGGTTTGCTGAAAGATCATTATAACATGTTCCTGAGGGACTGACAGAAATTCTCTATTTGCTAGCCAATATGATCTTGCATATTGACAATGTACCAGTGAATAAGTCACTACATGCATGTCAGTAGTGCATCCAATTTACTTTCTATTGAGTATAGTACAGTATAGTAGCTCCACATACTTGTCAGATTTTGCTCTACTAGACTTTCCATTTCTTTAGTGACCTTAAACAAAGATTAGTGGGCCATGTCACTGAAATGGATGAAGAATTGAGTCATGTTGTTTCAGAGAACCCTACAGAAATGGCTATAGAACGATTTGGGAATGTGTATAAAGAGTAGCTGAAAAGACATAAACCGCAGATAATATGCTATAACCCGGGTGCTATAATAACTCTGTAGAGATAAGTTAGCTGAATGTGTATGATCCTATTAACTTATGTACTGAAACGCTGAAATAATTCAATGAAAACAATGCTATTGTAGTAGAGAAGTTGTGTAAATATTATCAACATGTGACGTAAATTGTTGTATTTCTCAGACTACTCCGGGGTTTGTGACGATGTAGAATTCAAATGTCAATAAATTCGGAAATATAAAAGATATGTGCCTAAAATTCATGTCAGTTATTCCTCAATGTTTGTTTATAAAGTGCACTTAATTTGAAGAAAAATCATTCATGCCTTATATCTCCCTCAAAAAATTCTCATGAGTTCTGGGACACCCTGTAGATATCACTAAATTAATTTTTACAAATCTAAGTGCTAAAATCTTATATCTTTCCAAAAAGGTGGCGTAAGACACACACTTTATCGGAAGATACAATAAATATAACATTTATTGCAAATATATTGCAAAAATAAATACATTTATTAAGTATTTCAAAAACAAAATTTAAAATGAAAGAACGCACCATATATTCATTGCACCTTCAAAAACGTCAAGGTGTACAAAAAGTAATACTGCATGTTTCAGGCAGAATATTTTAAAGCCTTCAATTACAAAAAAATAAATACAACATGTACAAGTAACACACATGGACATGTTTAACGTAAATGATTTGAAAATTACAAATTTAAATTACACATTACAATTAAGTTGAAATCACATTAAACTAAAATACACTCTTTGTCACCCATATTCCGCCAGTCCAGTCGAAATCTGTCGGCTCTTCTCTCGACCATCGCTTAAAGAAAAGGACAATATACAGTACCGTATGCACGTTGTGATTTTTATCAATAGAGGACAAATCTTTTATAATCTCGATCTCATGAGCATGTCGTGGTGTTTTTGTAACTTTTTTAAAGCTAAAGGCCCGGTCACACCGCCTGAACGTTGCTGGAGCGTTCCTTGAACGTTGAAAAAATCACCAACGCTCGTAAACGTTCACCACCGTTTAACAAAAGTTGGCATCCGTTAAAGCAACGCTGTAAACGCTCGGCCAACGCGGATGTTTCTCGAGTGGCCATCCTAACGCTCCAAAAGTTTTGAGCTGCTCAAAATATTGCGAGCGTTGAAAAGGGACAATTTTACGCCCTGGCAAAGTTTATCACCGCTCCACCAACGCCCAGTCAAAGTTTGGCACCGCTAGACGCAAGTTCGTGGACGCTTGAATCCGCTAGACCAACTCAGAAATCTTAAACGCTGGACCACCGCTGCTTCGCCAGCGTTGCCCGGGCGGCGATTAAACGTTGCACAAACGTCGGTGGAGCGGTTGTTAGCGTTTTATCAGCGTACATGGGGTTGTTGGAACGGTGTCGGACGTTGTCGCAGCGTTCCATGGCGGCGATGAACTTTGCATTGGCGTTGGTATAGAGGTGTCGGAGCGGGACCAGGATTTGGCTATAAATACGTGGAGAAATGCACCACTGTGTAGAACACTGTGGAGACACTTGTGCATTTTACATTTGATATATATTCATGTCTGGCATTTCAATTTTTTGCATTGTAAATTCCTAAATTAAGCGCTCAAAGTTTGTGATTTTGGATTTTAAAAAGGAGAATTATGCGATTTTTGTTTTTCATTAAATGTTAATACAAATAGACTTTTACCGAGACCTTTATTCAAATATAGTATATACCTAGTGTTTTCACGTCAAGCAATTCAATAAATTATCTGTGAATTTTCTGCGCAGCTTGTAAAATGTTGCACTCGTCATGGTATTATACAAAAATTTGATGCGCGCACAGCAATGCAAAAATTTGTCATGCGTCATGATTATTACTTTGCTGTAAATGTTATTTGACATTGTTAAAGCAATTTGAACGTAAATCGGTTCCAAGTAATGGAAATGCAACGATAAAATTGTGATATGTTTGTTTGAAATGATATGAGAGATTATTAAAGAAAATTGTAATGTTATTCATTCTTAATGTCATATTACATTAATAGAAGCACTTTAGATTTAAAACATTTCTTCTTTAATCCTTGAAGGACTTTTGTTAAAGTTACAAATTCCAATAAAGGTCTTTACTCTTAAACACTTCCCACTTGAAATAATTTCCCAGTAGTCAAACGCGATATGCTGCTAAACCAACGCTGCTGCTATTTATACCCCCGCCAAGGCAACGCTCTCATGCGCAGAACGCCGCTATACCAACGCTCGCATTACCGCTAAACAAACGCTAGCTACCGCTCGCAACCGCTTAACCAACGCTAAAGCAACGCCGGCTTCAGCGGTGCACCGCTAAGCCAACGCCCGTGTTTTTGTTTTTTCCCCATTTTGTGCGCGTTGACGAGCGTTGATGAATTTTTTCAACGTTCAAGGAACGCTCCAGCAACGTCCGGGCGGTGTGACCGGGCCTTTAAGTCATAACATTGTGTGACGTTTTTTATCGTTAAACGATAAAGCCTTTTTCATATTCAAAATACGCTGTTAAGTTTTATTTAAGGAATAAGACAGAGATTATATGATTTATGACGCAATATATGACCGAAAACTTTATTCAGTTCATTGGCAAGGGCCAGAATAGAATCTGGGGTCATATATTTGACATAAATCATAAAATCGTGGTCTTTGTTACGATTCTGATATGATAAACGAACCATAAAAGAAACTTTTTAAATAAGTGGTCATACAGGGTGACCCAAAAAATGCAACCCTCCATTTCTTCAATATTTTTCTTAAATGGAAGTAAATTGCTCCGAGATTTGGCACACAAGGACTTCATTCAATGTGGGATCCTCTGGCAAAGTTTTAATAATCATAGTCTTATATTGATAGAGTTATGGTTGTTTCAAAATATGCTCCAGATATCGTCGATTTCGCTGAAAACAAACTTGCAATGGTCGAGGAAAACTGTTCATAACACGGATGCATTTTTCCCCATGGGTATGGCTCAAATTTTTGCAGTCATTGCTTGTTGGAGTTCTGCAATTGCAGTAGGGTTATTTCCATACACATTATCCTTTAAATAACCCCATATATAGAAGTCAGGGGCATTGAGATCAAGACGTTGGAATGACCATGGGTTCTCCATCCTAGGAGAGATAATCTTCTCATAGAAATGACTAGTGAGCCAGGCTATGCTATCATAAGAAGTGTGAGGAGTAGCTCCATACTTCTAGAGCCACTGTTCTTGTCTATTGAAGCCTGTATGTCATTCTAGAACTGCCTAGAACTTCCTGGGAACGCCAATATTGCGCTGTGTGTTAACAGTAACAGTGTTGCCATTATCAACCTCAAACCAAAAGGGGCTGATGATTTCATGTTTGGAAATTGGCAGCCCAAGCTGTGCATTTAACAGAATGAAGGGGCCTTTGAAGCACTTCATCTGGAATTTGTGATCCCAGAACGCATTATTTCTTGAGTTTACATGTTCAGAAAGAAGGGAATGTGATTCATCCGAAAACCTAACATTGGAAATGGACGACATTTGGAGCATATTTTGGAACGACCATAACTCTATCAATATAAGGCTATGATTATTGAAACTTTGCCAGATGATCCCACATTGAATGAAGTCTGTGTGTGCCAAATTTCAGAGCAATTAATCTTCATTGATGAAAAATATTGAAGAAATGGAGGGTTGCATTTTTTTGGGTCACCCTGTACAATAAAGCTTCAGTCATACCATTGACACTTTGTGAAGTTGTCTATCACTATATGATAAAGCTTTAGTCGTACCATTAACTCTTTGTGACGTTTTCTATTGTTATATGATAAAGCTTTAGTCATACCATAGACACTTTGTGACGTTTTCTGTTGTTATATAATTAAGCTTGTGTCACACCATAGATACTTTGTGATGTGTCCTATCATTATGTGTTAATATATGAAGATCATCTGATGACGTCCCAGGTCTGGAGAGGAATCGAACCTGGGCTGAGTCCATCATTTGCTTTTTATGTTTCTTCTTTTTTGTTCTTCGTCTTTTGTGTACAACACAGATAATGATAATTGTTAGGATAACAATTGCAACTATTATCCCTATTATGACGTGGACAGTGTTTGTTCTACGTTTTACTGGACCTAGAATAAAACATATATTCATTGCCAATGTTCAGTAGTTTGCAATAACAGTTGTTTAAACTGTAAAATTTTGGGCAATTGATTATATAAACAACAAAATCTTGACGGAAATAGACTCTGATACACCAAATCAATTGTTAAAACTGAAAATATGTCAATCTAATATTGGGTAATATTTCAACAAAAATAATACTAACGAATCGTAAGAATTCTTAAAAACGTCTCTAAAGATGTAAGTGCAACAGTATTATTTGTTATTTCGCGAGGTACAAAAATTATGAAGTTGTTAAAATGTGGTCAAAAGAAATCACGGGTATTTTGTAAATGTGTATTGAATGGAAGCAGTGGTGTAAACTAACAGATCGATGTGTGATAAATGGTAGCAGCGGTACAAGTGTGCAGCTGTATATTCAATTGAAGCTGAGGTGAAAAAGTGCAGTTGTGTACTCAATGGAAGCTGGGTGTTAATGTGCAAATCTACTTTCAATGGGAGCAGTGGTGTAAATGTGCAGTTGTGTATTCAATAGCTGAGGTAATGGTAAGGTGCAGATGTGTTTTCAATGGAAGCAGGAGCAAGTGTGCAGTTGTGTAATCAATGGAAGCAGTTATTTGAATGTATAGATGTGAATTCAGGGGAAGCAGTGGTGTTTTGAAGATGTGGTGGTGTAAATTAAATGTGTAAATGATTAGTTGGGAGAACGCTTGTGAAATGTAATTTAGCTCCGAATACCGGAATTCATGAACAATTGGACATCCAATGGTACACATAGTTCGAATATATTTTTTGAATAACTTATAACTATTCTAAATTTGCTTGGCAGAAATAGTCAAGGCGAGAGGTGATACCTTCAACAATTGTAATATGTTAGCCAGGTGCAATACATAAACACTTAATTGTGTGCTTCGATGTAGATTAAGGGAACACTCAATTTTTATATGCAGATTAAAAAGAAACACTCGTTAGATTATAAATGCAGATTAAGGAAAACGTTTGAATATAAAGATAGCTACACACGATTGTGATATCGCTATCTGAAAGACTAGGGAAAGGGGAAGTGGGCTGGAGATAGTTTTCTCGTGCTTGAGATCATAATTTGGGATATTGGTCAATAGAGTTCAGTTATGTTTAATAGAATTTGCATACTACATTGTTAAAATGTTTCGTCAATTGAAGAATTTCAAGATTTCAAATATAATACAACAATCACCAATTCTAAGTAAAACACTCAATGTTAATATGTGTGAATGCTGTATTTTAATCACTATAAAAATGTCCATAATAGACTAACTCACCTGAACCTATAGAATTAAAAGAAATAAGTAGAGATTTTAAAATTCTAACCAGGTAAAATATATCGGAAATAAAAAGTGACTAGATGGTCCTTAAATTGTCAACCCCTGTACGGTACGTAAAGACAATAGACTTGCAAGAAAATCTGTTTTAAATTGAGTTAAAACGCACAACGGAGTAATGTGCTTTCATCGAAGTATTATTGACCATTTGAAAACAAATTGTGGCCCTTAAGCTGTCACAGTAAATCTAATTCCTGGCTTAATTTGATGCATTTACCAGTGATCTGTCAGCTTCTTTATTAACTCCCATAATGCGTTTTAACTCAGTGAATAAAACAAGTTCTTTCTATATGGTATTCGAAAATAACTAGTTTTAAATAATGATCTAAAAATCAGAAATTAATGATATAGGATAGGCCATAAAAGGGGACACTATGTGCCGATCTAAAATTCGGTACACAAAAATGAACCATGTGCAACATATATCGGAAATAAGATATACTCGCGAAATTTGTATACAGGGTGTCTAGGTATACAGGTATACCCCTCCCCAAAGGCAGACATAAACCAGTGTCGTCATATGTGTTCTGTATCATTTTAAAGATTATTAAAAGTTACAATTATTTTGAAAATATCCCCCAAATAGGAAAAAGTTACAGTCATTTCAAAATTTAGTGCTTGGCCAAAATAAAGTTCAATTTTACACCACATTATTGCTCAATGTGTCCTACATTTTTTTGAATTTTGAAATCCTCTAAATCCTCTAAATCCCATTAAGGCACTTTGGAAGAGTTTCCTCTACCCTCACTGTTCTTTTTCTAACTCAATATCCACCGACCCGAAAAGAATTGCTGATGTTAAGATTGCCTGTGAGGACATATTGACTTGTGATTTGATGTAGAATTTAACTTAATTTTGGCCAAACACTAATTTTGAAATGCCTGTAATTTTTCATGTTTGAGAGTTGAACCATGATACTTGGCGAATCAATGTAACTGTAAGCTTTAAAATGATATATGACACATACTATTAAGTCACTGGTATGTGTCTGCCTAGGGAGACCATACTTTCGGGACACCCTTAATATATAGCAAATATAGATGCACGAAATGAAGTGCTTTACGAGTGTCCTGTTTTATTGCAAACAGAAACTAACAAAATTATGATTACGTTAAAATGATTAAGACTACAAACTAAAATGTTGATGGCATAATATTGAAAGAAAGAAAATATAATGAAAAGTATAATGAAAAAACGAATAGGCTCGATATGTTTTGTCATGGTTACTATGGGAATACTTACAACTTTCAAGTTCATCCGAGTAATCACCATGGCCACAGTTGTGTAAACGATTACATTTGAGACTGTTGGGAATACATACATTTGTATTGACTGCACATCTAAAGCCAGGACAGGGGTCTTTCCCTATACTTGATGACGAACTAGAGCCTGCAATTAAAGTATTTGTTCATTCACTTTTCTTTACGTTTCGTTATCTTTACTACTACAATAGTCCTATATCTATTAAGTAATTAATGTGTATTTTCTACATTACAATCACTAAATCAACAAAGTATTAATTGTTATCTATGGAATATAATAAGTGTACATTACATATAGTTGTTTAACACCTGGGGTATATGTTTATTCTCTTACTTGTTTTCCCAACAGATCGAGGCATGTCCAAATATTCGGTCCAAGTTATATTGAAACCATTGCCTCCAACCGCCCGGCTAGAACTAATAAATCTGAAAGTAGAATTAGACGTTGATCCAATATGCATTTGAGCCAGGCCACAGTTTTTTCAATATTATGGTTTTTTGTTTATCTTAAAAAGCACAAAGAGACCTTTAAAATGAGCTTGGGCAGTTTTGCTCTGTAGCACAATTTTAATTTTTGTGATGAGACCGGTTTTCCTTTGGCCAGGCTTATTTATTAAATTTAGCTTTTAACTTAGCCAAAACTTTAGCGACACGAGCCTTTGTGAACATGAAAAAGTAAATATATGTTATCTTGATTTTGAAAAGAGTGACAAGTGTCTCTAAATACAACTTATTTGATGGCCAAAGAGACAAAAAGCTAAACTCTCACAAAACTTTCTCCATTAGATTAGCTATAATATCCTCACAAATTATTTGATAATGAAATGAATTACAATTCTGGTCAATGTTAAAGGTGGTTCCTTGACCATAATATATTTAAGAAGGTGTCGTTAGTTACCTGAGTTTTAAGTAGGGTCCTTCTGAACGAACATTAGTTGGAAACTCAGAACCACAAAGTTCATGTTTTGGTATAAACCTGACGTCATAAATTCTAAGTACGGCACCTTGGCAACCAGCTGGAAATATGATATAAAAGTATACGATTCGCACGTGCATGTGTTTGGTATCCTTAGATGCTGATCAGAAGAAGTAAGTTGCTCCCATGATATTTTGTATTACTTGGTATCAGCGGCTTTCCCTTAATTAGGTTTCCCTGCATGGTCCTATGAGCCTTAATGAATCTATCATATGACATTCAAAATGGCGGACAATAGTAAGTTGGATTCCTAAATGGTCCTATAAGCCGTATATGGATCTATGACATGGATACGTGACTCAATATCAGCTATGACAAATCGAAATTGCTGCTCATTTATCTGATTTGAAATCCAAACCTCAATATAATGTGTACCTTTTATACGTGAAATCCGAAAACAAGTTTATAACAAAACATTTTTTCTTAATGTTAGGCTTACTATATTTAAAATGTCAATACCTTTTGTTTGACCTTCCATATTGAATTTCTCAGCGACCAAAAGGATCTTATGATTTGGTTTCGCATGAATATGCCATTCACATACTGTATCAACTATGTATTTCTTGGGGTAGTTTGGACTTGTAATGACTCCACTCCCACCAGATGTAATATTACCCCCACAGGCTGAAAAGATAGATCGTAAATAAAAAAAAATGTATAACATTTGTAAAATTAATAGTTCAATAAAATAATTTAGTGAATGTGAATATCTACAGAGTTGTCCAAAAAATGAACCCTTGCAATAATCTATATTTCAGCTATTACCCTCATTAATGGGCTTATATTCTCACATAATTTTGAGGTATGACTAGTTTTTGTTTGTATCATAAAGGTCGCAGTCTTAAATCTTGCAAATTTTGCATGGCATCAACAGACATGCCTGATTAATGGATGATGTGCTCTATCCATGCTCATTGTTGAAACGCCAATGTGGAACGCATGCGGAAATGTGAATCCGAAAACAAAATTCCAAATAGATGTTAATCAAAATATGTAAAACGTAAAGCTAATTCATTATTGAATGTATCTTACTGTTGTGCTGCGAAAGATGATCCATGAATTTATATTGTGCATTGAATCCTACTTTAACACCAGATTTATCTGTCTTAAATATTATCCTCAGTAGTTTTGCAGTAGGTTCGCTAAGGAGAGGGCCGGGCGGTTTGGTACCGGAGTGAACGTACGACAACACCGCCCTTTCCCGTCCCCCGGTAAGTATGTAGACCTCGTAGATTTCTATAAGGTCGTTAGTATAACTGAAAGAACATGCGTGGATTATGATGATAATTACAAATTGTTATGTGCCTGAGGATGTCATTATTTTGATAATATTATACAGAAGATTGTAAATGAGAAAATAAATATTAGTGGGACACACAAACTGTTAAGGGGACAATCCTTCTCAAATAATGTCTCTCCTGGTATGACAGTGAATGATAATATTGTATATACATTTTCCATGTTTTGCATAATGTGGACACGTCTATATGGTAATTGCTACCATTTCAGGAGAGCAATGGTCTGGCAAGGAGTATCCTTTACGAACACACACTCTTTCACAAAGATGATCAAACTTATTTGGGACTTCGAACCCGACTGTATCTCAAATTCGAACTCCAAAATAACACTCGACTGTGGGATAGATTTCTAATTTCTGATGATAATGACTGCTAAAAACGTAAAATCTTGTCATCAAACTCCAAAACCAAAATTACTGTGTTTTAACACTATCAAAGAAGTCTATAATTTTACCACGCTAAAATGAATACATGTACACACATCTCCACACAAACAAATATTTTATGAATCTGCAAAAAAAACGAAATGATTTATATTAGTAGGATAGTGAGGCCATTCTAATTCAAATCACATCATGGACACACAGACACCACACATGTGCGGCAACAGGCTCCCACATTTACCAACAGTCCTATGAAGTATAGTCATAGCTATATTCCTTTTCTTGAGGATCAGAACTCTTGCACATTGGTTACGTATAATTTCCTTTTTTCTACAGTTCAACCGAAATGGTTAGACTTGCTTCAAAATCCTAGACCCCCCACTTATCTACTTCTGTAACACAAAATAAAAGTGTAAAGTAGATAAGGGGTCCAGGTTCTTGAAGCAAGACAACAAACTGGTCATATTCATAAAAAACAGATTCAACTTTAAATTGGCAAAGGTTTATCTTTGAATTTTGGGTTATTTTCTCCTCTTTCGTGACTTCTAATTAGTCACAATTGAATTAATGCCAGCACCAAAGAAGCGACCATTTTGTTAGCACATTACTTCCTTAGTGTGTTTTAACCAATCAGAAGTACATCGGTACACATATAATGCTTTGTGATTGGTCAATTTATAGAGTGACTGCGAATGGGGAGCGTGTTGCTATAACAACCACTCAAGTTTGACTTACAACCATAAATCTTATCTTCTGTTATGAAATCAAAACGAGCCTTGAATCCATTGTACTTGATAGTACTTCCTTCAGTCTCATTATACATGTCACTTTTGAATACCACACGCATCTTGCGACATTTTTTATCAGTAATAATTGGCCCGGGTTTATAAGTCCCGTTGTAATTGGTACTAATGACCTGGATTCTTTGCTTTCTGCTAAGTCCTGATTTCTTTGGTCTTATTTGGAGTATCTGAAGGTAATCACGGCTGAAATTGTTCATGGGCTATGTTAGGCAGAGAAATATAATTTCTTGCTTTCAATGGGCGTATACTTCCCACCATGCACCACCTCAGAAGTCCCAAATGGATTGGGTACTATACTGTACTAACAAACAACATTCCAATGGAAATATACTATGATAGTATATTGGATTTCGAATGTTGTTTGTTATAAATTTGGAAATTCATTACTGATTGACTATTTTAAACTGCAAAACTCAATGTATGGATTCAAAGTTACACCATTTACATTTATATTCTATGTTATCATCAAAAATGAATAACATAAACATATAATGATTACAATCATCGTTCCTTTAAAAGTTTAACTCATCTGTTTGGAATTTAAATGTGAATGCATGAATTAAATTTAATGTATCAATATGTACTTACTTTAAATTGCTATTATCCACACTAAACACCATAAAGGTGATTCTGACTTGTTCGCTCGGCTGCCCTATGAACTCGTAAATACATGTTGTGTTTGAGGGATAGTTTGCCGGATGGCGAGGGGAATTAAAATAGCCAGATTTTGAACTTCGGCTTAAATAACGGAAATGGCACCCATGAACTGAGCTTGGGACAGGAGTCCCCGGAATTGCATAATCTGAAAATATACATGAATTTGCGATTATTAAACAAGTTTTTTAATCCATTGTAGCCTTGCCCAAGTCTGTATTATCTTTTATTTATCTTGATTTTTAATTACAATTTTTTTTTTAATAAAAAGACACCGCCTTGGGCAAGGCTAGATCCATTGTTCTCTGCTCAAATCCACTTGTGATATGAGTTTTTTACTCTACAACGATTAAGAATAAAAAATAAGGATATTGTAAGTCAATTCAGGAAAACAAATTGAACTTAAGACATATTTTTGTTTACATTATATTTCAAGTTGATGTTTGAAAACAAATTTTACATCTTGTAGATGGTAGTTTGACTGATTAATATTGCATCTTGGCTATAATTAACCAACTCGTATCTATTACTTACTGGTAAGGAATTGATATGTGGCTTTGAACCCAGACCCTCTCATCGGACCCGTACTATTGAATATCAACAGCAGTCTAGGGTCGGTTGACATCAATGGGGGAGGTATTGTCTTCCCACAAAGCTTTTTGTTATAATTTTTAGGTTCTTCTTGCTGGCCTCCTAAATATGCCAGCAGATACCCACTTTCACACCTAGAATTTGGAAAAAAATTGTTTCTTTCAAAACGCATGGGATTGCGATGAGCCATTTTCTACTGCGTTTGAAAAAAATAAACTTCACATTTCAAAGATAACTCATCAGCATCTTCTAAATCACAAGGTATTTTATATACGATTCATATATTGAATATGTAAAATAATTTCTAATCCATAAGGGGAATGGGTTTACTCTACTTTTTAAGGAAATTAAGTGAAAGCAGACGTTATTAAAAAGCTCACCCCTCTGGACTTCGTGTTGGAATACCAAATGTTGAGAATTTTATTTCAGCCTTTTCTAAGTGTTGTTTATCTTTCTTTCCATCGATATAGTATCGACATGTTACACCTTTGGGGTATTTTTGAGGGTAGTTTGGCGAGACGATTGTCCCATTGGACTCCCCGTCACTCTTGACTCTTTGATCACATTCAGTTCCACGTATGTGCTTTCCTTTGTATCTGTCAATGAAATCTATAAGTAGAAGGGGCAAATGTGTAATTTAAGATCAAAAAGAAAGGCGCGGCCATTATACGTCATGGATCATTGTGTTTGAAGTGTACTCACTGAAGAGAAATCTAGTGAGGAAAGTGATTGGCTTTGAGTTCGATGCCCTCTCGTTTTAATGACTTTTCATATAAGCCACTGGCACATTTTTCATTTTGAGTTTTCTAAAATATCATTTTGGCTGGCTTCTTTAAATGCTCTCCCCCTTTGTTTGGATACTGACTATACCTCACGTAGGCTAAGCTTACTGCTTTAGTTTCGAATTAGCAATGTAACGAAGTCGGTGATCGTTACAAAACAGAACTGTGACAAATGGTAGCCTTAGTATAAATTGGATTTGGCAGACTTCGAAACAAGTCACTTAACAATTAATCAGCGTTGCTGTCAATCCACCCACTACCAGGAATAACGAAAGCTTTATTAATAATTTGTACTTGGCTCGCTGGGGGACGTCTCAAATAGATATTATGAAAGTTGTTTTCTGTTACATAAACTGAGATGTCCGAGGACGTGTTGTTGTCCTCAAACTGGACTTTCTATGTGATCAGTTAAAAAGAAATCTTGTCGAAAATTAATGACATTGAAAATGGCAGAACAAGAATGCAAATTCAGTAAACTAGCAAAGGCTCTTAAGAAATACAATGTCATTTGATATCGTGAGATTCTGAAACCATTAAAAGTGTGATCAGAATATATCTAGGGTAAATTACAAGGGAACATATGAGAAACCATATTAAAACGATATATCGTCCATTGACCATTCACAGCTCGGCAGAAACTGTAGTAAAATAATGTAATGCTACTGATACAGCCCCCTGTGTTGCCTCAGATCAATGGCAATTTAACATGTGACTTCACAATTAAAAGGATACTTAAATAAACTCCAATTATGCATTGCGAAAATACAGAATATATCATATCATCGTTTATTAAAGATGTTGATTTAAGAGCAAAAAAGGCTCCAAAACTTAATGAAACATGTAGTTTGGATGTTCATTTATGTCTGTGGATTATATTTTATACCACAAACACTTTATAAATACCTGAAATTTGCAATAAAAGTGCCCAAAAATTGTTGTTTCGAAATTCCCCATTTTTCCTGTATCGCGCTAGTCACGTGACCATTACGCGTGGCAGTAAATGTACAGATATTACAGTTCATATAATATGTTCAATATGGCAAACATCAGCGATTCTGATTCCCGGGTTCTGGGAAATGACTATATAAATCAGCGAGAGGGTGTAATTTGAATGAAGACAATTTAAGGAGGGGAAATGTGTGCAAGTATGGCAGTAAGAGAGCAGATATGGGGACTTTAAACAAGAACTATAACGGAGAATCAACTAAAAATGTGAGTTCTGGAATGAAGACCCGTTGCCATTGACTGAAGATTCCAGCGATCCTATTATCATACTCAGTTTGAATCTAGACGCGGAAAACAGATTCTGAAAACAGGTTTTCTGCAAAGTTATCTTTAGAAGATATAGATCTTGTTTTTGAGTGGCTTAACAAGCATTTAGATACCAGACTTGGCGCTATCTCTTGTCAAATACATGCACTGGACTTGCAGTAAATTGGCCATTGCAAATTGCAAAATCAGATCGTCAAATTAATCGCTTCGTTTTTAAACCTACGCTTCATATCTTCTTCCAAAACTTTAGGATTCGATAGAGATAAGTTATAACTTGTACAGGAAAAAATGGCAGATCCTACCTTAATTTAGAATCGCTGATTTCTCTGGACAAATTCCGAGAAGAAATTGTTCAACATCGCGATCACCCCAGACAACATGTCGCGTGCGTGTCACTCTGAACTCACGTGATAAAATACGGCATCTTGATTGGTTACTACTCGTGTTGTCATGACGTGAAAAGCAGTAGTAAACACTGAATATGTTAATGAACTGCCATATATGGAACAATTGTCTTTCTGATTGGTTAACTTTACACGCCTCCTAAATGAATATAGTAGTCGTAGTAAATGATTCATTGATAACTCTGAAAGTGGGCGTGACCAGCTTCATTTTGACACCAAATTCAAGATGTTTCAAATCAAAATGGCCTCGCAAGACGAGGTTGAAATATCAGTAATTTGATACTGATATGGTCTACGATAGATCAAAATTGACTGCCCCGCGTCACATGTCACGTGAGCCTATATTTGTTGAAAAATGAAAGAGATAGTGACACTTTTTAATCTTAAGTTTATACCAATATTACAAACACATACCTATTTCCCTTTAAAATCTCAAAATTGTGTTTGAATATGAAGTGATACAAAAAATCTCAGTCGCTTTGATGTGCATGACCTTGGAGGGAAAATATTTTTTTAGAATTAAAATAAACGTCAATGTTGTTATTTTATCATTTATTTAATCGAATATCAAGATATGAGTAGCATTCCTAAAATGAATAGATTCCTGATATTACGTTTGATATAAAAAATCGATGATATATTGTCATGTATTAGTGGTTGGATGTTCAAGATTTCTTTTTGAGATTAGAATGCCATATCTATCTTCCCAAAGCGCATCTATTATTGATGTAATTGTATTGGAATTCCGTTCATCCCTGGATCGAAAATATTATTTTTAATTAATTAACAAGTTGTAAAAATCAACAAGCTTCGGTGAGTATTGGCATAAAATATCTGTCCATATACGTGTCCGATATATTAATGTTATGCTAATATAATAAAAAATATATAATATATTTTTTATAGTATCACTGTCATTTTCCTCACTTTCTAATTGGTCCATTTCCTACACGTGACTATGAAATAACAAGCGGTCTATTAAACGGAAGTCACGTGGGCTTGGTGAAAGTTGCAAAGGTATTCACCTTAATAGAATGAAATATTTGTATAATATACATAAAAATGTGTCTGAGATTACGGAGATGCGTTACTTAATTTAAAACGATGAGGTTGTACTGCCCTTGTGCTTAAAATAGAACTGAGCATCTCTTAAAGGTTCTTGTTGAAAAAGTTAAGTAACTTGTCAAATTCATACAATATGTTAAATATAAATTGCAATCCAGACATGAATTTAATTTTACTTAATCAATTAATCCTCCCAGACGATATTACACAACCCCAAAACGTATACCCCAATGTGCGCATTTAATGAAATGCCATTTTGGAAATTATAAATGATCTTTCGATGTGGGATTACATCAATAGAAGTTTACTTAAATATGAGCCAGAGCAAAGAAGATTATTGGTAATTTATCATGAATATTTTCTCCCTGGTAGACTTTAACTGGATACGGTTGACGGTAAACCTTTCACATCAAACGAAAATTGATGAGCAGTAATAGTAAATGAATAAAGAAACTATTCAAGTAAGTTTTATTAGCCACGGTCTTTTGAAGTAAATTTTACGACAACAATAAATGGAATCAAAAACGTAGTTCAATGTTGTTTTAAGGTTCATGGCATTCGCGATTACAAATTAACAGGGTTTCGATTCTTTTCCGAATCAACTTGTCTCTGTAACCAAATGACATGTCTTATTGTATCAGAATTTGGCAAATTTTTCTCAGTAATGTAATCTTAATTTTTCTTACCTAGATTGACGAAGTCCATACTGAATTCATAAATGGCCTTGAAACCTGTTCTTTTTATAGCATAGTCGGGGTCTATCTCCCAATGTGAAAAGTATGTCTTTTTAGTTGGTTCCAAACGCCCACTTTTCGTCCGGAAATCTGTAAAAAAGTATGTGTTTAGTTGGTGATAAACGTCAATGATTAGGAAATGGTAAGTACTTTGGCAAGATTTGTTCAAAGGAAATTTAGATGTTATAAACTATCAGAAAATAGGTATATTTAGGTGTAAAAAGGTCAACTCGACCTAGTTGTCACTCATTTTGACATCTTCATTTTCAGTGATAATTAAAGGGGCACACCTGTGTATAATTTGTGTATACATTATTTTTTATATTATTTAACTAGTAACTCGTTCTGCGTTATGCGATTGGTTAAAAAATTAAGAATTGAAAATGAATCAGATCTTCCTAACGCATGTAAAATGTGGTCATGTAATGTAATTGTTTGTTTGTTAGGTCTATAAGGTCTCGCGTATCGTATACAATAACAAAAGTATATGACACTTACCTATATGAAGGGCCTGTCCTGTTGAAAATACTGTTAGATTTTTATGCTTGCCGCAAAATACACCAATGAGTGTATCTTGATTGGTGTGCCCGTCATAGATCTTCACTGAATCAAACGGACAGCTGAAACAGAAGTCAACTAAGAATCAAGAAGAGCGTATAGCCCGCATGTGATAATCGTTTACTATAATCATGGGCTTTCAACTAGCTCTAATTGAAAGCCTATTATTGCTGAAAGGCCCCATATAAAGCTTAACCATCTTTGATTTGATAATGTCTAACCCAATGTTATCAAACTGCGATACGTTGCATATCAGGTATAAGCATAACAATGTGTAGAATGATTAATTTTAGTTAGTTTTGAAATTGTTATTTAATAATTTCAGAAGTGTTTTGGTTTTGTTCATATATTTTGTATTCGGTGTCACGTCTTATTTGGTACTCTGATTATTCAAACTACTTACTGTTCCCCACCCTGATAGAGATCGAAGTCAATGAAAGTGACTTTCACCCGCTCTCCTACTGCACCCTGTAACTTGTAGAAGCACATTGTATTGTCGGGATATACGCCAGGGTAAGTGGGCGATATAATACTTCCTGTAGTACGGGCCTCGCTTTTGATTATGTAACCACACGTACTAGCGGGTGCAAGAGTACCGACGATATACGCTGCTGGAAAGAACGGAAATATTGCAATTTTAGTGCTAATGCCATTGTCAAAATGTACAATTTCAACAATAAGGAACTAAAAATAAAAAGTGTGTTAAAATGTCAAATTATGTTTTTGCAATCTTCTTTAATTGGACGCGAACTTTCTGAAATATTGTTCACTTAGGAGATGATTTTTAAACCCACTGTGCGAACAAAGGCTTACCATTACTTATAAATGTGTATTTTCCGTAAAAGCCCTTCTCTGTTCTTGTATTGTCAGTAAAAAATGATATCACGAGAATGTTTGACATGGACACCAATAGGTGGGGCAACTTATCCTTTTCGTCGCCACAGTAACGACCTTGAAGTTTGGCATCTAAGAGATCTTCATCCGGGTGTGTCAACTCTGTGAATATATCAATGTAGTCATGACGACATCTGAAATAAGAAGCTTAACATGACAATTATTTAACACGATAACCATACGCGAAATGCGAATCTAAAATCAGATTTGAAATATTTGAAATATTTCTTTTCATTATACGAGGGTTGATTAAAAAGTTCTGCACCGTTTGCTCCAAAAATCTTAATGTTGTATGAATATTGTTCATATTGGGCCTCAACCAATCTATATAGTTCTTTTATGTTATTTAGAAATAAGTAATAAATTTGACCAGTAACAAAGGTGTCTGGTGACCATAGTAACATAACAACAGGGTATGTGGAGCAAAAGTACGACACATTGGAAAAGAGTTGACAGGGTACCAAATTTTAAATGTGTCAGTCGAGAGGCAAACATATACACTGTATTTAACAAATAGATATACTGTATTTAACAAATAGCTACACACCACAGTATTTTCAATTAGATTCAATGTTCTCAATAACAAATACATACTCACCCAGGGGGAATTCCTTTCACTCGGAAATCTGTAAATTTTATTGTGACCCTCTCATTTGTATTTCCGATAAATTTGTATATACATCTTTTATTACTGTCGTAATTACTTGGATAGTTGGGGGACTGGAATGTTCCGTTGAGTTTGCCATTTGCGCTTGTGAATACTCTGTCGCACAACTGTTTCTCGAGACTACTGTAGTCGTAATCTGAAAATACAAAATACACAAAAGGTAAACATGTAGTTAATTCAGAAAATACAAGTTGATAAAGTGCGCTGTATGTTAAATACAACTTAAAATGTGTTTTCCAGTTTTTTGTTGAGAGGAAACGTTGCCAAAGATCGAATTTTATAGTTATACGCTATCATTGTTTTCATTGATTAGGTGCGTTCGTTATTTTGATGCAATCCGTTTCCGCGTTGTTGATAGATGTAAGTGATGTTTCAATTCCTCTGTATCCCAAAATATAAATGAACACCGAGAACCAAAGGTTCTCTTTTATTCTGATTTACGATGAGCATCTCCTTTGAAGAAACAGCTGCATATATAAACATGGGCTCTATGATTTACTAGATCGCTGCTTAATACAAAATAGAATTCGACACATGTATGCACCAGAGGCAAGAGAAAAAAAAGAGTTGTTAAATGATGCAGTGGAGGCCATGTAATATACCTGTAAACACCCCTGGCATTAGGTGCGTTTCAATTTTCAGATGTGTATATTATTTTTCATTTTATTTATTTTATTTTTTTTCTTGTTTCATTACGTTTGGAACTCCTAACGTAACATTTGGTATCACCGATGATGCTTGGCGTGAAGACAGATACCGTGCCGTGGGGTCTTGGGATAGAGCCAACATTAGAAGAATGCTCGGAGTTGGACTTGATCATAAACGTTTGAATCACACCACCAGCTGAACCGGCTTATGCACCTCACATGTATGCAAAGTGTACATTAAGTGCAAACTCATATTTCAAGAGATTTTACTGCATTGTTAGAAACCCAAAGAAAATGTAGCACAGCGTTCGTGAAAAGAGTGAGTTCTTAAAAAGAGTGAACCCAGAAAGGAATAACGTAAACAGGCATTGCAGCCTCACTCCGATTGTGTATAAATATGCAAGCAAATTCCATTTTAGAAAAAAAAATGATGGAACTTACAAATATGACCCGAAACAAAATTAAGAAATGAGGAGTACATATCTCAGGCAAAATGTTAAATGCAGAATACCTTAAAGAGAGTCACCTGGTTACACTTACTTACACACCTGTTTAACAAAGGCCAAAAAACTCAACATTTTGTTTAGCAGAATGCCGCTTTGTTCAGTTTATTTCCAATTTCGGGAATCCCGATGGTGGGACGGTATGCATATAGGGCAAGGACCAGCTTGTTATAACATTTAACGTGGTATCTTATGAGACGGTTATGAAAAAAAAATTAAAAAGTTGTAAAAAATAAATTATATGACCCGATATTATGTAGCTCTTTAATCAATAAAATTTATAGGTATTATTAAATTTATTAAGTATCCCAAATCATTAGGTAGTCACATTGTTTAGAACGCATCTTCTTGTCACGCGGATCGTGTTGTATCAATTTTTGGAACTTTTCTTTTGGTGTAAATGATTTACCACACATTTTAAAATACTACATAAAGTTAAATATGATTAATGTGTTTAAGTGTTTCTGGAATGGCGACAATTTTGGTTTTAACCCGTCACGTGTTACTTTTGACAAATGAAACGCCTGCATGCAATAACGTTTCTGAATCTCCTTACTTCCGGCATTCTTCATGAAGTTGGCCACGGATTCACGCTGTTATAGAATGGTTCCAAAGCTCGTTTACCTGCGTTTTGGCCATGGAAAATGACAGCGGTGTCTACATTCTTTCTTGGCAGATGTAAACAGTTAAGGGGAGTATTTGATTGCTTTACCTCGAAAATGTTTCAATCTTTGCATACAGATCCTATTTTTATGGGCGTTTGGGCGTGGAACAAAAACAAATATACTGCTCATATGCCTGATTCACATTTCGCAACGGATTGAAAATCGGGGCAAATGTGACTCGGGCATTGCATATCATTTCCAATAAAATGGCGTTGAAATTTGGCTAGAAGGAAGTCTCACCTATCTTTTTCCATAAAAATATTCGAAAATTTTAACATATACATTTTTTATATGTATAGGCCTAAAACTAACAAGAAATTATATTTTTCACTTCATTACCCATTTACTCCTTTTCCACACGCCACTCATACCATCATACTTTTATACTTTATGTTACAGAGACTATACAATAATGTCTGACATGTATGACCATCGACTAATAGGGCAATTAATTGCTTTTGAGTCGCTGTATATACAGGGTGTTCCAAAAGTAACAGGACCCTGTATTATTGAGATAGGGGGGAAACAGATCTCGGGAAGTCTCTCAATTCATGACACGGGTTTATTCCCCAAAATCGGTATATGTTTCTGATAAAACTGGTGTAAACTGAAACATGGCACCTTGATTCGAAACATATTCGTGGCTTATGCGAATGTATTCTGTCTTTCCTGATGTTAAAGGGCAACACCAGATGGTGTTATGGTAACATAGCGTAACCCTGGGTAACGGGATGCAAGAATGGAAATGTTACCTAGATGAACACGTTGCAATATTGGAATGATTTGAGACCTCCGGTAACTGCAGTCGGAGCTGCTGATTTCAAATGAGAAGTATTCAATTCAAAGGCGAGTACAATAAGGATACAGAAGATGCGAGTATGGGAATAACTAAATAGTAGTACGCACTGGAAATGATCAGTCGTCATCGATATGTTTTAATTTATAAGATTCTTAGGTGTTCGGTTACTATTATCAATAATTCAAACAAAATCGTTGAAGGCAATATCAACTAGTTTCACGTACTGAAAAGTCTCCTATGTATAGTCTCCTCCCCTTCAACTCCTCACAGGCTTGATTCAAAACAAATCATTTCAAATATTGCAAACCCAATGTCGACGCCTACTTGGATCTTGATCGCCGTGAGAATATCGAATATTTTCGAAATATAAATAGGACAAAACACATGACACTTGTACATAAAATACACTCCGAGGAAAATCAGCTTTTGCTTTGCCTTTTACAAGTCGTCTTTAGATGTCTACACCTGTAGCTAGAAGTAAAAGTTCATAAGTAGAATCTAAACAAACATCTAAGCAATTTTATTAAAGCCCAGCAAACACAGAATATTGCATGTTTGTGCTTATGCCCCCTCTACTTCTTCCCCGTACAAATCAGACACGTAATAAAAAAAATAATCAACGAAATTTGATAAGTCATGCAGCCAAGAGAATATACACCACACTTTAAATATTTAGAAACCCCGCCTTCCCTATTGTATTGTATTGTTTTGTATTGTACTGTATTGTATTGTATCGAATCGTATCACGTTATATTTTTTAATTGTTTTATATTATATTCTATTCTATTGTGCCGTATCATATTTGGTATATTGTGTTGTATGTCATTGTATCATATTGTATTGTATTTTGAATTCACGATATCTCATTAGCAAGAATGAATAAATAAAATTGGTTTTTCACGGTTGTATCCAGGAGCGGAGCATACATTTATTTTCACAAATACTTTCTTGATTTTCCTTTCCGACAAGTAATTAGATTTGTCAAGGGGCCTTTTCTAGCATGATCCCAACCCGTATTATGGATCGTATTTCCAGGCAGAAATCGTCCGTAAGGGAGTGTTGATACTTTTATCTTTCAGTTCAAGAGGGTTGAAATGAGAGAACGTAATATACACTTTTACGGTGGCTGTTTTGAATACGATAAATCACAAGCAATTGATGTCACCACCTAGTTGCTCATAATATTATGAGTTCAATCTTAAGTAAGATTTGAATTTCTGAGAACTTGTAGATGATTTTGAAAAAAATGGTCAATTTGAAGAAAGATGAAAAATACCTTTTTGACCTTCCTTGAGAAGGTCATTGAAGATCAAATCGTTTTTGACCTTGAGAATGTCATTCAATGGTCAAATATAAAGTCAGATTTGAACTTTTGAAAACGTGTACATGATATTGAAAAAATGGTCAATTTTAAGCGAGATGAAAAATACCTTTTTGACCTTGACAAGGTCATTGAAGGTAAATATTTTTTGACCTTGAGAATATCATCGGAGGTCAAATCTATAGCACGATTTGAACCCTTTGAGAATTTGTAGATGTTTGGAAAAAAATAAATTGGTCGATTTGAAGCAAGAAAAAATACATTTTGACCTTTTTTGCCCTTGAAAAAAAGGTCATTGAAGGTCAAATCTTAAGTAATATTTGAACATCTGATAACTAATAAATGTTTTTTTAAATGGGTCAATTTGAAGCAAGTTAAAATAAGACCTTTTTGGCCGTTTTAACCTTTTTGACCTTGAAAAGGTCATTGAAGGTCAAATCTTATATTAATTAAACTTCTGAAAACTTGTAAATGATTTGAAAAAAATTCAGTCTGAACAGTATTTTTTAAGTTATTGGAAGTTGTAAGAATTTGTTACAGACGCCGATCTCCAACCACCAAGCGCCAACCACCGACCGCCATCGGCCGACCGCCGTCAAAAAACGGAGACCGTAACAATGTGTCACCACTTTTTGGTGGTGACATGAGAACCTAGTTTTGACTGTAATCAGGTGACATTATGTGCTTAAACCATATAAAGATATAGCTGACAATTTTCATCACGTTACGTGATATTCTTCCACCCCCAGGACGCGTTTACTGGCTAATTGTCCCCTCCACCAACTCAACCCCCTCCCTACTTACCTGTATTTCAGGCTCAAATGAAAAATCGTTTGAACTTAGCAAGATGAAAAGTAGTATTTGATAAATAACAGTAGTTGCATCTGTTTACACACAAGTTAGTGGGCATCAACGCCTCTTTAAATGATGAACAGAATCGTTTTACAAAACAAGCAATTTTCCCAGGTTTCTGTACTCGGATTGATCTGTTTTGAATCAACTAAAACAGAATCATAGATTTAATCCCGTGTGAAGCTAAAACATTTTTTAAGTGTTTGAACTGTATTAACAGTGAATAGAGATGATGAGGTACCAGCTTGTGAACAGTATTTAGCACTGGTTTAATACTTAGGAGCATATGCAAGTGCCTATGCAATGGTATGTTGTATCACTAGATTGTATTCTATTATGTAGTAATTTG